TCGGGTTGGTTCTCGGCAGGCTTCCCTAAATAAACTTATTTGGTGTACACTACTGTGTTATTTGTTGTGTAGTAGAGACTAAATGACCGCTTTTTGATGCTCTTTCAAACGTGTACCAAACTCACGTTTGGTCTGTCCGATATACTCGTTATCACAGTCATTGCAAGGAATAGAATAAATAGCGTCGGTTCGTTGTTCTTTCAGGGTCCTTAGGTTTGGCAAAAATATGTTCCAAAGTCTGAAAAGGTTTTTGAGCAACTTTAACGTTGTGGCTATTCAAAATTCTCTTGATGGGTTCGGTAATACCCTGAATGTAGGGAATAACGGCAAAACCAGTCGCTGGTTTCTTCTCATCAAGAGTGCTACTAGTTGAAACTGGTTTTTGGCATTTACGGATTAAAGTTTGCCTTCAAGACATTAGAAACATATTCCCTCTCCTCAGCCCTCGATTCGATTGAAGATGGTAGACAGTCAGCCCTCCTGAGTAAAGGTTTGGCTTCTGACAAATAGGGTGGTGAGAATCGAAAGCGAGGTATTTGTCGGTGTGGGTGGGTTTACGATAGACACTTGTCTCTAAATTCCCCTGTTCCCCTCGGTACACTTTTAAATCAAGAAAGGGCAAATGTCTATCCTTTTCACGCTCAAGGGTGAATTGGATAGACGGCTCTACTGAATTCAAGTGCGATAGGAGGCGCTCCGCTTAATTTCCGGATACCGCAGAAATAACATCATCGACATATCATTCAAATTAATTAGATCGATTTTTTCCTCTGATTCTTTCTGTAGTCAAAATGTTTGGGAGGGCTGGGCAAAGATGTTTCTTTATTTCAGTTGTCGTGCCAATGTGAGATGGGCATCGAAACACTCAGTTAAGTGCGAGTGCGAGTGCCGTCAATGTATCACCGCAATTTGAACCTACAGTTAATTTCGATCGACTTGTACTAGTGATAAATGACACTAAGGATTATCATTTGCCTTTAAAAATTACAAATCACCCACCACTTGCTTAGCATTTCCCTTTGTGTAGAAAATCATTACAAAATTTATTTCATTGCTTTTGCCAGCGATCTTATCAGTGGACGACAGACGACTGAGATCATAGAAGTTTCAGTCCTAAGAACTTGGCGGCATAGCCAGGCGCTCCCACAAGTTCAACTTTTACAGTTTTACACTCGTACAAAGCAATTTCTCGCTTTTAAGTTACAATTTTAAACTCTTATCTCTTTCACAGATGCCTTGATTTTAAAATAAACAAAAGCTGATTACATATTTCTTTCAGAAGCTATATAATTATGTAATTTGGGAAACGGAACGAAACGAAACGAAACCAAAAGGAAATCTGTAAGTTGCGAAATGAGAGATCTGTATATTAGCGAAATGAAACTCTGTGATTTGGGAAACGAGAATCTATGTGAAAACCGGCTGGAAGGATAGATTGGTTAATTCATCTGGTGTGGATTGCATACGAAAGACTACGAATCCCAGCAAGTAATACCGACCATTACTAAACAAAACTGTTTCTTTTGAAGTCTTAACATCATCGAATTTTTCTGTAAAAATGGAAAATGGCATGAGTTTGTTGTTATGTTTGATGAAGAATACTTGACGTTTCCAATTTTTTCAGTCGAACAGTCACCCATTCAAATTATTCATCGACGATGTAAATTGACGACACCTTTAGAACAGCACAGCTACAGCGCCAGATAACTTTTCAAATTATAGACTTGCATTTCATGGCTTAATGGCGTAATTCTTTATTTTCCATAGCCGACGCATAGATTGATCCAATTCACACAAGCGGTGAAATGACCGATTCATCCTTCCGGCCGGTGGAGTTCTCTCTTCCAAACCGGCGAGTTTCAAGAAATTTTCGGCCCCCCATCCTCCTTTCCTTCGGTGACGTTTTTCGCAGGAAGCACTTACGCACCCAGCTGCTACTTACCTCGGTCACAATCTTTTCCCATAACTTAACCACGCCAGACAATGAGCAGCGTAAGTAATGATTGAGGATGGTTTACTATTCCGGCGATATCTCATATCTCACTCTAACATTTCCGTCCGTGTTTCGATGCCTGTTTTGCATTTGCGAGGTAACAAAATAAAGAAATACACCAACCCACCCCTACCTAATAATAAATGGTAAAAACAAAGTGGTTTAAAAATAGTCCAAAATGGCCCAATTCATATCTATTCTGCTCTTTTTTAACTGATGAATGATCACGTTGCGAGCAGAGAAGTTGCCAAGCTTTTAACTGTTTTTCATCGGTAAAGACATAAAGCGTGACGCTCACATGAAGGGGGTCTTCGTTCTTGGTTTTCGGGGGTACGGGGTCTTCGTTTTCGCTACAAACTATAAAATGCCGACATCTGGCATATCAGACATCAGTGTTTTTACCAGCCATCAAATTTTCCGCGATCAGCGTATAAAATGTCAGGTTGTCACCGACTTCATGGAAAACTAGACGCTATCGAAGAAATAACTCGAGCTTCTTTCAGTTAGGGATATGCTGTGGACAAAAAAGGCGATTTTTCATGCGAGGTCGAAGCTGGTGGTTTTGTTAGGGAGAGCCAGGGCCAGAGCCAGATAACACGACGCAGCACCACAGTTTCTTTAGAAATTTTATTCATTGATTTGCAATGAACTTTTGACCAAAAAGCTGCCTACGTTTTTGTCGCGTCTGAATGAAATAAGTGGAGGCAGGAGCCCATTACCAAGGTATGGGCTCTTTCTGGAGATTGCGGGAGCATTTTAAGGTAATTTAAAAGTTTCTTAGAATAACGAATTTAACTGCATGCGTGATTGTACACTGCAAGAGTGAAATGTGATGGAGGATGGCATCGATCATTCTTTTCCTTCTTTCCGTTTGTAGTGCTGACTATGACTGTCGATCAATTTGTTGGGTGTGGTGGTGGCCCTCTTAAACGACAGAAGCAGGATAGCCACGTTTTGCGAAGAACCGGCGCACCGTCTATGATCTATTCGAAAACTGAAATCAAAGACGTCACTACATAAACGACGAGGTCTGAGAGACAGCCTCGTTCCTCAGAAAACAAATGGAAACAAATGTTGGAGTGCCTTACAAATAAGATTCTGGTCACGCGCAATGCCATCGGCCACGCTCCACGCTGAAAAGTGGCTTGCTTCCAGAAGATTTCTAAAAAACACGAGTGACTGATAAGATAATTATTGACCTTGCTTATCGTGAAACATCGAGACTCGTTAGATCGACCTTCGGCCTCGGAAAACTTGTGATCTCCACGCCACCGATGTTTGAGTTAAGCTTGTCTTGTAAGTGTTTTAACAATCGAAAAGTTTCTTCCCTTTTGAAAGGGGCAATGGTGAGGAAAGGTTTCAAAAGTTAGAGACTCTTCCGTGCTAGGATGGATATCATGGGGGAAAAGATTGGATTAACTTGAAATCTTGTTCACGAAATTTTAAGTTAATTTCCTGAAGAGGTTAATTAAATCGGATTTGATAAAAAATCGGAAAAGTATGTACGAGGAATTCTCTGGAAAGAACTGATATTGAAGCGGATTTACTCAGTCCGAAAAACATAAGCGGGGAATGGTCAAATTCAGTGTCGAATGGGGGGAATTGATCTTTGACTAGATCTTGGGGAGGGGTGGGGTGGGTATTCCCTCGTAATAATCTCGTCCTCAGATTCTGCCGTGTAACTGAAACGTAGTACAACCGCTTGGCCGTGGAATGTCTGGGTATAAAACTACCCTCGTATGGATTCTCCAATCATTACTTTTGCATCGTTTGTACGGAAGCTGAAAAGGGACAATCCAAAAATATTTTGCAAATCCGAAAATGTTTAGAATCGATATCTTTAAGAAAAATCGCTTTTGAAAAGATTGTCAAATCGAGAAAACAATTTTAAATCCTGGTTTAATTCGCAGATCCACCAATAACCTTCATGAAAATCAAAAATAGTTTACAATCCAAGAATCTTTCCAAAATCCAGAAAATTTTCGCAAATCGAGAAAAATATTGTGTCACGTGACGCTTGTGCCGGTAGTCAGCACTTTGTCGATACAGCACATCGCGTCGTACTAGGTTGCACTAGGTCTACTTGAAGTCATTATGCGACCGGACTAAATGGTACCACGATGTTCTGCAACAAATTTGGAAAAGAATTTGTGAGCAATGAGCTATTCTGCCGTCGATTTATTGTTCAGTTTTTTGAAAAATACCATGGTATTTCTATGAACTTAAAGACTCTAAAGAGAAGGTTGCGTGACTCTGGGTTGAGAAAGAGAAATGAAGTTTATTCAGAGCACGGAGTTTGGGAGATAATTGAACGTGAAATCGAAGGCCCTTCATCGCATCTTTTTCTAAAAACTTAACAATAGTATCATAACGAAATCCTCTTTCAAATTAATGTTCAATGGCAGATCTTTTATTTGACGAAGTTCCACATCGATGACAGAGTAGCTCATTGCTCACAAATTCTTTTCCCTTTTCGGCTTCCGTGGTTTTGTTCAGTAAACGAGTATAAATTTTGAAAGACCAGATCGAGTGTGGTTTCCAAGAAAGCATCGAAAGCGTATAAACATATTCGTCTTTTCAACTCCAAAAGAATAGCGAGTGCCGATGACCAAAACTTGTCCTTCTTGATAAATTTTCTCAACCTCGGCTAAAGTTTTGTTCTGCGCATGAAGTTTCAATAAAAGAATAATTGATTATTTGACCCATGAGTATTGACCCCCACAGCATCTAAAACAAGAGCTACACGTCAATACAGCGGTGAGATAAGTTTATTAAATACAACACTGGAAGATCTATCATCGTTACTGGACAAAAACTTTCACAAGACGTTTTTAATTTATACGAGTAAACACGGCAACGGGGAAAAATTTATCGCGGACCAACTACAAGCTGACTGGGCAAGATGAAAGAAAAGATTTATGGCGACTTGGAAGTATTTGCTTCAGTTTTAACCCTTTACTCCCTAATATCAGTATGCATATTCTCCGTACTGTTCTCCTTACGTTTCCAACAGTACCAACATGGAGAGTTTGACAATCAAGAGCTTCTTTAGTTGGTGATCATTTCCTTTGTTCTCGTGACCTACATGTGTGATTCAGGGGCGATATTGTAAGGAGAAATTAGATGCTAGTCACACTCAGAAGTCAGAGGATAGTTAAGCCTAACTCTTTTCATCTTAGCTTTAACTCTCCCTACGAGATTTACACACTTCCTGGTAGATTAGTAAGGAAAATTTGCTGTTATATTAACAAAACCTTTGAATGAAAAGGCGTGATATTTGTTATCACCTGTTTTTATTGAGTGTATTGATTAAGTAAAGGATGCTTTTGAGTTAATAGACATCTTATTAGGACGAGCCCGCGTTGCTAGCTCTCGATTGATAATTCCGCCCGCCAATGTATGATTTAGGGTTAGAGTGAACGGCAAAGGGAGGGGGTAGAAAAAAACACGATTTCTATTGCCCTACCCCTCCCCTCTCATTTCTTTTGACCATCCCTCAATTCCTCTCTTTCTACCAGCCTTCCACTACAGCAAAATTAAAAGATGGTAGTTATAATTTACTAGCTCCCCAGTATCACGCCTGTTCTGCAGGCTACAAATTTAAAAGATGAACATTTGTCCTGACCAATAAATAATGTTATAGGGTATAAATTTAGCAAAAAGTCACAAGAGAAAGTGTTCAGAAACTTCTTAAAATGTCCTTAACCCTAACCCTAACCCTAAGGTGTGTGAGAAAGAGTTCAAGCAATTCCTCTACAAAACCTTAAGTCCTATCTGCTGGCAGTTGGTCCCTTGTTTTATTCAATATCTTCAGGTCTAACAGGGTCCTTTAGTGGGACAATGGACTTCTGGTCTTTGTCACGTGACAGTGCTTTACGCATGTCTATATTCCATAGAGAAAAAATGCCATTAGTGACTATCACACCATTCAATTATCTTGTGTTCTCCAGGGGGGAGGAGTTTCTGTATGAATGCTACGCTGGTTGTGTGCCACAGGGACTTGGGAATACCACACCAATTTCAGATGAGTTTTGCAATCCTTCATTATAAACTTGACAACTCTAACTAACAAAGATATTCTTGCATACCAAATACACTTAACTGGGCCAAAGAGAGATGATGTCTGTTTGTTACAGTTGAAAAATACAAATCAGTTTCTGAGATTCTTAAGTGGGCAGGACCTTGATTTAGAGCATTTCCTGTCCTGGCAGTCACTGCCCTAGTCCAATTGTAGAGTCATTCCATTTTATCAATTTATTACTCACCATCAGCTTTGTCAACTCCATTCTCCAATGGAGGTTAACCTCCTGACAGAAAGTTGTTTTTCATCTGCGAATTTGCAGTCTAGCTGACCAATTTCAGTACATGACTTATGGCCATATAAAATGCCAACTGTTATCAGATGTCTCAGTTATTCACTCCTAGGATTTAGTTTCTTGCATGAAAGACAAAACCATCTTTAGAGTAAATTTCAAATTAGAAATAGAATTCTTACCAAAGGCATCTTCATCTGGATCTCCTGAATAGTACTCAAGGACTCGTCTATAAATCACATAACCTAGCTGCTTGTACATGTCTACAGCAACATTGTTACTCATGCGCACAAATAAGTCCACAAAAAAAGCATCTTTCCTAAAAAAAAGTTCAAGATATATAAATTAAGTGCATTAATTGAGAGAAAAATTATTGTATCTATGATATCAACCTTATCACAATGTAACATGGTCATTAGACATCTAGATCAAAGAACTATCCCACAAAATTTCCATATCCACAGCTGTTTCTTATCCATACCTGAAGGATGTTCAGGTGTTGCTTTACACTACTCTCCTCTTATTACATTTCTTAAACCCTAAGAGCGATAAACATCTAATTTCTCTCAACATTCTCACCCCTGAATCAAACATTAAGGTCATGAGAATAAAGGAAATGACCACAAACTCAAGAAGTACCTGATTGTTTGACTAATTCTCTACTTAAGGATCATAGGAAATGTAGAAAGATCAGTATGGAGAACTTGTATTCTCATCTTAGTGTGCAAAGGGTTGAAGTGAAAACCTCAAGCACTGTATTTTTGTGTTTGAGTTCCCAAACCACAAAATCCTCTGGAAATTTTATGTCCAATGCAGTGTCTCTGATAACACCTACTTGAAGATCAGCTTTTTGATCAGGACTGGACATTTAATTTAAGGTAACTTATCAGTCCAGGTCACTTTTTAGAATTCAGTCTTAAACAGATGACCAGCAGGTCCTTTTTTTTTCAGGTGGATAAGCCTTTGACACAGATCAATAATCTATTATTTTGGTGTAAAGTAAAGCACAAGTCATCTCTGGCTAGCCTCTAATTACTGCATAGTGATCTATAGTTTATCCACTAGATAGCCTTACACATGTTATACATTATCAGGCTTTCCATTCAGTGAATAATTCTAACTCTTTCAAAAATGCAGTGCCTTACTTTTCTGAGATCTCTTCCAAGTTGGAAATCAGCTTTGCTGCTAGTCCAAGTCGTCGATACTCAGGGGCTACGGTTACTGCTGTCACATGACCATGCCATTCTTCTTGTTGCACACTTCCTTCAGCTTTTCCCATAACTGAAATTAAAATAGTATTGGAATGCTTACCATTTACACCTGAAAAATGGTACCTCTAGTCTCATTGTAAAATCAAAATAGATTGATAAAGTTGTATGTTGTGGGCCACAAGATAGCATCATGGTTTTTTCTTTCTACAGCATCTCAGTGGGTTGGAATCATAAGCCCTCTGCTTTAATTGCCTGAATGCATGCTTATAGATTGGTACAATTACAAACAGTTTGTGGACAGTGCATTATAAACAGTGTGGTTCATAACCAGTAAAGATGACAGCTGCCGGAGCTTTTAGAGAAATATCCCCAGCCCCATCCCCACCAGAGTCCAACATGCTGATAACTAGACCCTGAATCAAAATAGCCTGTGCTTATTTGCCTTCACTTGCATTTTAATTGGTGACATTGAAGACTTATAATGTTAAAATGAAAAAGTCACAAATGTTAATTTTCATCCCTCTCAATATAATAGGTCAGACTTTAAGCCACTATCCAACACTAGTTCAAGGCGTCATTTGGAGTCTCAATATTATCATAATTCTGAATTAAAAGTACATATTAAAAAGAAAAACAGTTCAATATTTTAGCACTTACTGTAACCCATAATTTGTCCTGTAGGTGATTCTGTTACTTGAAAATACTCTGGCCAGTGTGCCAGATATTGAAGATAGAATGCTAGTCCATACTGCAGTAATGTTAAGAAAAAAATTTGGGAAATGTTGCTATAAATAAAAACTATTGTATATTAAATTGTAATTACTTAATTTTTTTGTACAAATACATCATAAGATCCATTGTTCTTATTTTTCCAGAGGTTCTATTCCAAAATGGGCAAAGTTGGTACTGGTTTAATACTTCTAAACTTTTGGAAATGAAAATTACATCTAAGGATACAGTCTCAGTCAAGGGATCTAAGTTCCTGGAAAAAGAAATGAAAACAAACACAGTCACAAATTAAGTTGATCACATGTTCTTGAATGTATTCAAATTGGAGGGCAAGGAGAATAAATTTATCCTTCTGTCTTGCTAACTTTCCAAAATAATTATTTCATTTTTTTCACTTTCCCCTCATTTCATTCAGTCATCATCATCACCATTTGATTGCTGTCAAGATCATCACACAATGCTCTACCACTGGCTCTTCAACCACATGACTGAATTATTCCAAGACAAGGCCAATATCATGTTAGGGTATCAGGGTGCGTTGGCTGTCCATTATTCCTAGTCAGGGATGACAATTCCAATAGGATGATATAAAAAGTTTTCTAACTTCAGCAGATTAAAATACCTCATTGTCAAAGGATAATGTTACCTGGGGTAATGAATAGTAAATGGTAGAGTTAATTTTAAGAAAATTTCCATGAGAGCAATAGAGGACTTTTTCCCATGTTTACATAACTCCATCTTAACACGATGGGGCTGGGGAGAATTCGAGAGAGTTATTCAATTCTAAGACACAAACCTACCCAAAGGGTAAACTTAAAGCTATGTTAAAAAAACCCAGGAAAACATAGAAATAACCATAGAAACCACGTCACAAGTGAAGTGCAGGCTTGCAAAATTTTGACTTTGATTTTAAAAGAAGTAGGAATCATACAAAGATGTTGTAATGTTGTTAATTAAATGCAAATTAGAATTTGAAGAGTTTTGTTGCAAATTCTGCAGCTTGGTCAAGATACCTTGGTCTGTTCAGTAATCAATGACTGAAGAAGTCAAAATGGGGCAAGAGCGTCAGTGACACAAACAACTGCGCCTCTTATACCACTATTTTGTTCATACCACATTTTGATATCATCTACGATCTACTACTGAACGGACGCACGGAAGTATGAAATCTATTTGTTGAAAAGAAATCAGGTCATAGTTGCATTTTATGCCATTCACTTGGCTAAGCAATGTCAATGAACTGAATATACACTGTGCTCTTCTGATATTCAACTGTATTCCCATCGCATTTGCCCGATATCAGACACTTCAACGTTAACGAAAATATATCATCGTACTCACACATTGCTGAAATGAAACATATCCTCGCATCTGAAAGGTCTAACAGTGGTCATTTTAGCAAAAAAAAATTGGCCACACATTCACAGATACATTTGAAGCGAACAACTGGCAAATACTACAAGGCGTCAACATACTCCTGACGAGACTAGTAACCAGTCTCACCAATCACCCCTCCCCTGAAAGGAGTACGTGACATCAGCATTTGGCTCTCCCATGACAAAAATAAACGTAAAACAACCAGATTTCTTTTTGCGGTTAAAATTCCAATGCGCTAGACGTTAGTGAAGTCTGATATCCACAACGTAACCGCGCATTATGAAAATAAAATGTTTACAATGTGAAGTTACCAAATTTCATTACAAATTATTTGTAGGCGGGGGCTTATGCAATTACGCACATCCGATTCTATCTCAATTTTTTAAGATTTTGATCCACGCTGAGTCGATAAAATGGCCATTCTAAAGATATGAGTCCAATTTGAGCCAGCGAGGGCTCACGTTAACGTCAGTTTATTTAGTGATAAAAATAGTAAGGAATCAAGCAGCTGCCTTGAGAAACTGAATTGCGTGACATCACATCCGTTGTAAATTGCGTTTTCATTTCACAAGAAACTTCGAACCTTTTAAGGCCGTAAGAGGGGTTAAGCTGCCGAAGAATTCTATTGTAAAGGTACCCACAAAATTCCCTATTTCAATAATTCTTAGCTTGAACAATTAGTTAGATTGATTCCCCTGCGATGCGACATTGTGGAAACTTTCACCACAGGCGCGATATGTCATGCGAGACATATGACTAAATCTTGTCACGACTCGCCAACGCAGATCGTTTTTGTCCCAAGTGAGTAGCACACGACATTGTATAACATTTTTTACGAAAAGGACGCCGACTTCGTCAACTGCTTGGAAAAAATATTTTAACCACACAAGTTTGTTTTCCCACTTCAATTTTCGCGGCACGTGCAGAGTCGATTGTCATAGAAATGAGGCCGTGTCATGTTTTGTGAGGACGAAAATAACATGGCGGTCGCTGTTATTTTGGGGAAGGGTTGATAGGGTTAAAACGGTTTTACAGCCATATTTTACTGAATTGAAGGATTACAAGATATTCAAGCCAGGTAATCATGTTTTACCTTTCTCCATGGACGCTTTTCGGATTAATTTTTTGTACCGCCTACTTCGTTTTGGTCTTGTGTGGTTTCGGGAGAAAAGGCGATCAGAGGAAAGTGAGTCAGAAATCCAATGAGGAATCGGTGTCCTCGACGAAATACTGCGACGATGAAATCGAGGAAACACAAGCGAGGATAGCTGACCAGAAGTTGAATAGCATTGATCTTGGAAATGACTCGCAAGGCGGCAGATCGGACACGCAAAGGCAAATTCACGAAGGCACGTTATCATGCGAAATACCTTATGCTAACAATTCGTTAGAGAGTTCAAAACAAGCACCTGCCCACAGTGATGAAGGGGACAATTTAACAGTGAAACAAATTCTTGCACCTGTGAAATGCAATGCTTCTTTGCGCAGTCAAGATGCCTTGAATCTACAAGAGTTTAATATCTCCGAGGACTTTGTCACAGAGAGAGGGGAAATCCGAGGTCGAGGGAATAACACATCGAACTCGAACGCGAACGAATATTTTTCAGAATTTTTAGAAGGGAGTACCAAGCATTTTGAAGAATTGAAGTTTTCTCGTGAGAATCAGGGTGAAATATCCAACATCGTTACGAAGACCTCTGTGGGCACGGTTTCATCAGCTCCGGAGGAATATAACTTTGCAGCGTTTGAGAATGAGCAACCAATATTGCACTCTGAACCATGTGTCGACGCTGTGGAAGCAAATTATTCCGAGACAGATTTAGACAAAAACAGCTTATTCGGTGACTTCGCAGAATTGTTGATTACCAAAGCTGCGACAAATGCCTTAAGTGACGTCGACCTGGAATTGAGAGCCAATGTTTTGGCTGAAAACATTTCCACACAGATAGTTTATGATGCCATTGGTCAGTTATCAGCTGATTCTGGCAAAGAAGAATTTGACGCAGAAAATGTCCAGGAAATACACAGTTTTGCGGGAGATGTGATTAATTCTTTGTTCCAAGGTGCCACTGGCAAGGTTTCTTTGGTTAAAGATGTTGAGAGTTTTGCCAAAGATTTGAGTGAACAAATTATTAGCGAGGGTGTACTCATCTACACTGCAAAACAGAAGTTTGAGCAAGGGAGAAAGAAAAAGGTATCACTCGGTGAAATCAGAATTTTCAGTGAAGATGTTGTGAGTGAAGTTTTATCAGATGGCATTGAAGAGGCAGCTCTACTGAAAGATGAACACATGGAGGATTACTTGAACAATAAAAACACTGCCCAGGTTACTGGCTTGGAGGACCCAGTTCCACACAATGCTGACAGTTCAGGTGATGAAGTTTGTCAAGCTGCTTATCAAGAAGTCGCCATATCAAGCTCCTTACAACCCCATATCAGTGGGGTAGTGGAGAATCTGGTGAATGGGGCAATCTATGAAGCTTCCTTGCGAGTAAGGGCTCATCCAGGGAATGAACCATTACAGGAGTCAGAGTTACAACCATACTCACAAGATGTTTTGGAATCTCAAGTCGATGAGACAGTGAAGGAGTTAATTTTTTCAGCTGTAAACGAAGCTGCTGATCATGAGAACCAAAAAAGCAGCATTGCCCAGGAAACAATGCCAATGATTCAGAATGAGCTTGAATCTCAAGTGGGGTCATATGTGGATAATGCTTTACAGAATGCAGTCAGCGAAGCTTCTGTGAAAGTTCTAGAAGGACATAGTGAAGCTACTCACCAACACAGAGTATTAAATGGTCATGTTGATCTCTCTCAACACTCTGTTGTGGAGTCGCACAGCTGCCAAAGTACACCTGAAGATGTTGGTCCAGTAGAAAAGGAAACTGAAATTGTAGACCAATCAGAAGGATATGATATTGTGCCTTCTAAACACAATAATTTACAAACAGAATTAACAGGGCAGAAAAGTGGTGATAATGGTGACTTCTGGAGAAGGAGTTTGATTTTAGACTTAGAAGGAGATGAGGAATTTGATGAGGCAGTTGAAAGTGAAAAATCTTTGCCAAGTGCAGGAGATTCAACCTCACCTACCAATGATGACGAACTTATTTCTGATGAAGATGTAGAGTTTATAGATTCTTCGGAAGATGAAGTCATTGATCACGCAGAGGATGCCAAACTGGGAGCAGTTGGGGGGTCAAATGCAGCAAAGCATGGAAGAAGTGATGATGACAGACTAGAAATTGAAGATGACATTGATGATGTTGATGAGGAGGATGATGATGACACTGATGATGATGATGATGAAGAGTTGTTTGTACCACAGTCAACTGTAGATGGATTATGTGTGAGTAAACCTAAAGAAGATAAGAAGAAAAAGCATAAAACACTTCCAAGAGCAAGGATACAATCAGGTTAGATAATTGTTGGCAACTTATTTCATTTATTTTATTTGCCAAAAAGCAGTCTTTAATTACATGTAATATTGCATTGATTAAAAAATTTTTTAACAATAAAAAATAATTATAAGTAATGTAGCAAGGAAACTTTGACTTATGCCAGGTTTTTTTTTTCATCCCTGGTTCAAATTTTAGTTCCTAAATAAATGTTTTCTTGTGTGGTAATTCTTGGAAATGTAAATACCACCAAGAGCACCTACCCTTCCATGTATGTCATACCAAACTTCTATGTTTTGTAAGTCAGTGAATAATGGTACACCACTCTTGAAAGTACTGCTTTGTTATTTTTACTGCAAGCTCAGTTGAAAAAAATGTCTTCTTTGTTTGAAAGCATTTGCTTGACTATCTTGAATTTAGCACTCATGAGTTAAAAGGTTGAGATTTTTTAAAATTACATGAACTTAAGAGCTTGACTTTAAAAGGAGTTCTGTTGACCAGTGTCTTAATGAGTCAAAAATTCTTTATTCAATTATTTACATTAAGCTGGATCACATTACAACAGTGCTGTGGTGATAGACAATGGCTGTGGTACCATTAAACTCGGCATGGCTGGGGAAAAGAAACCTAGTGTTGTACAACCGGCTTTGTATGGAATTCCTAAAAGATATTCATTGCAAATGGCTGGACTGGACAATAAAAAAGACAGACAATTTGGGGATGCTGCTGCTATGAAGGCTGGTGTTATGCAACTTGGTAAGTTAATGAAAGAATACTCGTATGCCAGTTTATTTAGGAAGGTAAAGTCTGTTAGCCAAGTGGCCCATCCAGCTGGAGCTGATCTCAGTTTCCATAAATGAGATGACAAGGACTATTACTACTCCTACCTGCCAGTCAATTGCAAGGTTACCCACCAGCATTTCTTCAGCCTTCCCTAACAATTGGCTGCTACCCATTTATATTCCTTTTGTGAGATGACCCAGAATTACTCAGCTAAGCCTCAAACCCAGACCTGTTGACCAGGAGTCCAGTGCACAAATCATTAGGCTGCAATGTCTCACACATGCTAGGTTCTGTACTCCTTGAAAAATTTTGGTTGATGTAACATTTTTATATGTGAGGCTCACTGAAGAAAATCCAATCAATAATGGAATATTAATCACATATACTGTTAAATTAACTATTCAAAAATATATTTGATCCTGGGAAAAGCAGTGATGAAACTTATGAATGAGTTTCCATTGTGATCTTTCTTTCTCCAGCCTTTAAGAATGGTTACTTAAATTTTTTTTATTTCATTCAAAGAGTACCCAATGAAAGCAGGACTTATTGAAAACTGGTCTGACATTGAAGATATCTGGGAATACATGTTGTACAGTGAGCTTGGAATTGAGGAGGGAAGCAATCCAATTTTGGTCACTGAAGTTGCCAATACTCCAAGGAAGAACAGAGAGAAAATGGCTGAGGTGAGATTTCATTGGATGTGTGTATGCAATGCAAGGACTATGTTCCTGTGTCTATTGATACCTTGATTGGCAATGTCTTGCACTAGTGAAGTTCTGTCAATATGATGAAAAATTTCACCAAATGAATTTAATTATCTAGAAATCCTTTGCAGGAAGATGGTAGGGGTTTAGTTGTTTAACTCCCAGAAAGAATTTCACCCACAGTGTAACAATATCAAATTGGATACAATATCAAACATGCAAATAATGAGGAAATAGAAAAATATAAATTAAGGAATTATAAGGTGATCCAAAACCAAACTCTCTGAACTAACATCAAAGGAATTTTATGGTCAAAAGAAGGAGAATTACTAAATAAATGAGATCTTGGGAATGTTAAGTTTTTCAGCACTATTCTCATCAATTAGTGATTGTCAAAATCTCTATCTGTTAAGAAAGGAAAGGAACTGAACTGAGAAATATAGAACTTTCTTTTGAATAAGGACTGGAATATTAGATCAATTGTGTAACTAGGTTACTTTGTCAGAAAGCGGTTTTAAGCCATCTCGGTGTTGTTGTTTTTGATAGCCAGATTCAGTCAATCAACTTACTGATCACAAATATTGGAATACATGAAACAATTTGGTAGACTTCAAACTAGGCCAAATTTAATATTTAACTTAACATAGTTTACAACACTATAAAATTTATAACACAATACAAATATTAAAACTTAGGTAGTGAGTGCGAGTTGAGGTCATCCAAATAGCAAAGCTCCCACCCCACCCTCCTCCCCTAAAAAAGAAATACGTTGACGCATGATATAACAAGGTCCATACAAGGTAAAAATGATTTCTTAATGTGCAAAAGTTATAATAAACCTGTATAAAAATTAAGCATAAAGGTTTTAAGAGTATTATGAAATAATTTCTTGTTAATTTACAGTAGATTTTTTGATAGAAGGAAGTAAATAATTCTAAAATGCCAGCCGCCAAATTTTAACGAGTGTAGACCATATTGTGAGGCTGACTCCTGGTTGTCTCTTTGATGGTCTCTAGTCTTGCAGATGTATAGTTGTGTATCATATTTTGGATTGCAGATTTTATTTGAGCACTTAAGTGCTCCTGCCATGTATCTTGCCAATCAACTTGTATTGTCTCTGTACGCCTCTGGCTTGACACTGGGCATGTGCCTGTCCTCTGGGTTCTCTGTCACTCAAGCTGCAGCAATTTATGAGGGATGTCTGCTGGCACATACTGTCCAGGAACTTGACATTGGAGGCCAGTCACTCACAGACAACCTCCAGAAACTGCTAAGGGATAACAAAGGTCACAACTTCAATTCCTCTTCTGGCTGGCAGATTGTGAATAACATGAAGGAAAAAATGGCATATGTGGCTCAAGGTAAGCTTAAAATAGGTGTAATATTTAAAATTTCAAAGAGTTTTACTCGTGAGTTTTTAATTTTGTAAATAATAAATGTACGTTTTGAGTGTGGGATATTTTAGATCACTTCAATTGTCATCTAGGTACAAACAACAAGCTGCTATCTACTTAATAAAAAAAGATGGAAAAGTTTGTATTCTGTTACTACTTAGTGAGCCAAAGATTCAAGTCTGAATTTGTCTACTGAAGTGTATCATTGCTTCTCTTGCATTATGACACAAGGAATGTTTATTTATTACTGCTTTTTGATGGAAGAAAGTTTGTTGATAGTAACCCAGCTCCCCCCTTCTCATAAACAACCTTCCACCTCCTGCATCCTTGACTTCATCTCATTATTTAATGATGAAACACAACTGACTACAGATTAGCATATGCTCACAGTTTTGCCCCTCCCCCCTGCATCCTACCCTCACAAACACCTGCACCCCTCACACTCTATTCACTGGACCTTTCACCCCCTTGCTTCCCTGTCTTAATACAATATACTATAGTTTCTTTGTCTTTTTTTGTTTGTTTGTTTATTTTTACAGATTATCCCAGTGAGTTGCATCAGTACAAGACAAGTGCTGCACTGACTCAGCACTACAAGCTGCCTGATGGGCAGTTTGTAGACATCAGCAGTGAAATGATAACCACTGCTGAACCTTTGTTTACTCCTGAAACTCTTCTTGGAGCAGATGACACTGTTGCCTCACAGTTCCCTATTCACAAACTGGTCAACAATGCACTCAGGGGGTGAGATGAATTCCTTTATCTTTTTTTTTTTCTGTAAATGAATTGTAAACAAAGCCTAAGCTGAGTGATTTTAAGCCTTTTACTTCCATGAGCAACCAAGACAGAAATTCCCTTTACAACATCAATACAATATCAAGCAGACAAGTGGTGAGAACAAAGAAAAATATCAATAAGGGGATTTTAGTTGATTCAATACCAAATTCTCCATAATACAATCACAAGAATGATATGGTAGACAGTAAGGAGAATTACTAATGAGATCTTTGGGGTGAAAGGGTAAAGAAGTTACATTTTCTTTAACGTTAGTCCTTTACCTATAGCGTAAGCTTGATCACAAGATCTGCAACTGGTTAGTTTTAGGAGAAAAATGTTTTTAATTGAGCTTGGTTTATTTTGAATCCTGGATTGTTTTAATCAAGGTTCTATGATTATTTGCTTATTGCCCAGATGTTGTCCAGATCTTCAAAGTGTTATGAGCCGAAACGTTGTATTATCTGGCGGCACGACTCTAATGAGAGGACTGGTGCCAAGACTCGAACACGAACTCAGCAAAATCAACCCCAAGGTACGAACCGTACGTGCGCCTGACAATAGAAGGTATTCCGCTTGGATTGGAGGCTCAATATTGGGTTCCCTGTCGACTATAGACAGTATGTATGTCACAATTGATGAATATGCTGACTATGGAGGGCGAATTGTGAATCAGAAATGTTTCTGACTTGATTATTGCAAGGAACATCATGTCCACAATCCATGAACATTTTTTGAGCATATAATGGTTGTAGCCCAAAGTGAAGAAAATAATTTTGAGCAATCACAGTTTGTGGCAAATTAAATTAGTATGCCGTGTCATTGTTAGTAAATCAAAATAGAAGTTGCTTGTTTTCCCTGAATTTGATATACATAAAGTGAGTGGAGTGTTTTGGATCAAAGTTTTTATTAATCATTCTATACAAAGCCCAGGAAAGGTTAAAACAAGCCGATTTTGACTGAAATTTATGGACGAGTGTCTATTGAAATGGAAGAGTCACTGGCCATTTTATTGATTTAAGTAAAACTTTTTGATGACCCAGGAATAGGTATTGGTTATTATTACCGATTAAGTTGTGGACATTTTTATAAAAAATATCACCCCCTCATAAAAATGAATGAAAGAAAAAGGAAAATAACCGGAAAAAATACTGGCTCAAAGCCTTCTCCGAAATTGTTTTTCGGACGACAAACAGCATTTCAAAGAAGATTTCAGACAATTTTTCAACATTGAAAGTTAAAGTTGAAATTAGCCATTCAATATTCGTAATTATGATAATGATAATATCAATGATGTCTCGAAAAGCTCAAAACTTGTAATAATTTTTTTTTTAGCATTATACATAAGAGATTAGTCCACGCCTATTATTTCTATTTCTTGTAGACGAATTTCTAGAATGCGTAGAGCTGAAGTAAAATTACAATGTAAGGTTAATCGTACAAAGTTCATTTCTATTGGTGTATTATAATGTATATGGCAGTCCTTTGCCTGTAGAGTTCCAATTGTTTGCAGTTTTTGGAAGCAAATTTTTCTAGATATACATGTACACGATCGAATAATTTTTAATCCATGTTTAATTAATGCCTTACATTTCATGCAACTGCATGTAAATGTTGCATGGGAAGGATGGTTTAATTGCTTTCTTCCCGCCCAGTTTTTTCGTAAGGTAGCTCAGTATTGGTTTAAAGATTTTCGCTGTAAGGTCTGCGAAATGGTAGGATAGTCTGCGTAACTGGTGTGCAGGGAGAAGGGAGAGGGGGAATTTAATTTCCAACGCTGGAGTTTAATCAGGCAAAAGACTGTATAGATCGATGGGAATTAAAATTATCTGGGAAGCTATCTATGAATATTGGATAATTTTTGGTACAGTTGTGTTACAATTAGTTAGAATTTGAAATATATGAGTCTGTAAGAAGCGCATGTACGAAATATAAGCGAAAACTTGTAAAAATTCCTTAATTTCGTCATTAAGATAAGACGGAACGGAAAAACCCTGAATTAGGGAAAAATATAGAAATTTCGAAAAGGAGGTTTCTTTGGAATCCTCAAGATCGAGCTGTAAGATGTTCACGTTATTTCAAACAAGGGTTATGCACGAATTAAGGCAGTCGTGTTTTTAATCATCTTAAATGCCAAAAGTAATGCAAAAATGTGACCCAACAACCAATTATGTCGGTGTGATATGAGATTGTCATCAAAAATTTGAATTATCCTGAACATCTCCATGGATGATTTTGGTGGCGTATTAAGTTAAGATCAATTCGGAAATGCTACACAAATGCACAATTTGCAAATTCAATGATCAATATCAATATTCGTAGTTAATCAATGCTATTAAAATTTTAACAGAAGATCGTTCTTTGTTGCCGTAATTTTTGTTATTAAGAGTGAAGGGTCGAACCAGGATGAAGATTATTTAAAAGTTTAGACCGGTTTTCAATTGAGTATCTAAAGCGATCCTGAATTGCTTTGATTTTGCTTTACTTCGCTCGGTGATCAAATACTAAATTAAAACAAATCCTTGGTCACTCGCGTTTTCCCACGCTTCAAACAGGTTGCCTGTTTTTACTTTGAATTTCATTGGTTAATGATGGTTTTAATCTTTGTTCTGATTGGTAACTGCGATCACTTTGGTTTTTATATTTTTCGAAACTCAATTGAAAAACGCTCTCATCAGTGTAAACAATGCTCAGGGAAAATTAAATTTAGCCGTTAGTTTTCAAGTTGGCCAATTAAATTCGTGTCAATACTTTCCATCCTTGGCTGTCCTTTTCCCTTTTTAGTTATTATTTTCATTTTTGTAATTTTTTTCTTAACCAAACTAACCTCTTTCATACTAAAATTAGTTTTGCATAACGCAGAAAATAAATCAAAATATCTTGGTGTTGTTTGTTTTTTCTTGGAATTGCGTTGTTATCGTAATTAGCAAAATTCCTCGAGTGATTCAGTACATTCACATTTAATCAAAGATTTTATTCGGGCCTGTGCTTCACAGTTTGTCAAAACGATAAAGTTTTAAAGTAAAGATTTATGATCTACAGGGAACTATTATGTCTAGAAATTACATGTATATTTCGTTAAAATAATACTGCGAGCACCCTGATTGCTCAAAAACCTATCGTTCATTGCACCAGTAAACCGACTGAAAATTAAAGGTTATTTTATAAAATGCGTAGAGTACACCTACTGTCAAATTTCGGAGCGTAATAATCCACTTGGAATGGTGAGAGAACGCCTGCAAAGTTTATAAATCACTCGCCTCCGTCTCGTCGTTTACAAACTTCTCTCGTGTTCTCCCAACATCCTGCGTGGTTTACTATGCCGGTAAACCGATGAAAAGTGCGATCTATTGTTGCTGCCCCCGAAAAAGCAGGGGAAACCCCTTGGTTCTATTTAAGAAAAAAATGCAATTGCAAAAGTTTTGAAAAAATGAAACCGTCCCTGTAAACATTAGTGGGTTCCCGACTTATTAGCCTTTGTAAGCATGGTATAGATGTTAGGACGAGATGGCTTCTGCATTTCAAGAAAGAAAATGGTCCAAGTGCAAGTGAAGGCATTGTAACACAATAACACTGAGATAGATTACATGACATCGCGTTAAATTTTTAATTTATCCAGTCAACCTTGAAACAACATCGCGCAGTACCTCACAGTATGTAGCCCACGGCCAAATGTTGCGTGAAATGTTACGGTTGGTTAAGATTTTTGCGCACAAAGCAACTTTAACTCGCATCAGAACACACGTGTACACTGAAAAGCTCATCTCTAGGCCTGTTATCTGAAAAATATTTATGGATAAATCGACAAGTTATTTTGGGTCGTTTTCCGCGACTAGCAAAATCCTGCTAATCTTGAAGGGAATCACATAATGTAAAGTTGACGAGATAGGAAAAAATTGCAAAATGAGAGGAATGATATTAAACAAAAACAGGAGCCATTACTTAACTAATGGGCTCCTGACAAAATCGAGAGTAGAAAAGGCAGATAATAAACGCCCCGGTTGTTCTAAGGTTGGATAAAGGTATTAAATCTCTGTCCAGTGGAGAACGCAGTACGTTTTGCCGTCCCTCACAGTTATCCGCTGGATAGCGACTTGTCCTGAGGATATTGGAACAAGTGGGCCCTGAAATTCCCAATATAAACACAACGCTTGAAATACGCCCTTAAATAATTTTACGAGAGGACGATTAGCCAGAGAAGCGACTCGTACAATCCAGGCTATGGACAGTTTTGTCTCTAACATGACGTCATGAAACATAGTTTTCCATCGACAACATTAACGAGTGCAAAACTCACGTTTCCACGGGCTTTATTAAAAACCGTTTACCAGCTGATTACAGCCCCCTATAAGACATCTTACCACCTTCTGTTTAGCATGCGAGCAAAATCTTGTGTTTGGGTTTCATGAATCTCAGTGCTCAAGGGCCGGGAGTATTTTGTGAGAAAAAAACAAGAAAAACCCGCTTGATTTAAGCTGCAACTGGTCTTAAACCAGATGCAATTGAAATGGTAAAAAAATAGGGCTTGTCCGTTAACTTCAGTCATAAATGATTCAGTTGCACTTTCACTTTTCAGGCTGATTAGTATTTCGTTACTGACAAGAGTCAGTTGAAACAAGAAATATCCTCCAACTTCCGGTCGCAAACTGCCGAAAATAGCCTTTGACGTTGCCATATGTTTTGGGATGGATATTCAAGACAGCTTCGAATTGCAATCATTCTGGGAGATAACCTATGAGTTTTCACTGAAGAATACTAGGAACAGTCTTATTTGATTACCAATGCGTGTTGTCAGTAAGACAAATTTTCCCATCGACAAATTCTCAGACAGCGTTTTCGGGGAAATACAGAATCACTTTCTATTGAAAGCTAGGAAATAAAAGTGAAACTGCTGTTCGGGCACTTCCTAATGTTGTTCTCATGATTCCACACCCTGTCTAACGTGAGAAGAGCGATTTTTTTACCTGCTTTTTTTTTCCCCCCCTGAAGGCTTTTTCCCTTTTTCAGGGACCACGGGTGCTTGCTGTAACGGTCTATAACGGTAAGTCTGCATCAATTGGTGACAGGGACGAGTACCAAATGGGATTGTGAGACTGTAACGCGAACCAATTTGTCTCATATATTTTTATTTTAGTTTCTGATTACGATGTACTGAAGCGACAAAATTAAGGTTTGGCCTTTTAGAACTGACTGAAGGCGGCATTGTTATTTCCAGGAGTTTTATACAAGCTCACTTGTATTCATACTAGCTTACTACTGAAATACGTTGCAACTCACGTAAAATCATTATTTGGTGTTCAAGTCCTCAGATCGAACGTTTTTATCCTGGCGCACTTGTACTAAAAGAAAACATCCGAGGAAGGTAATGCATTTTAAGTATCAAGAAATGTTTAGTGGCAAATAAGTTATGATTTATTCATTGAATCAAAACGCAAGCAGTTACCGGGTTATTGTTGATACAAATAGAGACCGACACATTTTGTTTCTGGAGAAGAGTGTGAAAGATTGTGCCCGAAAATTAAATATCACGGTAAAGAGAAATGCGCTGTGCCCATATAAAATGTTTTCTTTATTAGCTGTCTAATTTTTTTGTTAAAAAAACTCTAAGTTTATCGCCATAAAAACTAACATTTAACAGAAACTCATTGTCATGCATACGTCATTTCTCCACCAGTTTGAAGGGAAAAATAAATTCAATATGGCGGCGGCCAGGCATTCAGAAACAAGAAAGCTTCGCAGAGACAAAGAAGGCACCCACTTCAGCTCTCAACTCAGACAGGTTGTGTGATTTATATTTGATATTCTGTCTAGCCGGTTGAATAACGAAATTATTCATGTGAAGATCTAAAAATCCTAATCACATTTCGTCGGCCGGTCACTGAGATCGTGTGAGCCATGAATGATCAGTAGGAACAATAAGCCGTCAGTTTAAAAGAAACAGCACGTTTAAATAGCATTATTTGTGACCCCTTTTGTCATGATATGATAAATATACACATGCTTAAGAGAGGTAAGTGGTTACTCTTCAGTCTTTTGTAATGCTTGAAGCCTTAAACGTCCAACTTTTAATGCAACTCAAATTGGAATATTCTGAAGTGTTAGTGTGAGCAATGTCGGTTGGTGTTAATTACGACAAAGATTCAATGTGGAAATTTCATTTTCAGATGAATACGCATGTTATTGTATCAGGGCCGTTTAATGATAAGCCACGGTATTCATACGTTTATTTACAAGATAACGTTATTATCCTATACTGTTTATTTTTTATGATTTCTGTAATATGTGCGATCAAACATTTGGATTTTCAATTGAGGGCCAGAGTTCTCGGCCTTTGACGCCGGCTCGCTGGTGTTCCGCTCAATCACTTCCCAGTTGTATTTCGTTCCTCTTCGGTGTTGAATGCATTCCCACAGTTTGCCCGCAGTTACCTTTACTTCTTTCTAGAAAGAAAAAAAAAGAGTGTATCTCAAATTATCCCATGTGGCTATCACACAACTGTCACCATGAGCTAACCGCCCGCAAACCATATCTTTCCGGCCACGCGGCATGTGACGCCGACTGGATGTTGGCTGCCCAAACCTACTCACAGACCCCTACAAACATTTTTTTTAACTTCTTAACAATGGTTTTAAGCCACACATGCAGTGCTGAGCGTTGCCTGAGGTACCGATATCAAAGACAAATATTTACTTGTCGGCCATGATCACTCACATGTTTTATATGTGACAGTGGCGAGTAAACACGAATTGATAGCAAATCAATCAAATTTCTTTATTCTGGCCAACTCACGACTGCCTGATTTTAGAAGTTAGTTAGGACTCTCGTTCGAGTAAGAGCAACTAATACCCGATCATCTCACCAAGATCGCTATTTACCGGGCCTTCAGTCTTTCCCGATAATGAAGGACTAAAGCGTAGTACGTAACCTGGAAGAAACGCCAAGTTTTTGTAAACTGAGCTTACTTAACTTTAATCTCGCAAAGAAGCTCTGCGACATATTAAACAAAGACTTTGAGCATTGCCCTGTTGATCTATTTTTGTAAACCTGTCGGCAGTCCGAACATCTCCGAAGACACACAGACTTTATATGTAGAACGATCTTGTAACCTTCATCGTTGAGTTGTCGTTTAGAGCTAGTGCGACCAGTTTCATTTTTGTTTCGTGGTTTTGTTGTGTTATTATACAAAGTACCTTTTAATGAGGGTGCGATTTTCAACCAAGAAAAGGCAAGGTAATTTGGTATTACCAACTGAGTTCATGATAACGTAATTTGGCCACCGTAAAGGGTTTCAAAGCTGACATCTCGAGCGTTAGCCCTTCGTTAGAGCGAATGAAAGAAAAGACATCCTTCTTTGCTCAACTGATTATTATTACCGTTAGGGAAACGGTATACTTTTCGAGATACCGAGAAGTTCGAGTTAGCTGATCATTGAAAATGTCTGTTCTGCAAGGGAAATGATTGAACGTTCGGTGATGAGCAGGAATGTTTCTGAACGCTGGTGGTCCTGAGAAAACATCAGCCGAGATCGAGTTGTGATGTAGGCTTGTTCGTGGTTTATATGTTAACTCCTTATACCTCAGGTGAAAGATAGCAAGTATACCAGGTATTGTCTTATCTCAGACCTTTGCTAGTTCACGGTAAGAAAAAGTACTGTATCTTGTCTATCTTGTGCGCCATGTCATGAGCTCAGTCAGAAGTTAAAACGACCGGCTCACTTTCTTTTGACCTAGGTCGATCCTGCTTGCAATCAGTCGCTCTGACGAAGGTATAACGCTCGAAACGCCAGCTTTAGAAATTCTTACGATGGTCGATTTACATAATCAACTTAGTTGATGAAGCCAATTTGTCCTTTAATCCTGCTTGTGTCGACCATTTGATGGTAGGACAACAGCAAGACAAGCCAATGGCTATCGAGAGCTGGCATACGAAATTTGTTTATTAACTGACCGAAGTTACCGGACGGTAGAATTTTTACCACAGCTAAACCGGTTACGTTTTTACTACTCAATATTTCAATCCTGCCTCTGAATTTTGAATTTTGATGTATTCATTTAAATTATTCATCCGTGTGCAATTATTCTGAAAAATTGAACTGATTTACAACTGATCGGCTTGAATCACTAGTTGATTCACATTTTAGCGAAGAGGGAAATTGTTGTAAGAGAGAAATTGGTGATGAAACTGGACTGACTTGTCTGAAAGCTGAAACAATCGCCTTCACATGGTGGCCACGCAATATTTTCGGTGCTGACCATTCCGACAAAGAATATACTTTCTTGGATTTCTCTGGAGAAGAAGTCCATGACTAATGCCGGTCTCCCCAGGAAATGAATTGAGTATGAAAATTTCGGCTTTTCATTTCTGAAAGAGGTCTATAAATAACATGCTCCAATTATTGTTGGTGGAAATAAAAGCGCATTGATGAAACAGTATGTTATGGACTAAAAAAAGGAGATCTGATTCCCCTCTCTATTTGAGAGGAACAAGGAATCGATGGATGTTTAGTCAACTGATTGTTAAAGACTTCTCTTCCAAGCTTAGCGGCCGTTACCACAGGTTACACATCATTAGCGAGATGAGAAAATTTAAAAGTGATGCGTCTACAATTATTTGAATAAAAACGACAGTCTTCCAAAAAGAAAAAACAATCGTTTTTGATGAATGGTGGAAATGGCTCAAAATAATACCTTGATGAAATTCATAAAGAGTTCTTGTGCACATCATGGACACATTGTTAACCCTTACAAATTCCCATAATCCACACCCTCGGAAATAAATAACTAATTTAAGATTTTTAGAGAGTGTTAATCAATATTTACAACTTAACAAACTCCCCGGCTGACAATCATATATTTATGTCTAACAAAAGGAAAACAGAGGGTGGAGGGTGCTATATTTAGCACAAGCGTCATGTGACGAGAAAGGAATTCAGGAACTAACTGAGACCGACATAGCTGAGACAGATCGAAACCATGAAACTTAAGTTATTTGCGCTGCTATTTCTGTTAACATTAAACGGTATATAATTAGCATATGGGAAAAAGTTCCAATTAAATGTGAGGAAGATAAATATTTTTTACGATTTCTCGATCTATGCTACTAGCACTAAATGAGGATATTCAAACGGTGACGTGTCGAGCATCAGTTTCCAATTCCGTGTAAACAAGAGTGACGTGTAAGTTTTTTGTTGCACATCAATCACATGATCTTATTTGGATAGATTTTACTGTCCTTGATGCCGTCACTTTAGTCAAATTTTGGTTCGTGTTGGATAAACAGGCCCCTACTATCACAGAGAAATAAAGGTAAGTTTTGTCTCGAGATAGACCATGAACATAGTCCAACCGGTCTGACTGTTCCGCACAAACAGCGGCACTGAGGCCTTACTGATTTTACGTATGCAAATGTTTGGATGTTGTTTTGAACTGATATCAGAATAAACTTGCGGGCTGCCGAGGCGAGCTAAGTTTGCTGCGACGTGGGAAATACGCAGTATTTGTCGCGTTCTATTTTAAAGATATAACATGCTTTACAGCATTTATTAGGTTGTATTCGCCAGTGCCGTTCAGTTAAGCAGTGTCTTCTCTAATACTTCCTTGATTGGATTCGATTACTGCTGGAACGATGAAACTACCAAATCGGAATATTGTCATGAAATATGTGCGCAAATTAATTTTGTTTAACGTCATCTTAGGTGGTTGTTTTCTGCTTTCAGTGGATTTGAAACAATAACATGCTCTTTGCGGCCTCCTGCAAGAGCCAATTCTATGTTTTAAAGTTGTGTAAGATTTGAATATAATTTGGTTGATTACGTTTACGGTCAATTCATGACATAGCAATATCATTGTGCATGTGCATGACTACCTTTAATTCGTTCCGTTTCAAAACGTGATTTCAAGTGATAAATATTTTTGGATGATAATTCGTCTGAAGGATTGTGAGTTTTCCTGAAATCGGTCTCAACGAGTGGTCCACTCTTAAAATGAAAATGTATGCAGCGACCCTACTAAGAATGTAGAAGAGCCGATGGACCGCAGTACGTTGCTTGGTGCTCACGGAAATTCGCTGTTAATATCAAACATTTATGACGTTTTTTTTTATCAAACTTCTTAAGATTTCTCATAAGGGTTACCACAAACTGCATGTAAAATTGAGTCTCTTTTAAAGCAGCCCTACATCAAAAATGAAAAGTTGGGCGCCACTGAATTTACATTCGTGCCCTCGTGCAAAAACTGTCTTCTGCACTCGTATCCCATGATCTAATACGATTATCCAACAATTCAGTGTGTAGTAGGTGGTTCACTGCTGTCCTTATCAAATCCAGCGAAATACGGCAAATATTCTTCTAGGCGGCTCTATCAGTAATTTCCGGATAGGAGGAACTGTTCAAATAGATGTAATGTGTCACGATATAAGTTGCATTACACTCCGCTGTTGAACAACCTCCTTTACCATGGCCGAACTTGACAGCGTGCATTAAAAACTCAGAAGAAATCAAGATGAAAATTTACACAAAATACCCTTAATGAGGAGCGCTTGAAAACTGTGGCCTTATGAAAAGTTAATGAAGGTCTGATTATTTAAACAAAGTTTAGCCGTTGTTTCACAAAACCGCGTTCTAAATTACCTCAATTTAGCTGAACCTTTTATCTGTACATTTATTCTATGAACAGCGTCAAAAGGAACAAAAGCTAACAATTGAAAGACATTCATTTAATTCAATCAACTCTCTTATAAAGAAAACCTGAGCCCCACTGATTAGATAAATCCGCGGTTTGAGTAAGATTTCGTGCAAATAACCGGTCCTTAACCTTTTCATTCTTAGGGGGTGACGCAAAAGGTAATGAGAAAAAAGAAAATGTATAACTGCTTCCATTTTTTGATTCAACACCAAATTTAATTATAAGAAATGCATGGCTCCTTCACTTCATTTAGCTCCTTCACTTTAAGCTTTAGCCATACTAATGAATTTAAATTCCGGAAGTTGTTAATGCCAATGTGTGACAATCTTTTTCCATCCTTGACTCTTTACACCCTAACATTAGTATGCATATTTTCCATAATATTCTTTATTTATTTCCCGTAGTTCTGAGAGGGAGAATTTGTTGAATAATGAAATTTCTTAAGTTGGTGATCATTTTCGTTATTCTCGTGACCTTAATGTGTGATTTAGAGGTGATATTTTTAGGAGAAATTAGATGCCAGTTACTTCAACATCTTCGCTCTCTTCTCTATTCAGTCTCTCAGCAGTTTTCCATCTCACCAAACATATATTTTTTGGTAAATCTCGCTCATAACTGAGAAAGTTTTTGGCATCGCGAAAGAGTTTCTCCGCAACATATCGTGTAGTTGTAATTCTGAAAAGCAGAAGGCGTTTTTATCACTAGGTTCGTCTACGCTTCACCCTCCTGTGTTTGTTTTTTTACCAAACTGACCACAACAAAATTAAAGAGAAAAAAAACACATTCTCACTTGGTAATTGTGACCGAAGGGAAGAACAGATTAAGATGATGTAAATAAACAGAACATTTACAAGTACAGGAAGGGTGTAACTAATATCTACATTCCTTTTAGCCTTGCCCTGCACTTAGCAGCTATCAACAGAGTCTCAAACTGACCAAAATTTGAAAACAATTTACTTTCCTGCTTGCATACCCCAATACTTCTCAGTTTGCTAGTAAGGATTCGATACGAAGAGGTTTTGTCAGAAAGCAAAAAGTTGAAAACTATATCGCGTCCACTTGTAGATAGCACAGTCTACTTCTGCTTCCTCGTTCCAAGATAATCAGAGAACATTCGCTATGCTCCTACAAATGATATAGACACTTCTAGCAATTTCCAAGATCTGTTGACTTTAGTTACTGATTAACCGTGGCAAGTCAACTTGATAAATCCCTAGACCTAGCAACGAAGAAGAAATTTTCTGGCGGACAGTTTATTAAGATTTCCTCTGAGTTGAGCTGCCAAGCTTTTTCTTGAAACAGGTGCGGTCTGTAAAGGGAAGATGCCATCTTGCCGTATATGCAGTCCTCAAGGAAGGAAATTTCACCGCTAAGTTTTAGTGTTAAAGTTACACCAGCCCGATCCACGAATGTTGCGTCCAGAGTATTTTGCACAATAAAATCCAAAGTAAAATTTTCAACAGAATTTAACACTTACATATTGAACACTAATTGAACCTTGCATCTTGGTGCTTCGCCTGAAAGCTGAATACAACAGGCATAAAAATTGTATTTATTTATTTACTTTGGACAAATACCTGGGATTACGCGTGTAACACAAGCTACATTTTTTTTAGATTATAAGACGTTGGTTCGAATCCAGGAACTTTCACGCTAGTGACGCGTTTCCTTATCATCTCCAAACTCCGGATACACATTTCCTTTCGTTTTGAAAAGTTCTGTAGAATGCAATGCTTTGGAGGCGTTGGCAGACATTTTACACAACTCGCGCGAATCTTCATGCGTCACTATGACGTCAGAGTAATGCTTTCATTTCTAAAATTTTCGTGTAGACAGATTAAAATGCAAATCTAGAGAAGACGGTTTAGTTGAACCTTCTTTCGATCTCGGAGAGATTTAGCAGACTGCGATCAGTGTAATTTGATTCAGAATTATAGGAATTACGGTGAATAACAGGGTAATGTATATCATTCAACTGCCTTTTACCTTCGTAGAATTCGTGTTCTAATAATTATTACACTTTCCAACCATTGAAAGCCATAGTCAATCAACCCTTATGTTGTCACATCTACTTTCAATAGTCTTGAATCCTGTTCACTCTCAATCTGTCCAATTCAATCAGAACTGCTTTCTGAATTTACTCTCATTGAGAAGGACCGCGGAGTTTAGCCAGCTTCGAATGATTATTTATTCAGATGTGCCAATAACATAATTAAGTTTGAGTATTTTGACTTGTTTTTTTGTACTTCATAATATCATGCTTGCCGAGTAGATTACATAATCAAACGACATTCAAGGGTCATTTGACTGGAAACTTTCGACCGTGCGAACTTTAGCTACAAGTGAACAGAACAGGATACAAACACCACTGCTTTTCCAGATATTTCGTTTTCTACTTTCGCTATTACATAAACATTTTGCCACCTCACAGGGCAATTAAAAATCCTAACTGATAACAGAATTAAAAACACGCACTATTATTTTTAACATCAAGCAAAGATATCACTAAAAATAAATTTTACCCAGACAGTTGGCTGTCTGTTCCCGAACTCTAGTGAACTTCGTTCGCCTTTAGGCTGTTTTCTGCTATCCGTGCGCTTAGTCGAGGAAAGCCTGTTAATCCGGTTCCTTGCAGTTTAACATAATCTTCGCGTGGTAATCAGCGCTCTATTGATTGGAATAGGATTAACTTGATAACGGAACTCGTTTAGCAGGAAGAAGAAACACTGACCTCTGCATTCAAACTTTTTTCATTCTGAGCATAAAAAAAGCCGTCAGCAAGCTCATAGAATGAAAAAAAAGTCAGAGCGGAAAGTCGAAGTGGAATTTTGAACGTTGGCTGAGAGGATCTAGGATACCAATAAATCAGTTGACTTAACGTATCTTCAACGGAAATTCCAGTTCTGCTCAGCTTCCTTTGCTTAGCTCAAAGTAGTTAAGAAGATTACAAACAATGAATGAATCGAAGACCCAGTGCCAACGCGGAGGTTGAATGATCTTCTTACAAATATACTTGAGCAATGCTCGACTGATCTGCGATCTAGACCGTGAAAAAACCGACGTAAAACTTCTCCCAGGTTTGATAAAAAATGTGCCTTTTTTTTAATGTACTTTTATTTTATTGCAGAGAAAAAAGTACACTTGCCTCAGCTGTCATTTCTGAGGCTGTCTGTTATCTGCCAGATTTCACTCGGCCAAGTTTTTCATTGATCATTCCGACTTCCTTTTCAATTTCGAACCAAGGCGATCTTGACGGGAAATTGTTTAGCGAGTTAATTATGATTAACTGACTCTCAACGACCTTGCAGCCGACGGCTCCAGTTTAAATGCTTGAGATTTTTTCACCAAAGATGAAAAAAATAGCGACGTGGAGTAGATAGCTGACGAGTTGTTGCAAGAGATTCGAGATGTTTATAAGGTCCCACATGAGGCAATATGGAATTTCATTTCGCAGTGTAGTGACGTTGTGCGGTTATTTCAAATTGACTGTGGTGACTTCTCGTGAGGTCTATCTTTAACGATAACCTCTTAAGGACCCCGGTCACACTTTGTGAACTGCGCAAATAAGTCTAAATTTTTTAAGGTCGTAATTTACAATTAGTGTTGAGCTTGCCAATTCGCAAACGTCTGGGTTCCTCTCTTATTCCCTTTATTACATTTTCTTCCTTAATAGCAAACCATAACCTTTTAATTTTTCATAGCGCGATGCAGGACTCCCCGCTTTTGAGCACCGTGTTTTATTTTTCGTTTCATTTCAGTTAAACAAGCCGGTTTTTGATACTGGGATCACCTGCCTGCGATCGAAGTACAACTAATTTTACTCGAAAAATTAGAAAGAAAATAGGACTGGTCTTCTGGGCCGCACTCGATCAAAAGAAATTGATGAATTTGTTTGTTCGGCATCTCTTCAATTCGTTAACTATGTTACCGGAGGCGACAGAATTGTTCTAGAAAATTTATGTTTACCGCGAACAATTTATGCGCTGGTATGTATATGCTTGCACAGACTTGAGTTTAACACACCCAGTGACGTTCGTGACCCGCGGTTACCTTAGAGAAGAAACGATTCAAATTGGCGATGCACTGAATGACTCGCTCGTTTATCACAGCGCCAATATGACATTTTCAGTAATCCTGATAGTATCTGCTGATTCTTTGTACTTGTTTTGTTATCATTATTATTCCCTTTCTACTTCGTTACTTTCTTACTTCCTGGCGTACAAAGGAGAACTGAGTTAATCAAGTAGTTATTGAAATTACCTCTGCTTTTTCCGAGATCGATAACATTTTTAAATATTTTCGAGACACGAAAACCTGAAGTACCAAAAGCACTAGTATCTTCTTGAAAGTTATTGAAAATACCATTTAAATCCTTAGCAGCCCGACTCAATATTAACATGGAGCGTTTTTGAGTTGTAATTATAATTGTTTGCCTTCCTATCTATGGCCCAAGATAAATTGTTTCTTTTTTACAATATTCAAAAGCACTTCTGTATGATTTTGTCGAAGTATTATTAAATGGTTGGTAGGTTGTTTCATCTCCAGTCTTTTAATACGACAGAATCTTGGTTATTTGTACTGTTAGCCAATCTAACTTCCTTGCATATCAAAGACGCATTCACTCCTCTACACGAAACAATGAAAAACCGTCCGACTGAAACTTGATGTGCGGCAACAAATAATTATCCGTATTAACCAAATGTAAAATTCGACATTTATCTAAATTAACCGTGGAATCACCAGATACAGTGTACGAAGTTCGATTCACGATTGGACTATTTCAGTCGATCTTTTTTTATTTGTACAAAATTGTCGTCAGAGTTAAGCCGGCTAATGTTTTAGATGAGCGTTCATTTTCCCTCGCGCGAATTGTTGATTATAGAAACGTGTTTTCCAAGCCAGCTGGCCAAGGACGCAATTTTAAAGCAAGTGTTATCTGTATCGGTGATAAAAAAAAAGGAAGAAGAAAAAAAAACATCTGGGAGGTTGGCAGCCATATCATCGTTTAGTGTTTCGTGAAAACAATAAGATTTATCTCGGAATAAACGAACCGACTCGCCTAATACTCACATCTGAAGCCATTTTGATGTCAGATCATATTGTTAGGAACAAGAGAAAATGAGGAGGAGGTATCGTGGGTTGAAGTAAATAACTTTTCACGCGTCAAGTTACAGTTGGATGGCAAAAGAATTATTTTCCCTTTCAGAGATGAGAGGCAATTCATGTTGTGGTGATCTTTATGTTTTTTCTTTCAGTTGATTTAAAAGGTGAAAATGGCGAAGTTTGGTCCGCCATTTGCCCGACATAAATCCGGGCGAAAAATAGCGGCTAATTATTGCGAAGGAAGCGAGATCTTTTCATTGCCGTCAATCAGTTCACTGTACCTCGGCTGTTCAGGTTTTAAATTTAAGCGCTTTGAGACCCTTATACAGTAAAAATTTCAATTTGAATGACTGTACTACAGACACTTACCGAAGACACGCAGGGAGAACAAAATTTTAGTTTTAATGTGTACTTTGCCCCCAAGATTTCGACACGCGTAGTTCTAAAAACCCAAAAATAAAGAAGCGGAAAACGAAACGTTATGAACTAAGTTTTGAACTGGGATCTGCTTCACCATTCCACAGATGTAGTTGTATTTTAAAATGTTGATTCGCGGCGTGCCCGGAAAGTTTCTTTCGAGAAAAGGGCCCCTGGTTTAGTCCTCGAGAACTCGAGTTTACTTGTCTAGTCGTAAACTTAATTTTCAATATCATAAATCTGTATCCATGATGAAACTGAAAAAGAAAATTCTACAAGTTTTTTTGAAAAGAAAAGAAAGTTACCGGGCAATAATTCTAATCATGTTTTCGTCTACAACTTCCTTACACGTGGCTTTAACCTATGCCTCGTTACAGTGTAAATTTCGCCTTCGCAGTGCATCCTGGGACTCGAGGGATCTCGAAGTTCACTCGTTATGTTCAGTCAGGGCATATGTAATAGCGTTCGTTTCAGCCAGGTTTGTCGTGGTTTTTATTCAAAATTCCCACGTAGACGTATCTTATGAACAAGTATACCTTCCACCTGGGAAGATTTTCCTCAAGGTAAGCTCTTTCGCGCCGAAAATGTCGCTGCGATAAGGAAATATCGAGTGGCACCCGCGTAATTAAGTAATTTATTCAACACGAATGGCGCCAGCCGCTTGTTTCGTTTTCTTACAACCCTCGTGATATCACTCTAGCCGGTCTTTTGGCAAAAAAATTCAGCAACATTTAAGTTATAAACTAATCTGTCGTATATACGAGCTTTTTGTAAGCTTTTCCGAGGTGTTATCGGTTCACGCGTGAAAAGGTTTTGGGCGCGAGTGGATTTACTGTCACACTTAAGAAGAGGCTAGACGATTTCAATCGGTTGAACTGTCCGTTATCAATGTGACTTGGCTTTGAGAACTCTTTATTGAAATACAAGGTTACTGAAAGCTGCAAGGTGTCTGAAAACCTACAATAGGGGAATCAGTGACATATTTTGCCTCTAATCCGACGATATTGAACATCTACTATACTACGTTATTGGATTAGGTAGACAACTGTGCCCAATGTAACTCAGAAAAACGCGAAATCGGGTGTTTTCGCACATCTCTAAAACTTGTTATCCATTAGTTTAACAAGTTCAGTAGTTTCTGCTGCTTTGTGGTCAAAATTTCCGTTTGGAAAGGAAATTCCTTTCCTGTCTTCACCCAAAGGAGGTTTCCTTGAGATGTTGTTAAAACCCTAATTTGGATGTTTTCAAGTGCGTTGTTTTTTGTGATAAGCGTTGTGGTAGAGGAAGTAGCTAAAAGAGATAATTTATGAAGCCAGTTGAAGCTGAACGTGCTCTTATAGTTGGGCTGCATTCAACTCTATGGGATTCATATCCTGTTTTGAAGGTGTCATGGAAGACCAAGCTTTCCTCATCACAGAAAAAAAGGCTTGGAAAGGGTGGATGTTTTTTGTGTTGCTAAGGCAAGGATGAATTGTAATATGTAATATGTTAGAGTTTCTCTCTGCGCGATCCTTCGGACCTAGCATTTCCTAAAGAAATCTCTAACAGCCATCATTATGCTGTACCCTTTCTGTCTGTGAGGTTAGACAGAATGTGACCCCTTATTGCCATTCATCCTTACCTATCTGTTTTTTGTCTGTAGTGTGTGCAGAGTTTCTTTTAGTTAAACTTGAATAAAAACTTAATGAAAGCTGGGTTATCACCAGTAAATTTAAATATTCAATCACATAGTTGAGGGGAATATGTCTGAACAATGGTTTGTTTATTAAGCTGACCTGAAAGTCACCATGACCTAATAGCAATGATAAGTTTTTGTTTGAGAGTTTCACATACTTAAACCTGTATTTCTTAAGATCTGATTTTAACTCTCCCCTCTAGCTGCTGCAAATTTCCTCGTAAATGAGTCACAAACAAAAATTTGGTGTTGGATCATGATAACTTTGAATGTTCTTGTTACTTTTTGGATGGTTGTTGTATGGATAATTTAGGGAGAAGTTACATGTTCATCACTTTTGGAAGTTAAAGGGTTAGAGTTGAGATTAGTTTAAGGCTTTCAATATTTAGACTCAAACAATGCATGGGCACATATTTTGCCATGACTTGTATTTCACAAGATGACCATCTCACAGCTGGAGCTTGGGCTGTCTGTGATTGGATATGAACTGTCCTTGCATTCTAATATTGTAGCCAATGCACATTGAAACTCAAATGCAGCCACAGTCCTAAATTTCTTATTTTTATATCATTCTTTTGGCTCTTTTGTTATGGGAAATCACAATCTCAGATATGTGTTTGATCACAAAGATTTGAAAAATATTTATCTGAGGACAATTTAAGCAAAAGTAACAACTGTAGGCCAATCTATTTGTTAATGCATTTTTGTGATGTGAGGAAAGTTAGGAGCTTTCACTTCCTCATTAGGCATCAAACACAAAGGTGTCAAGCTGGGAGGTATTCATGTCCGAGTTAGCGATCTACACAAATTTTTGCGAGGAAAGCTAAGAGCATTAACTCAAAGTTATGTCCTTAGCTGGTCATGATAATTTAAGATGCCAATTTTTCTCAAGCACTTAGCTTTGTATTTGGTTTCATTTAAGCATTTTCAGAGTTTGAGCATTCTCAAATGGCATTTCTGCCAAGAAAGATATTGTGAAATGATCTGAAAAGTCCTGATTTTCGTCTGTTAGGGAATTGCTTCTGTGAGTTTGTCTTTTTTATCATGTTTTATGAAAAACTTGATAGCAGCAATAAGTCATGTCCATTATGGTCTGTTGACCAAGGAGAAGATGTGCTTATGTTTTGATTGGATAAAAGGTGATTGTCACTAAAACTTGCTTAATTTTAATAATGTTGCTTCATCTCTTAGATCAGAGTGCAATGCTTTTCTTTGTTATGCAAATTATGCCCAGCAGCACACTGGGTGTTTTTCACATGAACAGCAACACCTTGAGTCTTTAGTAACCTTGGGTTGGCTATCTAAACTAAATGTTGAATGTTTTTGATTACTAGTCCAACTTATGTTGGGATTGTGGTACTCAAACTTGCTACTTAGTTCAAGTTTATCTGGTTTTCTGACTGAAGAGAAAATTGCTTTTTTCCTCTTCTGCCTATCATCATAACCATCATTTACAAATGAAATGTATTTTTTTATGCAACTACTGCATTTGACTGATTGCAAACAACAAATCCTATCACAGACAATAGAATAGTCCAATCTTGTTACTGAACTTTTAATGTTTACAGCAAAGGTCCTGTTGAAAAATAAGTATAAGCGTGCCACTAGCTTCATCCAGTCAATTCTAGTAAAAACAGCATTCTGTTTGTGTTCAGTGAGCAGAAACTGATAAGGTGTTTTGAAGTTAAAATTTCGAAAAGCACAAAATTGTTAGATCATTCCTTTTGTGTAAGGTGAAGTCATTTACGGCTATATTTGACTCTTATCTTTTTGTTGAATTGATTACTGTTTCAACAGCCATATTCTGTTTTCGTGACGCTTCTTTCGAGTCTTTTTTCTCACCGAGGTCAGGCAGAGACATCCTCTTTGCACGTTGTTTATTTTCAGTATGATTTGATGTACATACGCCAACATCTCAAGGGCACTGAAACAGTATCAACTGATGAAATAACATTGATTTTTCTTGCCCAATAAGAATTGGTTTAGGAAATAGAACACCAAAATATGGTCCGTCAGAGTAGCAATAAAAGGGTAAAATTTTGAAAGTATTACTATTTAAACTACCATTATAAATTTCTACTCAACGCAAACAAAATTGTCGTCAAATTTGAAGAGTTTCACTGTGATGACCGAAAGCCGGGTTTTTGTTTCCTTCTGAAAGCGCTCTCTGCTTGAACTTGGTATCAACACTAAAATATTTACAATCTACGGCTGGCAAATGTGATATTTTATTCCACTTAAAAGTGAGTGATTGTGTAAATGAATTCACCAGAACTTGTGTCAGGAATGATACATCGTAACTGAAGAACAACTAAGAGAAACATGGGATTCCGAGTTTGCCTTTGTCCCTAGATCTCAATAAGTGCTAAGTATTTTCACCTCTTTGTTCGACGACCCAGCGCACACAATGAAAATTTTTTCCGACTGTTTCGACTCAGTGCGCTTTCGTTTTTGAGATCCTCGCAAAGAACATGCCCAAGCTCATCGAAGGGTTTTTCAACTGCAAGATCGGAATGTTCGCTGATGTCAGTTTCCTCGCGGACGACCTAGTGTTTTCTTTGTCCCACGCTCGTGACGATTGTACAACATCATTCTCGAAACCCTTAGGATATTGCGAAGAATCTTGCCGTATCACTCGAGGTATGTGTGTATTACACAGGTTAAACCGGTGTTAGCAGCTCTAAACGATTCAGTGCCAAAGTAAGCTATAGTATCCGTGACCTTGATCGTGGGTGGGAAGTAATGCTTCACACCTCAATGATCGCATATTTGCTACTCTTGACTGTGTCTTACATAAGAATACCTCAATATATGAGTTCGGTTAGAAATTAATAAACAAAAGAGACCATGATGAACGCCGCTTAGAGAAGAAGGAACAAGGATGCCAGAGGATAATTAAGATTGACACCGATGGCGAATGATGAACTTGAAAACTCAGCGCGTAATTGTGTTAATTCCAGAACTGATCTCCGTTGCTTGTTTCTCCCAATCTCTGCTTTTGTGAGTATCCAAACGGTTTTGTTTAGATTGTTTCATTTACGCATTACGGTCCTTCCTTCCTGTTATCTTTCATGTAAAATGCTAACTTGCAAACAGCCTTGAAACAATTTTTTTGCTTCCACCGCATAAGGGTAGGAAGTCAGTGTTGGACAGCCGCTCATTTTATTGTCTGATCATTTTGTGTACGGCGATGACCTTTTTGTAAGCCGTTTTACGGTGAAATTACTGAACGCTTTTTATAAGATAACGCCGCTGATATGAACCAAGGGAAACGAGAAACAGTCAGAGATAAAGGCTAGCTCAAGTGAACTGATTGTAAGGGCTGTCATGGCTCAGAAAGGCACTTAGGGAAATGTGTGTGCGGTTACGTTTTGGCGATAAGTTAGTGTCAACGAGTTTGAAAGTTGATACGAAGCCTGGGGTCTGATTGCGTAACGTTGTAATGATTTCCCTCTGCATTATGTTAACTTCACGCAACCAGCGGATTTTCAAGTTGATATCAAGTGCTGAATTCCTCGAAGTTCACCAGAATATACAAAATTGGTTTCGTTTTTTATTTTTCTTTATTTCTGTGGATTTCGATTCCGATTTGAGAAAGAAGCTTACATTTATTGCGGGCAAATTACGTGGGAGATCTTATTTGCATTTAAGTTTCTCAAACAAGAAGGTGCCAACGCATGTTATGCAAGAGTTATCAAGTTTATTTTTTGTTTTTTTGGTGGCTTGCCTGATACGACTTGTTGAGAATTCGTGTTATGAATTTTATAATTAAACACAAAGCAAGTTTTTGTGGTCAAAATTAGTCTGAGCATGTAATTGCAATTGTCAACTACCCGGAAAAAACTTCTACTTGGTTTGTTTGTTTTGACAATTTTTTAAGAGCTTCATCACGACTGTGCCTCATTTTAATTTTTTAACTTCGTCATCTGTGGCAATCTTCTCCATATTTAGACATCTTTTTTCCTTCCTTTGTTTTAAATTTCCCCTGGTGTGTTTTTCTATCTCACCTGACTAACATTTTGTAGAGTCCTTCGAGTTCAACATAATTTTTCTCGTCGTGGTAAAATGACTCGGATTATTGTGACGCAGCCCCGTGTTTTGATCCTTGATTTCTGATTATGATGAATTTTAACTGACAACGCGACAGCACCGTAAAATAAGTGGCGAATAAGGTCTTATATCGTTGTGTGCCAAACCCTTTAGAGAGACCTAACAAACATGTATAGGTTACCTAATTTTTATGTCGTTTAGCATCAAGTGCAAACCAATTTTTCGACAATGAAAACATGGGAGTTTTTTTTTTCTCCTTGTCGTTATTGTGTATTTGTCAGTATACCCATAAAACAAGAGTAAATACTTGTAGATTGGTAGAAGTTTGCGCATCAAAGTTAATTTGTCGGAAATAATTAATAAATCTTGTATTATTGCTGTCTTGGGATTTCATGGGTTTTTGCGCCGCAACTTATGAATGGCTGGTTTTTCTTCATTTCAGACACGATCAGGAAGGCAGCTTGAAAAGACTTTCAGTGAACAATATCCAATATTAAGACGAGCGAGAAAACCAAAGTCCCAGTTAAACGAGGAAGGGAAGAAGCAGAGTTGGATTAATAGTGAATTACACAATGATCACAGCGTAACTACGGATTCTACTCACTTGGAGTTTCTCAGTTACGCGAATTGCCCCGCATCAAAATTACCGATCACTGAAGAGAGCATGGAAGTACAAGAGAGACATACAGTGGGAAATACAGTAGATAACCCACCCTTATTTGACAGTGAGAAAGACTTAACAGAACACAAACGTACGCGGCGGACGCGAGCGCGGCATACGTCGATGTTGGAACGTCTGGCGCCCACACCTGGGTACGTAGATAAAACGCCTGTGGACTTTGAGGGCGGTTCTCTGGCGCAGAGGCGAACGCCGCGGATGGCGAGTTTGAATGCTGCGGCGAAAGTAAATGTGTTTTTTGAACCTTCAAGTCCCTTGGCTGGTAGGAGTATGTTTGAAATTCAACAACACGCCACAAAGAAACCTCCTGGAAGGCTTCCATCTGAAAGGAAGCTCTCAGACAGATCAAATTCGAGTTCCAATGCGGCATATGGAGCCGACATAAAATTTGACAGAGAGGATTTTCCTGAGACAGACGTGTTTCTACAAAGTGAAGTTACTTCTACATGGGACCCACCGGCGGGCGCTGGAGTGATCGTCAGTCCTAAGGGACTGGGCCCCTCACTAGATACGGAACTCGCCGCTAATAATTTAGAATTTGTTCCCAATGGGCACAAAGCAGGGAAAGAAAACCACAAGCGAAAACCTGAGGCAGACTCTACCTCTGAAGGTGAAAGGAAAACGAAGAGGATATTCCTGGAAGGCAGTAATGAAACAGATAATACTGCAGAGAAAGAAGAATTGTTTGAGTTTGAAGACGAGCAAGAAGATAAGGACATAGAATGCGACACAACTACTGACTCACCTCCTAAGACAATGAAGGACGCGTGTATCCAAGTAGACCTTCCACGTCCCCCGCTCAAACATGTGCGTGTGCTCTCTGTACCAATTAAAGGACAGCTTGTCACGTCAGGCGGTCCAGTACCCTTCACAAAGAGTCACTTGGTCACGCCTGTCACGCCATCTAAACCTCCACCTGAACTTAAAATGAGTAAGACGGCCACTACCAAGCGCGCTGTCGGGTTGAACCATCAGGCGATGGAGAACGTATTTTCGGCAAATGATGGGCCTCTTGGCCGTTTTAAATCAGTGGGCGGATTGCTTCACGAGCGCAACAAGGCTAGGAAAGCCAAAGAGTTCATCAAAATGCCCGAGTCCTCATCTTCTGTGAAGCTTAAGATCCCTAAAATAAACTTTGCGGCGACTTCCACGTCCACTATGAGTGCGGGACGAAGCCGACCCGCGGGAAACCCGTTAAAGAGCATCCAGCTAAAGAACTTGAATATTCATCTTGAGAAGCTGGCTGCTGAGAGAGCCCGCGCGGAACCAAAGCAACCCAAGGTTTGTACGAGGAAAGCAAGGGAAAGTCGTAAAGATCTTGCTAAAGCTATCCAAGGGTATCCTTAAGTAGCCTGCGAGCATTTCTTAAATAATTGGTGCTGCAGCACGCGATTTTCTCCACCCGTGAGAAGATTTGAAACAAGTTGCCGGCGAGGTCTGCCGGGAGTTTAGCATTATCAGCCCCAGACCCCTCGCGGACCTCTCGCGGCTCGCGTTGCTCAAAGATTCAGACTTCGGGCAAAGATTCGGGCAAAGAAACGCACGTGCAGAAGTGCTAAAATTGAGGGTTGGTTCGAAGGCTAATCCTTAAGTAACATGTAGCGCATGGCAACTTGGGCCTTTAGCAGTGAGAGTATATCTTCCAAAGTTGTCCGATTTTGGCTTCAAAGCCTTTAATAAACAGCAGACGGATTCGGCGAACGCGTTTACATCATCGTCTCCACCCGATTCAGATGATTTGATAATTGCTTTGGTAGGTTACACTTGTGCAGTGTTTCACACAGATGAGTACAAGCGAGTATGTTTGAACAACACAACTCTAACATCCAAAATGAGCGATAAAATGATCTGAATTTGGTGGCTTGTATCGAAGATGACACGTTTACGCTTAGCTGAATCCGTCTTTTGTAGAAGCTTCTTTTTTAGTATTCCGCATCCAAAAGAAAAACTGAAAAAAAACAAAAGCCATTAATGACTGTACCATGATCGATTCAAGTCTGTGTTAGAAAATAGTGTATTAGCACGAGCTGGTACCCTAACCATAGGGAGAACTGACCCTTATGCAGGGGTTTCAATAATTTTCGGTTGCCTGCGGTCTGCGGTCTACCTGACTGTAAGACCTCTTATAGCCGTCTGTTTAGCCTGCGTGTAGGCTCTCGTGTTTGAGTTTCGCCTTACGGCCCCTCTCCAGGTACAGTCGCATATTACACCATTGGCAGCCTCTTGTGGGAAAGTTTTTGAAACCCCTACTTATGCTGTTATTTGGTTGGAATTGAGTGGTATGCTTGTGACTTAAATCGAACGCTTCTCTTATGCGTTAACTATAAATCAGCTTTCACCAGTAATTGATGGGGCGGACATGTCAACTGCTATTGTTTCTTTCATTCTCAAACAAAACACGCCGATTTATTAACTAGTTATGTTTAAGGTCTTCATTATTAGCGCTGCGAGACGAGCGTTTCTCCGCCCGTGAGAAGTTTTGAGACGATTCGGTATGCTTGCATATCGACTTATTGACGAGATCGTTATTGTTAACTTTACAGAGAACGAATGGTTGGATGTTCATCGGCGAGCCTCTTGACAAACCGTATTGCTACGTAAGTAACAGTACATACGTTTGCTACATTCAGTTAAATCTGTCTTATTATTACTGCTGTAACCAGTCTCCTTAAGGAAGGTTTTTGAAAGTGTCCTCCCCTGGTACACTCTTAACTATGTAGATATGAAGTATGTGAAACACAGTTGCATAAAAGTTATGGAAGCACACACCAAACAAGTCCAGCGTGCAATCATTGGGATAAGTGCCGAGAAATGAAATTTTTTATTTGGAGAAAGTCGTCACAGACATATTAATAGATTAGGCATATTCTATACCCAACACAGCGGTCAAACGTCGGGCATGCGCGAGAGGAACAATTCTGACCGGCCAGCCAATTTCCCGCGCAAAATTTTAAAGGAAAACATAAAAAACGGCCATTGTCTCGCAAAATAAGCGAAAGAAAATTGATGCGTTCAAAAGTAATAAAAGTAGGGAAAAGTAAAACTCGAGATTTTTCGAACGCAAAGCTTATGTAAGTGCGGGTGTCCAGTTGATTTACTATTCTGTTTTGAGCTTTGCCTAAAACTTAAAAGTTTTTTTACAAAACAACGTGATTTACTGGCTTGTGTGGTCGTTTGTAACTCGTGTGAGACAACTTGGTTCTGACAAGAACACTGCCTTGGCATTACCACGTTCACACATGCGCAATTTGACCGCTGCCTTACTATACAACAGCCCGGTTAATTTCTGTAAATATGATAACGTTCAGACCGTCAGTTCTCCAATGATATGACTTGTATTTACCTTACATGTTTTGTACGCACCATTTGGATAAATTACCTCTTACAATGGCTTTAATGTTTCCTCATGATAATTTTAAATTTGGCCGCCTGTTCGGTAGTCTCCTTCGCAGCCGTTCATGGGTTGTCACTCAACATCTCTTTGGGGTAGTGTTGCGGGGCATTTCGAAGAACAGCGACAAAGGAGGCTATAATGTTGGGAAAAAACTCTCGAATTTCTTCCTAACAACTAACAAGACGTGACCTCACTTTCAGGACGAGACTATAGTGATACGGCGGTATTACAGCGGTGTTCAGCGTGGAGATGAGATCATCAATGTGCGTGACTCGGTTCTCCTCAAATCAGGAACCCGAAAGAAGGATCCACCTTTCGTTGCACGTGTTTCAGGGCTGTGGGAAGAAGACGAAGGTGGGTTTGTTGCTTCTTGTTTTTTTTAGTTACGCAACCAGTGCCTCTGACTTTTATCAATCTGCATCGTTTCGATGGGGAAGGCTTTGATATTAGTTTATTTATTAGAAAAAAAGTCTTCTCACAGACATTTAAAACAGATACGACCGGTTTTGCAGGATCACTTGAGATTGCATGGTAGTCAGTTAAATTCGATAGCGAGACTTAATTAGGCGCCGTTTTGAATTTTGACCGAAGGTGACATTTAGAATGTTTGTGTTGGACGACTGCAGCTCCCAAAATAATTTGAAGACTATCGCACCCTTTTATGAGGTAGATGCTATCACAACCATGGCAGAATTCCTTTACTCCATGTTAACAAGGATCAACATATTTTTTAGCAAGTAGTAATAGAAGTCTTCCAAGTAAATTTGCTACTCTCCAAACCATTAAATTTTAAATCATTAACATTAACCTTGTTCCTCGGGTTAGTGTTGTTCTGTAGTGGCCGCTTTATTATGTACTAATCATTAGGCAGGTGTTTCAGTTTATCAAACTAAAAGTAAAAAGGCAAATAACTTTTTTCTTGTGGCATGGCCTGTACTCGTGAAAGAAAACCTTCTTTTCGTTTACACTTTGGCATTGGCATGTGTCGACTGACACCGCCTTTTCCCGATTGCAGGTCCGAACGCTGGCGAGATGATGATGAGTGTGTTTTGGTATTATCGACCAGAGCAGACTGAAGTCGGGAGAATTCCAAACTTTCATGGCGATGTAAGACACCGTTTTTTTTTAAACTTCATGTTCTAGTGTTGATTGAAGTAGTTGAACGTAATATTTCATGAAATGTGTACGGCTGCTTTACCTCGGCAATGATTCCTTATTCTTTTTTATTTTTTCCTTCCTTAAACACTTATTTTTGTTGTTTATGGACTATAAGTGTTTCATGTAACACTGTTTCTGTTTTAGAAAATGTCGTTCACGTTGCAACTCGTGCGTGCGTGCGTTTGTTATCCGTAAATTGTAACGATTTCTCTAACTTGTCTTAGACAATGTTGCGATCGCCTTTTTTTTTATGAACTATCAATAGATGGAAGTGATGGCATCGAGGCACAAAGATGATAACAGTGTAGCGTGTATTGTAGACAAGTGCTACGTTCTCAGTTATCCAGAGTACTGCAGGTAATATTACTTAAGAAAACAACGCCTTCTTTTATTTAACCTACATGTCGTATTGTCTCGTCTCTCGGCTTCTTCGCCATATTTTTTGAATTATGTATGCTTTTCTAAATTTTAAAACATATTGAACATCCAAACAAAGAGCCGGCATGGGAATGCCCTCCACTCTTCACCTCCTTGTCGGTCACGGGATAATTAATATAGAGATTTAGTCACGCCTAAAAGCGGAGCTCGCATTTTTTTTTTCCGCACGTCTCAAGGGCACAACGCCTTGCCCCGGCCAGGAATAGAACCCAGGTCGTCCGACTCGGAGCCCAGTGCACTGACCACTGGACCACTGAACAAAGCCGTGACGTTGGCGTGCCCGCGGTACAGTTGACCACGCATGTTAAAAAAAGCACCTTGTACGGTCGTACAACCAAATTTTGTCGGCTTGATGGGTTACTACCATTTTGTATAATTATGGGGTTACGCTCTGCGAGCTCCGCTATTAATTACATTGGACACTACCTTAGACTAATAAATAAAGGATGTAAGTTTGTAAAGAAAGTGTAGTGTTTTATCGGTGGCAGAGTTTAACCGTAGACTGATGTCATACTCTAACACACTTACACATGCAGCTGTTTCGAGAAAGTTTGTTGGAAAAGAAAATACCAAAAGTACGCGCAACAATCTCGAAAAGTTACCTGGGTATCCGTTTATCAACGAATTTTAATGAGTCAAATAAATAATTAAATAGATAAATATATTCATCAAACCCTCGTCCTTGCTGTGGCGTTATCTCAGATTTCCTTGAAATCCAGAGGTCAAGAAACCATGATCTGACAACTACCCACGATACATTTCGGGGTTGTCGCGTGGTACTTTTACGTATTATTTAGACAACCTTTCTCGAAACAGCTGCATAACAAATTTGCTGTTAACTTTAAGCTTGATGTTAATGGCACTTTTTATTTTTTGTTGTACATGGCAGGTTCCGTGCTCTTAATAGACTCTTTCGTGAATTCAGAGAAGCTCCACTCTCTCCGGTTCCCCCTGGAGAAAGTACGAAACCTGGCTCGGTTCCTCAGCCTCGAACAGATCCCAATCTGGTGTTCTTCTGCCGGCAGGTGTACGATTATCGTATGGGTAGAATCATCAAAAATCCCGTGTGACATACCCCAGGGATAAAAACCTGGAAGTACCGTACTTGTGGCGCGTGACTCAAATATAAATCACTGTAATTAGGTCGCACTCTAGAGAAAATTCTTCAACACTACTGAATAAATGTCCACGGGGCAAATAGCCATGGCCACTTATAAAATGGTCAAATTCGAGTAGTATTCGTAAAGAGAGAAAATTACACTTGATCACGAAACTTTAGGAGCTCATCAAAATGGGATTTTCCTATGATAAAACTTTCTATTCATAAAAATTGACACGTCAGTTCTCTTGTGTTGGTTGATTTGTACCATTTGTTTCTATTTAACCAGAAACTCGCTCAAAGCAAATTTATAGACAATTATTTATAGACGAAAACTAAAACAGTTCACCTACCTCGATAATTATGTATTTTGTGTTACTTTGTCAACGACGGTAACTAGTTATAGTGTAGAAACGATCCAAATGATGTTTACAATGTGATAACGACTATTGGTACTGCACTAATAAGATATAGACCCCGTTTGTGTCACTTTTCTTGTCAACGGTGTAATTTTTTAAGTTTTCTGCCCAAACTTTATGGATTACTTTTTTGACGTGATGAGGATATTCATTATCCTCTTTGGACATTCCATAAGTTAATCTTTTAAAAATTTAAGTTGCAATGATTATTTTTAATTTGTCAAACAAGTTAGGGAACAACGGCGATGTTATTCCAGCGAGTGTTACGAGTTGCGCGTTACTTTATTAAATCGAAGGTTTCCATCTCTGATATTGTGTTTTCTGTTGGCAATTATGAGTGATATGCCTCGGAAATGTTACTTTAGAGATAGAGATAATTAAAAAAATGTTTTGTAAAATTGTTTCCAAACATACAAGTTGCCATCAGCAGCATTTACACGCGCAACTTTGAGTGTCTTTGACAAGTTCTCTTTTTCAATAGCTTTTATACCAGATCCATAACGAGAGGGTTTGTCGGGGACGATTTGTTAAAGTGTAGATGCCATTATCCTCTCAAGAGACACGTTCAAGTTGGAATCCTCTTTCCTATTGTACTAAATCTTGTTATTTGTTTCCTTGTTTTATTATTCATTGAAAGATATTGATCTAAGGAAAAGGGTATCGCAAAAGTCAAGAAACATCTTTCTAGCCGAGTGCTTTATGAAGGAAGACCTTTGGCTGTCATTTACTTTGCAATTTAGAAACACATTGCCTCACAATTTTGCACCATACGTTTGTTCCTAAATTTGTTAGATTACGTTCATGAATGAATCCATCGTCCTGTTTCAACGCCCCTTGCAAAACCATCCGAAGTGGCATGGCCTGCGACGTGGACTGACGTATTTCTGCGTGGCAAGAAAAACGATGGAAGCGTCACATAAGAGAAGACCTCGTAGGGTAAAAATTCCGTGCAAATATATTGCCTTGTGCCTTTAGAGGAAAGTTCGGATGTTTGCGCTTCGAGCTTGGATTAAAATTTCCTTTATTCTTTCCCATTGGGTGTCGACAAGCTTGGTTACCTCGTCACACGCTGGTTAGTCTCGTCACGCAAAATGCTGATTGGGGAGCGATGGAGAATGCAGACGGAGCCTAGAGCTTTGAGTGTTTTCAATGTGTCAATGCCGATATTGTCCTTTTTTCTTCGATATCTATGTCTCTGTTAGCCATTGCATTCATATGCGATACCTAAGTTTATGAGTACAAGTTCGCAGCCGTTTTTAAGAAGTATCGCGCGACTAAATTACTACTATCGTGGCAGAAACAAAAGGATTTCGAGAATCTAGTTTAAATGACAGCGGTGAGTCAGATGCTCAAAAAGCTGTTCTTCGTTTGTTGGTCGTTTTATTTATTTGCTCTATCTGTTTTTTTTTGTTTTTTGTTTTTTTTTGTTTTGTTTTGTTTTTTTTTTATACCTTTGCGTGACAAGTCCTCAAAAAAAAAAACTTGCGTTACAAGAGCTTGAACTTGTTTGAAAATCGCCTATTGATTGAAGGAAGACTGGGTAAGAAGATTTCAACATGGCAAGCAACTCGAACAGGATTCGTATTCACGACAGAGATGTTTTTGCTGCAATAACCGAAGGTCCAGCAAATGTATTTTCAAGCACTCCTTTTCTTCTCGTAAAGGCCAGGTGAGAGCCAAAATGCTAAAGATATTAAAGTTGTTTTCCCGCTAATTGTATTTTTGTGGGCTCACTGTTCATTGATGGTTGTAGGTAGATCGGAGTCACCCCCTGCGGGTAGTGACCTGAACGTTGTAAGAGTCGCTATGAAGCATTTGGTTCAAAAAGACAAAAATAGTGGAACAGATTTATAAACTACCCCGTTCGTTATATAAAGCAATATACTGTTTTATGTAGGGGTCGAATTTTAATTTAAAGATGGGCGCCTTAAGTATGTAAAGTAGGATTAACAGGCCTCTGCCCACAGCTCTACTAATGGTCGATCAAGCAAGTACCTGATCGACCTAACAAGTGATCTACCAGTCTATCACAGAGTTCTTTCTTCCAAATAGGTTACAGAGGCTTAGCTTACAGTCCAAACAAATATTTATTTGTCTCCAAGTTGAGTTTTACTGTCAACATAATTGCGAAGCTCTCGAGCTCTGTCTTGGATATACTTACACGGTTTTGCGCTGGATTAGTAAAAGTATTTCCGCCAGCAGCTTAGTATTTCGCCTTCACTCTTTAAGAATCGGTCGATTGGGAAAGGAATAGTAAATGTACCATTTTATATCGAAATCTACTTCAATACAGCTGACTTTCTTCAAATAGTAAACTTCTTTGACTTGTATACTTTATTTATTTTTCCAAGGCTAATTGTATTCAATTCAATCGGATAAAATTTCACAAACATTTTATTTATATTCTTGCTTATATCTGAACTCATTTCAGTTTTTGAGCAAGACTTTGCCTATGTAACTATTAATATTGATTTCTATGCCTATAAATAATTTTGTCTAATATGAGGTTATTCAACACCCATGCAAGGGGATAAGTGTGCTCTAGAAAAGAAACATATTTTTTTATCTCTGCCGTTGAAAGTCTTGAAAATTATCTTAATTTACATATGTGATTTTTTACGCTGAACATTTAAAAATTGTCTTCGAATGTGTTGAATGCTGTTGTTTGATAACAACTTAGTAACCAGGCCATGTAGGTGAAACGAAACGCTCAGTTCATAAACAGCTCTGATAATTGTCAATGAGCTATGATTGGAGTCAAAAATCCCTGTCTGCCTAACTCCTAATTGTTGAAACTGGTTATCTTAAAATGGAAATAAGAGGCAAGAGACTGTGTTACAGACCTTTCTTTAAATATTCATAAAAATTAGCCCTTTTGGCTCTGACAACGTGTCTAGAAGCATTGTGTAGTAAGCTAAATCATATGCACATTTCAAATGGTTTTTACTTATGGAGTGTTAGAGACATAGATGACATCACCATTAGCAACATTTTGCCTTCTTTGTTATATATAAAGCAAATAGATTCCATGCTGCTATGGGTTGGTTCAGTAATACATCAAAGAAGACATCAAAATGTAGTAAAAACCCTTTAACTCTCAAGATTTGATTGTCAATTCTCCCCTGTAGCTGCTGCACATTTCCTTGTAAATTAGTTATAAGAACTTTGTGCTTGATCAAGATAGCAGCTTCTACATGATAAGTTTGAATATTTTTATAACTTGTTTGCTGAAGAATGTATGTATATTGTAGGGAGAAGTTTTATGTTAATCACTTCTGGGAGTTAAGTTTTATCAACTGAGTTGATAACATAAATTGGCCATTGTAAAGAGTTTCAAAACTGACATATTGAGCATTAGTCCTTCATCCTTTAAATCCAACAACAGGCTAATGACATTTTGACATCATCTGTGATCTTTTAGTGGACAGATGTGAAGCACAAAAAGGGTTATTTGAATGAGCATTTGGGAATTATTATTATGCTGACCATGTCAAATGTGACCAGGCTAGTAAACAATGTTCACTACATGCCATCTGTGGTTAAATTTCCCAACGAGGTTTTGACAAATTATATCTCATTTTTATTGCTTTGCTTTAATTATATCTTAGCACACCTTATGATGATCAACTCCAATATATTTTTTTTTTCAGGTGGCTTGCAGATGACTCAACCCAAGTCTGTCCACTTTGCTCTCAGAAGTTTACACAAATCCGGAGAAAACATCACTGTAGGCAGTGTGGAAAAGTTCTCTGTAGCAAGTGTTGCAATGAGAAGGTGACTCAGTTAACTGTTAACTTCACCCCTGTTATCATATAATGCCTTCTTGGAGTGCCTTCCTTGTCGATTAAATACCCTTCATTCTCAGTTACATTACAGTGTGGTTGGCATGGAAATGTTGTTTTAAAATTGTGTTCATCTCCAAGTTAGATTTAGTATAATTTGTTTTAAGTCTCCAGTTCTTCATATCATGGTAAATTAACCCTGTGATTCCCATAACTGATTAAATTGTAACTTCTCCCTGTAATATCCATACAATATCTAGCAAACAGGTGACGAGAATATACTCAAACTTATCAGGTAGATGTTTTGTTCATTAAATGCCAAATTCTTGTCACTAGTTTACAAGGAAATGTGTATAAGCAAGAAAGGAGACTAAATGATCAGATCTTGGGAATTAAAGGGTTAAGATATTATTGGGTAGTGTGTAGGGTAAGGGTAAGGTGTAGTGAACACACCAATAAATTCTCAAATTTTAATTACATAACCAGTGGTATCTGAAATACATGAAGTATTACACATAATAGTAATTTACAATGAGAACAAATAAGGTAAATGAAAATCAAACAATGAAAGGGAAGCAAGAACTTACCTGACAGTTAGGAGACATGTACTAAATGACACCCAAGGATTAAGGATAATTAGTGCGAAAACTATTTGAATAAGGTGATGTTGTGCAGAGGTTGGGGACCAGCTAACAGCTCAATGACATCACAACACTAGGGGTTTCCATAACTTTTTCAGAAGTGGCTGCCCATGGTATAATAGTCGACTGTGCCAAAAAGGGGGCTGTAAAGTGAAACCCAATGGCCATTTCATAGTCTAATCAGAGTAAGGCTGGGGTAGACTGCTGTTGACAGCTTTTACCGAAACTCAAGGTTCTAACTTTTCAATTGTGTGCTTGTAAAATATTCATTTGCCAAATTTGCTATCTTCATGCAGCCATATAAAATTTAAATTTGTTTTGTTAAGTTCCCCTTCCACAACTTGAACATGTTGGCATGTACAATATTAATCTGAAATTTACTGTCTTCAGTATTATGAGATAAAAATGTGTTTTGCTAGGTTCCTCTTCCACAACTTGGATTTGATGAGCCAGAGAGGATCTGTGACTACTGTCTTGAAGTAACTTCCCTTGTCACAAAGTCAAGATCACTTCAGATGGTAAAAATAATTAATACAACCTTGTAATTGCAATGCTTCTGTTGAATGGTTTTTCTACTTCTTATTTACTGGTCACCAATTTAGCCTTTCAAAGCACTTTTCAAATGAGTGTCAAAAAACGGAAACTAAAGTAATCACAGAGGCCAAGCAGAAGAGAGGAGGAAACTGCTTAACAGCCAAATAGAACTCAAAGTAAAATGGACCAAACTGTTTAATGCAGAGGGAAATGTGGGAGAAAAGTTTTTCTTGTTTTTTTTATTTTGTATCTGGTTGGTTAAAGATGTGGTGCAAGTTTTCTGGCCCAATTATAGAGTAAAATAAACCAAAAAAAGGCAATCCAAAATTGCTTTCACAACTCAATTGAAAACTGCTCTATTACGAACATTGAATAATGTTTCGATGTTACAAACAGTAACCCTTGTACAATGTATCTGTAGACATTCAAACTAGAAGCAGCAAAAGCTTTAACAGAGTTATGCAAAGATCCTGATGGACTCACAAAGGTAAAACATAGTTAAATACTTTTTTTACTGTGTTGTTTTAAAAGTGTTGTTTTGTAAATAGCTTGGTAAGTTTTGGCAATGATGCACAATGGTTTGAGAATGTCTTTTAATTTTTCTTTATTAAATTAACATGTATTCAGTTTTATTTCTGGTTTTTGATTATCCAGCCTTTCAATTATCCCAACTTTAATTCAGCTTAGTCTCCATGAGTCTGTAGTTTCCTGAATTTGGCTGAAAGAAGATTTTCTCCAAGAAATCAATAATGGTTAGACTAAAGACTTACATTCCAAATCAAATGATAATTTACATTACAGCCAATAGATCATATCATAGCAGTCTGTACTATAGGTGTCAAATGTTTTCAGAAGTTCTATAAATTACAAACTGCCAAATTCAAAGATCTTGATGTTTGCTTTTTTAATGTAGGTTGTGGAGATGGGTGGGGTGCAGACTCTTATATTTCTCAGTCAAAGTGAGAATTATGACGTAAAAGTAAGTCTATGGATTTAACGGCTCTCATAAGTTAGATTAGTTGAATTTTGTCCCTGTTTCCCTTTCAAGTTTTCTAGCATGTTCACTTTTATTTTTGCTGATGTACTTGTAGGTACTTGCACACATGACATGGATGATTGCTGGAGTAACACTTAATTTCTCCTTGACCAGTGTGCATTTGATTGCATGTTACAAAACAGAAACCAAAGTTATGATAATGGCCAATTAGAACAAAGTTAAATACAAGGAACCCTTGTATTAGAACTCACAGTAAATTATACAGATTTGAGTGGAAAAGTGTGGAGTTGTGTCAGTTTGTAACTGATTGGTCAAGAGTGCTGTACAAATTTGTGTAGCTCATGTTAGAGAGTGCTGCACTGCCATGTGGGATGGAGGGCAATTTACCTGACAATTTTGGAATATGACTGGCAAAAGAACATACTCGTGATTGCATTTCAACAGGAGTTCACACCTTTCACGTGCATGATCTGCACAATTGTTCACCAAAGTGGAGGCGAATAATTGTTTTAGTATCTACCACACAAAAACCAAAAAAATTACCATTAAATTAATCCTATCAACATACCAAAAAAATGGTTGAAAACTAAATTGTTGATGAGTGATTTTGTCTCTATGGCTGCTCAGAGGTGAAAAGTACTTGCTAATCACTTCCTAATTAGCCAATCAGGGCACACAAGAAGCACTATTCACCTGTGTGGTATAGACTAAATATGGCTAAGGTCCATGGTAACTTAGGGTGTCAATTCTCATTTGTTAGGCAGCTGTTGCATCAGGACTTCAGATCCTTTCTACTCATCCTCCATTGCACTTAATGTTGGCCAAATGTGGAGGCATTAGAGCCTTGTGCAGGTGGGATTAACTGTGTTTTTATTACTACCTACACAACAAGTGCTCTTACAATAACCACTTATATGTAATAAATATCCTATTGTTTTAACTGACCTTAGTGCGATTGAAATTTTAGAGCACACAGTGCTCTCTTGATTTCTGTTGACTTTATTAACACTCTTAATTACATCACTCCACTGTTTTGTTTAAGTTAGAGCAAAGCTCTGTAAGATTAGCCATGGTGTGACTTCTCCGGAAGGATGCAGTTTTTTTTATTAGCTGTTTCAATAGCAGCCAGATAGCTGGTAGATTTGCTGGATTGTGATAGGCTGGATACTCACATGTAACCTTTACATGTGGTTGTCATTTTACTCCTGACATACAAGCAGTTCTCTTCAAATCTGTTTAAATTGCTTGACCTCAAGGAACAACATAGACACAAATTTGAGGAGACATTGAAATACAGGAAAATGTGGCTGCAAGAGTGTCAGTAGCACTTCAAATTTTTACCTAGGGAACCCTGGACAGCCCTTGGAACAAGAGGCTCTCCAGGCTGTCGAAATGTTTTGCCTGTTATTCTAAACTACTCATTTATACCAAATTGTATCAAAACCACTGTGATAGACTTGATATACCTTTCTGACTACTTCCTTGTTTTAAAAGTGTTAAATGGGTTATTGTTGGTTAATATGAATTAAATTATTTTGTTTATTGCAGCATACTTTCCACTGTCAGTGAGAGTCAGGAGCAAACCTTGATTGATGGAATCAGTGCATTGATGATATTTTGTAAATCACCTGAATTAAAAGCACAAGGTCAGTTTAACCATTTGACTCCCATGAGTGACTGAGACAGAATTACTCTTTACAATTTCAAGCAGACTTTTTTCTTTGTCACACACTTGTGGCAAGAAAAAAATCTTTCTCCAGAGTTACAATACTTTATGAAGCTGTAGTTGTGAGTTAGCCTATGAAAAGCTTTGTGTAATTCACAGCAACAGACACCCACTAATTAAAAGCACTGCTTTCTTTTTCTTCTAGCCTTAGCTGATGGTGCATTAGATCCTGTGTTAACAGTGTGTGCAATGAAAGAAGCCATTGCCCTCCTTGCCCTAATGACATTGAGTCACATTGTTGAGCATCATGGCAATGTAGCTCCCCTTATTGAGGTTTCAATTTGTCTTTTGAGCTTCACATGTTTGTCATAATTATTTATTATTGATTTTTTTACAAGCATTATCTAGTATTCTAAAAATGATTTTTTTTTTTTACTTTTTTTTCATTGTGCTGACAGAGCAATCGGAATGCCCTGCCAAGAATTCTAGCTTTGACAAAGGCACAAGATGAAAAGGTACATGACTAAAGTATTAGTGGATTAAACATGTGAACAGATTTATCTTTTTTGATCCCAAATTGGAACTAATAAAACATTTGTCTATATTCCCTTGAAGTCAACAGCAGCTAAAGAATTTTTAAGTTTGTCTTTACCTTTTCATAAGTTTCAACAAGAATTCAGATCATCTTTGTTTTGGTGTTGCACTGTTACTAATTTTGCACAGAACTTGCAGATAGCAGTGTACGCTTTATGTTTGTTACTTTATGTGATAAAATGTAGATGTACATCCATTATAGATTCAAGAAATATCCTTGAGAATTTTGGCACAGATGTCTGTTGGTACAGACTGGCAGAGGCATCGCATTGTTCAGGTGGTCTTGCCTTTTTAAAATTTATTTTATTATGTAGCTGGTAAATATTAGAAGCAGATCGATGTGCAATTAATATGTGTTAAATATCATGATCAGTGCTGCCTTTTTTCTAAATTCAAAGAAGATTTAATGTTGTTCTCATACTGAATTTTTAAACAGTGATTGATAAGAATCAATTTGTGCTTTAAAAAATTAGTACTTAATTTAAAAATGAAGTTGAATATAATTTTTTGGTTGTTAATGAATGGAGTGGACTTTGACATTCTCTCCAATGAACCCCCCTAGGGGGGTAATTTTTTGAAGGCTAAATCAGTGACTGTGACTCTCTACACATTGACAAGGTGATAAAACCTAGACCTTATAGACCTTTTCTTCTGAGCCATTTGCTTGCACAAGTGAACTATTTACCTTTAAACTCCCCCATATTTAAATATGAAATCCTTGTATTCCACTGGAAAAACTTGTAACTTCAGGTTCAAATTCCCAACCCCATCCAGTCAGGTAAGGTTCAAATTCCCCACCCTGGAAGATGGTTATGCAAATACCCATGGGTTGCCCAGAAGAGGGGGGCAGAGAATGACCTTGGCTAGTGAAATTATAGATTAATTTAACCTTTTCATTCCCAAAATCTCATCCCTTTCAGCAAATCTCCTTACTGTCTGCCATACAATTATTATGATGTTAGATTGTAGAATTCATTATTGGATCAGCTAATAATCCTTAACTGATATTTTTATTACTTATCTGCTTGATAATGTATTGGTATTGTAAGGAGAAAATTTTGTCTGTCATTTGTCAGTTGTCAGTGTTTAATCTGTCTCCGTCACTCATGAAAGTTAAGTGGGTTAAGATAATGATATAATATACCATTTGATTATTGGTATATTACTTGAGGCTTTCTTTGTAAGTATAACAGAATAAATGTAGCAGCACTAATTCTGTTTCCAGGAAGATTTCTCAGCTGGTCGATGTTTAGTTGAAGCCCTTACAAGAGGACCAAAAAATCTACAGGTAACAAAAATTGTATTTGGAAGGCCTAACTCACAACTGCGCATTGCCAGATTTTAATTTCTGTAATATTCTGACTACAAGAATTTCCAAGTTCTACCTCAGCTTGTTGTTACATGGCAGTCTGTGTATTCATGAAACATCTAAGCTCCCATAAGTGGTTTCCCTCTAACCTCACATTTTGATATCAGTCATGTTTTCCATGATTTAGTTAATGAAAATATCAGTGAGAGGTAAATTTATTAACAATTGAGATGTAATAGAATATTCTCTCATGAAACCAATTCTTGATAAGGAGAATTGATAATCAGATCCAATGTGTTTTTGAGATTTTTCTTCTTTTTTTTTGTTATGGTTTATCAACCCATAAAAAGCTCAGAGGATACCTAACTCTTTATACTTGTTATTTCTTTCTATCAACAAAGCTTAAAAGCAAAGTGAGAAATCAGCAGGGCTGACACTCAAAACATCAGCCTTAGAAAGTCTTTAGAGTGGCTAATTTTACGATTAACATATCAAATAATGTCTTTTTCTCATAAGGTCCTTGTAAATGCATCTTGTCTGATTGCAAATTTGGCAACAGGGGACCAAGATCAGGTACAGTGCCTTGACAATGTACATTACATTCACATGTTTAAGAGGATTTCAGAAGAATTGATCTGGAAACTTAAATACTTACCAGACATCCTCCACTGTGAATTTTGCTCTTGTTAATAGGTCCCAGGCCCTTTCAAAGACCTGATTTCTTAATGTAAGCATGAAGCTCCATCATGTTGCCTCTGATATCTGTACTTATCTTTTCCTTCTTGATTTTATTTCTTATAAATCTTTAACTGCTTTTCCTATGGTCCAGCACTTCTTTAAGCTTCCAAAGTAACAACATTGTATTAATCATGTGTTCTCTTGACTTCCCATCTTATGAAGTGTTCAAATGGTTGACTCAATCACAATGTGTAGCCTTTTAAAAGGCTTAATTGTCAGCAAACATTTGTTTATTTGCTTGTGTTTGTTTATTCAGATGTCCCTTAGGGATTGTTTACAAGCCATGTGTTCTCTGACGTCATCTCACACTGGTCATAAAGACGTCCAGGTACCCAATGATTAGTAGTTGATAGCTCTTTACTGAGAATTACCACTACCTCCATATTATAATTTGTCACTGACAGTATATTCTTTGACTTTTTACACCCTAGCATCAGTAAGCATATTCTCCATTCTGTTCTCTATACATTTCAAAAGCTGCTGACAAAGAAAACTTGTTTAACAATCAAGAAATTCTTTAGTTGGTGATCATTTTCTTTATTCTTATGAATTAAATGTTTGATTCAGAGGTGGTACTGTGAGGAATAACTGGATGCTAGTCAATCTTAATACTTCTTTTATGATCTTAACTGTTTTTAACTATGAATTTAAAACTCTTGGCTTTTAAGAGATTTTTGGAACAGTTCCTAATCATTGTCACTATTTGAGTTATATTATAACATCATAGTTAAAAACAGTTTACATATTTTCATAGACACATGTATCCAGAGCCCTTGGTAACTTTTCAAAGTTTCATCAGAATTCATCTATTATGGTATGTCTTTATTTTTCAATATGGTGCTGGACTGTATTCATTGGTAACTTTTCTCCAAAATTCACTTAGTTTTTATACATGACTCTGTTTGCATGAAAATAAGAGGTTGTCATTTTTTCTTTTGTAATAATTTATCTCTTTTTTCTTTTAGATACAATATCTGCCAAGAATTATAGAGACACACCTGAAGGTACTTGTAAATCTAAAAGTGGAGGGAGCTATACATTTCTGACTGAGGGCAGATAACTATAATCAACCTATTGAAAGGTTCCATTACTGGTCCATTAAGGGCTGATATTTTGGCACTATTGGACTAAGCATTCTCCCAAGTGATTCCACTTCCTTCAGGGGAGGAGTTTTGCCATTTCAGACAAGATTGAAGTCTGTAGGGATGACATTCTTTGGAGAAATTGCACTTAGCCAAAACTCCATCACCAATTGCCATTATAGTGTCATGTTCTCACCTAGAGCTGAGAGAAATTGAAAGATGTTGAATTGAAAGATTGTTCTCATGAAATCTTTAAGTAATGAGTATCAAGCAAATATGTTGGGTGAGCCCACCTGATCTTCAAACACACTTCACAGTGGGGCGTGTATGCAGACATGCAAAATAGTTATTGTTTGATTAATTTTTGTTGTTAATCATCATTTCCAAGAAATACCTGGAAGCAGCTTTCATTTTGCTATAACTTTGAAATGAATCACTAAATGGTAAATTTACCAGTTGGATAATGAATTACTTACAGTAAAGAAGCTGATGATCATTGTAAGTCTATTGCAAAATTTTGGGTTTGGCTTTTGAGTTCCAGAAGAGCTTGTAAATCTTACAAAAGCAGGAAGACAAAACAGCAAAAAGTTGAGAAACCAAAGGCAGTCTCTAGTCATCTAATAAATCTTTTACGAAACAAATGTGCTAAGTACCATACTGGTGGAATATTGGCTCTTGGTTCCTTATTCCCTAAGAATTTTTTTCCAATTTATTGTGGACCCTACCATCCTTACTCACTTTTTGAATGGTCTCTTGACTGAAATCAAAGTGTAGGCCACAGAAAATTTTTGATGTAGCAACTTGCTTTTGTAGTCAACAGACAAGACGATCAAGTGTCATGGCCTAAGGACTGTCATGTATCTTCTCAGCCATCAAAGAGAAAAGGCTGTAGATGTTCTGATAAGGTATGAAAAGAAACTGAACTAGGCATATTGAAAGAGGAGTAAGCATTCAAAACATTACCATAAAATAGTGTCCTTTGCCATTATAAATTAAATAAAAGGTGGTGATGAGAATTGGTGTACATGCATGTTTCTTAGGGCAGCTACTCTAGGAAACCTTTAACTGCTAAGATCAAAATATCAACTCTTTGTACTATTCTTTATAGTTACATGGTTTACAATTTTAGCTCTTATAATTTGATGTTATATCAAACAATATCCCCAAATTTAACCCTTTAACTCCCATAAGTGACCAAAAGAGAATTTCTCCTTACAATATCAATATCAACCAGATAAGAGATGAGAATAAAGACAAATATCAATTTGGGGATAATTAGTTGATCCAATGCTAAATTCTCTGAACTAACATTATGAGAATTGTATGGTTGACAGTAAGGAGAATGACAAATTTGATCTGGGAGTTAAAGAGTGAATGTTTTTCTTTCTTTTCATCTCCTTTTTACTTGTAAATGTTACAATATTGAATGGAAAATTTTCTTTCTGATCACTCCTTGGAGTGGAAGGGTCAATGCAATGCATTCATATAGTATTACATAATTGCAAGTATAATTATTGTACTGTGCAAAAGCAGGCAAGCCCCTTAATTCCCCACCCTAGTTTTTTTTAACTCATCAGCTGTTTTGATCACTTTTATTTACTAGCCTGGTGCTGGATGCCAAATGCATGGTCATTTAAAATACATGCTACAAACTAAATTATGATTTGCACCTCACTGGTAAAGAAGTTATATATAAAAACCCAGTGACAATATAACGAGGAATCATGCTTTTACCAATTGGTACATTTAATTTGTTTTATTAGTCAAAGCTCTTTGATAATAATGTTAAGTCAAATTGATATAAGAAAAACAAAGGCTGTGCTTTCTCTGCTTGAGATTGCCACTGTTGTGAAGGACATTTAAGCAAAGTTTTTTAATTGTGTGTGTCCGTTAATTACGTAACCGTATTTATTTGATTAAACACCGCCCTCAAATAAATACTGCATTTCAGTGCAGAAATATTGATAAACACTGTCCTTGAATGAATGCCACAGCATGAGGCTATGTTTATTCAAATAATAGACTCAAAAAGCACACAGCAATCATTGCTTCAATCACAGTTGGAAATTTTAAGAGAACCAGACACAAATTTTTTTTGTAGTTCTGATGTCGAGAAAGTGTATCCAACATAAGGTCTTTATTCACTTTATGTATTGACATCCAAATTGTGAAATTGAGAACAATATAAGAAATGACTTTTTAGACAAGCACTAAAACACGTTTCTGTTTTTTTAAGTTAAAATGGTCAGTTACCATACTATTGTTTGCAAGAAATAAATTGGATTTTAAATGCCACCTCATACATACCCCTCCCTTGAATAAATGCTGCACTTGAATCACAGAAAATTTGATAAACGCTGCAGCATTTAATCAAATAAATGCAGTAGTTATGTCATGTTTGGACTGCATTATCTTAGAAAGAAATTACAGGAATTACTGTAGAGTAACTTGTCATATCAACAATGATCAGATGCTTATTGGGCTTTCATGGACTTCAACATTGCATTTTTATAAATGTTATCACATTCATATAAATCGTCATTAAAGATTGGGACATTTTTATTAGCTATGTTCTAAAACTTTAATGTTTATCAACTAACATATTTACCAACAGTTCCAGTTATCAGGGTAAATTTGAAGCAAGAGAAAGTAAAATTAGTCCAAATTAATGGGAAGTTTGAGCTAATCGGGAGTTCAAGTTAGCTGATTGTAAATGATTTACTGAAACAATAAGGTCAAATCCAGAGTAAATCTGATTTTGTTCAAGTTAGTAGGGAGTCAAGTAAACAGAGTTTGAGTTAAGGGGGTAATTTTTTAAAGAAACTGTGGTACTGTGTGGGTGGGAAAGCATAACAGAGTAATTAAGTATTATCAACTGATTTGATAAGTGAAATGTAAATTGGCCACCGTAAAGAGTTTCAAAGCTGACGTTTCAAGCGTTAGCCCTTCGTCATTCACTCTGACAAAGGGCTAACGCTTGAAATGTCAGCTTTGAAACTCTTTATGGAGGCCAATTTATGTTATCAACTCAGTAGGTAATACTAAATTACCCTGAGTTTGAGGTAGCAGTGTTCTACTCTATTCACATAGATTGTGATGTCTACTTAGTTTGTGTTGATGGATCATGACAACTTTGTCCCACAATTGTTTTCTTTTTTCTGCTATTCATGTTCACTTCAGGGAAGGAGCTCATGAAGTCCTTACAAGTTTAGGATCATTTCCTGGCATTGTTGATGCAATTCAAACTGGTTTGCTTAAAGTAGTCACCACCATTAGCGACTGTACAGTCACAAAATAATAGTCATATTAATTAGTGCTGAAGGATAGTGTTATTGTCAGTCATTTTAACTTGATTATATGTACATGTATGTTGTAATTTTTGTAGATAAGAAAGTGATTGCCTTAATTTGCTATTTTGACTGAGATAGATTTTTAAGCTGAAATGTATCATGTAAAGGTCTTTATTTGATGCGGATTAGGAAAGTTATTTTGGGAAAAAAAACAGACTGGAAACACAGAACTTAGAAATCTTTTATCTATAAAGGCTTTCAAATGAGCTTGTTCAAATTAGAATTAAGTTTTAATGAGGAAAACCTGGGTGATCTTTTCCAGCTCTTGTAAAATTTGCAGATTAGAATTTTACCTAAGGGTAAATGATATTTTTATATCAGTATATTTGTAGAAGCTTCCTTCAGTACAGGGCTCCTAAATTGACTTAATTACAAGTCATCCAGTTTCATACCAGCCACAAAGAAGAACTAGTAATCAGTTCTTGAGGATTAAAGGGTTTTAAATCAATCAAAAAGAAACAAAGGATGAATGTGGATAGAGATGATTGAAACAGATTATGATGACACTCTGGAAATATTTTAGGTTATAACTTTTCAAGATGCTCAAATGGTGACATGTATTGTCCTTTTGTTGTTTAGGCCAACAGATGGTTCCTTGTAAAACTGTTTAGATCTTAAATTACTTACTCAAGAAGCTATCCTGAATTGTTTAGGGTTTTAACTAGACAAAAGTTGTCCCAAAAATTATCTCCCATTTATCATGTTTAAGAATTGCTGTGCCAAATGTACCACATTTTGATGTCATCTGTGTTCTACTACTGAACAGTGGCATGGCAATGTGGAATCTATTTGCTTTATATGATACTAGAAAATGTTGTAGATTATCTTCTGTTGACCACTGTAGTAGCATGTGAAACCCCAAAGATGAATCATTTTAGTTAACTGCAGACTTGTGCATTCAAACCTATGGAAAGTATTTGGCTTATTGACTCTCAGTCTGATCTAATTATTTTCATTCTTTTCACAGAATGAAACAGTTAGTACTTCTCTCACTAGATTATATAAATGAAAAGATATTGCATAAAAAAGTCTTCTTTTTAAAATACTGTTTCCAAAGACATATTTGGATGATGCAGCAATTTTACAGCATGAAAATAATGGTTTGCAGATGTAAGAGAAGAACACCAACCTAATTTAGATACAAAGCCCCTGCTTTCTGTAGGCAAGGACAGTTCTGTGTATTTTACATCGAATTCTGCATAGTTCAATTTTTACTGAGTAAATTTTCATTTTAAAATGGCCAACATTGAGCTGAGCAATATCAAATTCCACAAATTTTAGGATCTGTAATGTTATCTTGATGTGATATCATCAATCTTTAAAGTTTATGCAAAAATTAAATGTTATTTTTAGACACCACATGAAATGATCTATACATGCATATGTTCATATATTGTAAAACTGAACAATATTTTAGAGTTCAGTTATATACGTGCAGAGATTTTCACTATATTGGTCTACACTCAAATTTAATCTATGTGTTAAACAAGAAGCAGTATCAGTTATGATTATCATGATTGTGGATTGTTGGTGTGCCATGTAGTAGTGAATTGTACTTGATAAGGAAATAATTCATGTTTGCCTGAATTGTAATTTTATATTACTTCTGTAATTAATAAGGAATGGATAGGAATTACTACACTGACAATAACTGAATAAAGAAAAGGATTTTTTAAGCAATGTTGCTAGAAATGTGTATGGTGTATTGTTAAAAGGCTGTTATCTAGTGTTAAATTTGCCCAATAAATATAATTAATTACCAAATAATGTAATAATGGCATTAGCAGACTATTTGAAAGTTTACAGCCTTTATGATACTAGCGCAGTCTGTTTTTTCTTTAATTTATCACAGTTTTCTTTATGGTCTTGCTGTAGGTGGATGTTGCCAAAAAAAAAAAGGGAACATTGTGCACTCGGCCTTCTGGCCTTCATGGCTACATCTTGGGTTGATTAGTGAAGAGACTAGGGATTAAACCATGCAAAAGTATTGTGTAAAGTTCATTGTCTGGCAGAAACTCTGATATGCTGTGCAGTAATGTGGATCTGTGTATGCCTACAGTCTGTGCAACAATTGAATCAAATTTTTCTGAAATTTTTCAGCCAACATTGATTGAAGCCAACAAAACGTTTGATGTCATTTTCTGATGCTGAATGTAAAGAATACATATTAAATTTGCTAGTAAGCCTAGGAGAATTTTTGATAACCATTTTATCCAAGGTCAGTAGAACAATTTGATAAATATGGTGTGTAGTGTGTTAAGTACATTAGGTAGGTGAATGAGTGTGTAATCTGCAGGTATTTCCGTTTTGCATTATATCTGCTGTGATAAAAATGATACGTAAACAATACAGCAATACTGCATTAGTCTTGTAGTTTTCTGATGCAGCAATTTAATTTAGAAGCATAATGTTACTCTAACTAGCAGATAAACAGTTAGGTTTATGCAATTGCATTCAGAGGGCCAAATTGAATTCTTTATGGTTCCTAAGAAATGATTAACTTGACAAGAATTGATTTGGTGTGTAGTTTTTTGAAGTAAGTAGTGATCGCACATGTGTATGCTAGGGTAGTAAAATGTATTGTTTCCTGACCTGAATTGAAATGGTTAATTATATTCCAGGTGTCATTGGTTTTTGTTTGAGATAAAATTGGTCATGCAGGTCCATTGCTATCAGTGATTTCAGTGTGCGGCATAATTTAAGGTAGTAAGTGAATTCTTGTCATCATAGGAAATTGTTTAAAAGAGATTTGCTATGAGTGATATTCAGTGTACATGAATATAGGGAAGGATTGCCTTGGGCCTCTATATGTGCTGGGTTTCCATGCAGGATGATAAAATGTATTGTTGTCATGACCTGATCAAATTAAGTGGGTCAATTACACACTTCTTGGTGATGTTGCGTTCTGTCTGAAATTCAATAGTCAGATGCATCCCTTGAAGTGTGAAGTAAAGAGTGAAATAATGTCATTACAAGGGAGAAATTATTAGTCATAATACCACTGAATGTGCAAGTGGTCAATAAAGTCTTTTAATACAGAGCATATAATTAGCTCAATGATAGTTTAATTACCAACAATCAATGGCAAAAATGAGTCTGCTCTTGCTTCTTGTCTAAACATTAAAACAATGTGGCACAACATAGGATGAATCACCCATTCACTGTCAGTGCTAGTTTGAGAGAAGCTGAGCAGATGGGGTCTGGCAAAGGTTCAAAAGCTTGCTTTAAATGATATGTTTTAGCACTGTTTTGTTTTGTTCTTGATTTAAGTTTCTCTTAGCATTCAAGTGTCTCTATTACCTGTGCAGTTATATATTTACAGAAAACTTCAGATCACACCATTGTTGAAGCTCAATATAAGGAAATAGAAATGGTGACATGGTTCCCTGAGTTGCTTGTAGTCAACAAAAGTTACATATTCAGTAGGTAATAACATTCTTCAAGGCAATTGGAATTAATGGTGACAATTAGAATAATAAAAAAGTGAGATCTTTAGATGGATTTATCAATCACCATTCCATCAAATAAAAGTTTACTCGGAAAGGGTTGATTAAAACTTCATTTGACACTGTATAATTTACAACTGTGCCTGTACCTTTCAGAGCTGCAATTGACCGACAAAAACAGTTACCACAATATATACTTGTAGAACTTGAAAAAAAATTATCACTGATTGAAGATGTCAGAATAATGCTTTTCAAAACCTAGCTCTTTGAACCACGATATCTATTTTATTATTTTTTTCTTAAAGTGAGCTGTGGTGAAGCATAAAATCTCAGAAAACTCAGTCTTGGAAAACACTCTTCATTTTGCAAACCCATAGCATTTTCACAAAGTGGTTTTTAATAATTATTAATCAAATCTAAGAGTATTTGAATTAAGAGATTGCCCATTATAATAAAACGTTTTCAATGTCTCAGTTATACTTGTATGTTTGATCTTTTTATTTAAGTGTAACATATGAATAATTCACTTTTCCCACAATTTTTACCGTCTTCTATTACAGTGGCTAAATCTTCAATTCCAATCCTAAAAGGTGAAGTGAAATGAAAGGCACAGGTGATGAAATAATCCATGCTCTCAATAATATGTTGAAATGTAATTTTTCATGTTATGTGAACAAAGTTAAGAAAATTATTGCAGCTGAACTATTGTTTTAACACCATTCTTAATAATTAATCATTTTAAGTGTTTAAAAATGTACATAGTTAAGTTTGAACTTGATTGCACCAAAGGAGATGTCTTTGTGGTAGCAATCGATCCACAACCATAGGTAAACAATCCCCCCAAAAATGGCTAAATTAAATGGAGTTTTAATTTGACCACAGTTGATAGAAAGCCTTTGTAATCAGAGTATAACTCTTCTGTGTCTGACCTAATGATCTCCAATGTGCAAAACAGCTGGCATTTGTAAATTTTAATTTTGGAAATGAAAAAGACCTTGACAGCAATGTCAAATCAGGGACTTAAGTTTCCCTTAATTCAGGGGGTTCTTGACACCTAACCATTGCCTCTTTCTAGAAATTTTGCATTGATACAGTTTCTTATAGTGTTAAGTGTTAAAATAATTGTATTAACTCATTTTTCCCCAGAACACTTAAATTTTTAATTTTATAGCCAATGATTTTAATCCTAATCAAATTATGTTTTTCTTTCATATGCTTGGTTCTATATTGTCTTTTTTAAGTTGTCTCCTCTTCAAAGTGTTTCCTGTACAGGAAAATTGGAGCCCTCACAGACACTTCCTTTACAACAGCAATAAATAATTGTACAACTCTATTCTGGTACAAAGTTTACTCAAGACCCCTTCATTCATATTAAATACCTTAAACCACAAACCGGTTTGTTACTTATTGAAGTCATCATCAGAGAAAGATCTCATAACTGTTCATGACAAAATCTTAGCTCCTAAATGAACACAGGATTATTATCCTCAAAATCCTCTTGTGATAATCACTTCCTGAAACAATTCTCAACAAAAAGATCAATCTGCCTGTGCACTTCTAAGCTAAACTGGACTTGCTCCAGAATTCCTACCTCAGGGCAAAAAAAAAAAAAAAAAAAGGGTGACATCACATAGGCTAAAACACAAGCCTCAAAGGTGGAAATTACCTTAAAGATCATGTAGCTTGGAGTGCATTATCCATAAAATAGTTTCAAATGTGGAGACTCAGAATTGCTAATTTTTACTGTGAATTTCAGGGCTTTAAGAGTTTTCTCTATTTCCTCTGACTTTCCTTCTCCAACCATACTAGGTATATTGTTTGGTTATGTTTCACTTCAATATTACTCAGATTTTAAGCGGTACAAAACTCTGATGATATGTTAAATAAAAGTATCATTTTTGTGAACTAAGACCTGGAAAAATTCACTTTATTTACACCACTGTTATCTGTACACATCTTTGTGCAGGGAGACTTTTAAATACAGCATGTGTTTGCATTATTTACCTGTACATCAACAATTGCAAGGATTTCCCATCATTTCTTGGATTTCATTGGTGCATTTACACATTGTTTAGTTTTTAGATAAAGGTTCTCATTGAGAGGTGGTTGCTGACTTTTTTCCCTCAGTAATTTTATTTTTCTTTGAAGCCTTAAGCTGTTCAATCCAGTTAGTTTCTTTTTCATCAAAAATTTTCCCACCAAAAGCTAGAAGACCAAGTTGTGAGTGAGAAGCTTCTGACTTCACTTTGCTCTTAATACAGGATAAAAACTGTGACTGAGTTAGATTTCGACTGCAGTACTTTGGATGCCATGTATGAAAGATTCCTCTGTCTGCGGCCCGAATAACAACCAAGTCACTGGCAAGGTAGCTTCGATATAACTTCACATCTTCCATTCCCCATCCTTTGATTGAAAGATCAAAACCACCAATTTTTATGAAGTCATTTCTGTACTGGCAAGTCATTCCATAACCAAAATCTCTCCAGTAACCAGTGTCACGATTTATGCGAAATTGGTTCTGGTTTGGAGGCGGTGATCCTCCATATACTATGGTGGGGTTGTAGAGACTAAATACAACTGGGTAGTAGAGTTTCACCCCAGGGGTAGAGTAAAATCTACAGCGATCTAAAAATTGAGATGTAAATAACACATCGACATCACAAAAGAACATGAGGACATTGCCCTTCTCCCAGGAAGTAGCACCCTGTTGGAGACCATAGCCTCTGGAAAATGCCTCATTCGAAAATATAAGTTTATAGTCTGTGAAATTCTCTGCCTTGGAGACGTTTGCCATCATGGTTTCCAATTCTTCCTTACCGGCCTGGCCAAAGAAAACAACGGTGAGAAAAACCGATCTGTCCCATCTCACACAAACGTCGACAAAATTGTCCAGGAAGGCTTTAAATTTATCCAGCCTACCCGATAGCGGCAGAATCAAGTTTATAAGCTCGTTGTTTGTGTCGACTGTCTCAATGCTACCTGCGAGGTTCAGAGGACCAAATGGGCGTTCAATTTTGACTCGGTGAAAAACTTTGTTGTTTGTTGATCTGAAATAAAAATCGTACTGTGAACCAATAATCCGATCGACGCGCATTACTCCATCCACAAGATCTCTCGCCGTGATTTCCATGTTCCTGCCCTCGTAGTTTTTAAGAGCATCAACGGCAAACTTCATAACCTCTAGGTAATCTTTTCCTTTGTGTCCATGCGGTCTTTCGGCAGGATTACCCGAGAGACCGTGATAAATCTGATAAATCGCATTGTGCGCTACGCCGTCGAACGGAACGACCTCAAATTCAGTTCTTAAGGGTTGACCTTTCAAAAATTCTCCTTTCGCCTTTCGGCTTTTTTCTCGGCTGAGTTCTTGAGCGATGGTGAATTTCTCCGCGTTTTTAAGCCGCTTTAAACGCTTCGAGATGTCCTTGTTACGTGCGGTTAGATCGCGAATGACACCACTTAAGGCGTTATTCTCCTGTTTCAGATTTTTAACATCGAGATTCAGGAGTCGAATTTTTTCCATCAACGACGACAATTTTTCCGTGGGAATTTCAGCTTGCCGTTCATGATTTTTCGAGTTGAGCTCGTCATCTCCTAGTCCTTTACAGCGTGTCAGTGCAAACAATAAAATCTGTCCCATCAAAATGAACAAAACCAACGCAAAAGTCGCTCGGAAAACAACGACAGTCGAAATCCTTGGCATGGCATATTTTAAGCGCCTCTTGCTTGTCCTCCAGAGCTCCTGAATATCAAGGTTTACTGTGTTTTGAGCGACATATAAATTATATATTGTTGGCTTTTCCGCTAAGTGATCGTCATCCAACATTTGAAAGACCAGTCAACGCAAATACAAGTCAGCTGTGTTTTAATATTGCCACATGTTTGAATAGCACAGCGTGACATGTAACGCAATGTTTGACTGTGTAGTTGAAGAACCACGCGAACGTGTTTTAGTGTTTAAAGTTCGTAACTTACGAGTTGAAGAAATATTGTTGAGTAGCAACGTTCTAGTCACTATAGCGTAGGTTGTCGCCGCAAGATTCCGAGTTGCATTTGTAAACGAATTCAATTGACTTTTAACTACTGTCAAATTTGAATCGTTTAGGGAATTGCTTTTTGTGTCTTTTGGCGGAACAAGATAAACCATTTTTAATTGCAAATGTTAGGAGGTTTAAGCATAAAACTATACTATTGTTGCTGCATTTGATGAAAACAATATCTGGAATTTTAATGAAAACATTATGGCTGGTAAACAATCTCAAATAAGGGAAATAAGTTGTTTTTTTTTAAAATTTATTTGACGTACTTGTTATCATCACATATTTGTATTCATTCGAGTTGCTCGGTAAATGAGTTTAGCGGTGAAATTGGGTAGAACCTTACTGATTTTTGCAGCATTTATTCTTGAGACAAAGGGGATAAAAACAATACCAAAAGGAATATGATGAGTTCCTCTGTTTCGGTGAAACACTGTAGGAACACCGTGATAAAATACAAAGAGTTGATTGCGTTGGCGAGAACTTAAGGGTTCTCATCCACTATCACACTTCCTTAACGAATCTTTAAGAGAAAAAATACTGTTCAATATGCCATTGATAGCCTCATTCTTAGACGATTGCCGCTCTCATTAATACCACCAATATTGTTTTCGTGGTGTTTCAGAAACACGCCGCCAAAATAAGGAAAAGTTATGGTGTAATTGAAGGAATTAGGAAAAACAGGCCGTACATTTTTAACAATATAAATCAACAACTGCCTTAATCACGCTTAATAACGACATTTGATGAAATTCAGCTTGGAATCATTACTTTATTTTCGCAGTTATTTTGATGGGTGTAACGGAAATTCATCACCTAATCCTTGAGATTTGTTTTTGTTCATTATTATCTTACAACACGATTGAGATAAAGCAGGGTTAATAGTGCAAGACACTTCTGTCAGTCAGAAGAGGTTTTTACATGTTTTATGATCATTTTTAAAAAGTATTTAAATATATGACACCGAGAAGGCAGGCAACATGCACGAATTACCTTACCCACTCACATTTTCTTTCAAAGACACTGGAAATCAATACTTGTAGTCGTTCACATTGTTTGTATTAATTCGTGCATCCCCATTTACAAATAAAAACTTTCTTTCGGTTTGAAGAGGAATGGATTCTCGGAACACAGCAAACGTAGGTCTTGAAGAGAGCTTATAAAGATACTAAAACCTGAGACGGGTTTCGGGATTTTATTTCGCAAGAGGTCGAAAAGAAACAAATACTCTCTTGATCAAGGTTTTCGGTCAAGATGAGTGGCCTGTAACAACGTTCTTATTTCTTTTATCAATACCTTTTTTACGTTTTTGAAAGGTCCGGAAAGAAACCTGGCCAATATTTTTGCCACTCTGACTTGGCACGCTTATTTGAAACTGTGCGAGCAAAGTCCAAGTTTTGAAAGTTGATGAAATGATTTTCCTGCTCTCAAAAATAGAATTTGATTGTATTGTGCTTTTTTGAAGGCTTTCCTTGAAGGACCAAATATTTTATTTCTTTGTTTTTCTTAGCTGAATGAAATCCAGGATGTTTTTTCTTTTCACATGCAGGTTTCAATGTCTCGTACGCCTCATTAATGCACTGTTACCCCTCCATTTTGATCCGCAGACGTTGTTATTTCAGTTGGTGATTAGTGGCAGTTATAATTGTTTTGATCATTAAAAGCATTATTTTTTATCATTAGAATTGCTTGGGAAACAAATTGAGCTAGAATCTCACATACTGCACCAAAACACCAGATCAATTATGAAATTATCTCGTTAAAAAAAAAATTATAATAACAAAAGTTTAAAAATAAAATTTTGGTTTCCGGTGCGCCGAGGAGATCCAGAGAATTCAGGAAAAGGAAGCCTAAATATGAAAGTGACATTTCAGTCTGTCTATACTAACAAAGCATCAATACAACCTTGAAAAAGCATCACGTACGAGGAAAGGATAAAGATGTTAAAAAGAAAAATGAGAACTACAATGAATACCTAAATAGGAAAAGGGGGCTTTAAGTCCCTACAGACCCATCGCCTCGCCCTGTCTATATCTCGATTACAGGAAACTCCGAAATCTCGGAATCTTAAATGATAGCACATTTGTTGTTTCTAGTGTTTCCAGATTCATAGTAGTTTACAAAGGGGCATTAGGATTCCAAACTGTTTTCACACATCGAGACCCCTTGCACATCCCTCGTGTTCCTCAAGGCCCCGTATTTTCCCGCCGTTTAGAAAACACTCGCGCCTAAGAACTTATAATGAGGCGCTGCTCGCAGACCATGGTAAATCCGGTGACATTCCATGGTGAACTAGTGATTTACCAAACTTTTCGGTTCGTGCTTAGTCCCTAGTAATTTAGAGCGGATGCAAATTCCACAAAAACCGTCCTTGTCTTCGTTCGAATTGTGATGAAGTAAACACTCGTGACATTCTTCCAAGAGCTCGAGAGTGTTCGTATTTTTCCTACAGGCCACCGAACACGATAGTGCAGGATATCGAACCACCCAAAAAGCTGGGAAAGGTTTTTGTAGCTGGTGTCTCTGCCTGAGTGTAGTGAAGGTTACCCCATGACAGGGGGCACAGACAAGGCAGCGAAGAATCGTTCCGTAACCTTTGAAGCAATCGGATGCAAAGCCAAGGTCTACGCCAAAAGAGATTTTCATGGATTTTAAAATTCTTACCGCATTTATTGCTTTTAAGGTACTGGGATTCAAATGTTTACATTAGAGGGGAATGATTAGGAATCTCAACTGCTTTCGCACACCTACAAATCCGTTGACATTCCCCGGTGACCTGATTTTCAGCTTGACTGTTGTCCCAAAATAGTTTAGAATGGATCCACAGGTAACAACAACTGCTTCGGTTCGACGTGTAATACAAAATTTACGTAGCACTGATACTATAAAGAAATTAAAAATTTTAAAATTCTTACAGCATTTATTACTTTTAAGGTACTGGGATTCATAGATGTTTACACTAAAGGGGGATGATCAGGAAGCTCAACTGTTCACACACATCTATAAATCCGGTGGCATTCCCAGGCGAACTGATTTTTCAGCTCGAATGTCGTCCTAGAATAGTTTAAAATGGATCCACAGGCAACAACAACTGTCTTGGTTCGATATCTGATACAGAATTTACATAGCACTAATACAAAAAGACATTCTCAAAGGCGCTTTATATTCAGTGATATTCATTAACTGAGAGTTTTCCTATATATAAATGTTTTAAGTTATTTTTATTAAACGGCGAGGCTGCTACAAATTCGGATCTATGATACAGCGAGTTGCAAAAGACAGGAGTAGCAAAGATGAAGGCCTGCTGGATCCCCAAATGTAGAGCAGATGACTTTTGGAACGCACAGAAGATTGTTTCTAAGAGCGGAGAGCATAACTTGAACAGAAGATCTTTCTTGTAGAGTGAACTTACGTTGTTGAAAGACTTAAACAAAAAGAGACAATTTAAACTGAATGTCACACCAGGCCGATGAAGGTCGATAAGAGTTGTGATATGATCAAATTTTTTAATCTGAAAAAGTCGCGGCGTTCTGAACCTCATGGAATGGAATGTCAACGAACCAGGCCGATTAAAGAAATCGATAAAGTGGAAACAGAAAAAATAAATTCAAAATCGTTTTTAATAAGCCTAAGAAAACAAAACTTGTCGCCAAGTTGCGAAAATCTGAACAAATTAATGGAATGGCAAAGTAGTGGGAAGCAACGACTAAAAGTTAAATTTGAAACTCTTGACTGAAAAGAATGTCGATATATCGTTGGACAGAGTTGGTTGCTTAATTAAGATCGCAATAGAGTAAAGTCTTCAAGCCCCTCAAACGATAGAAAAGACATTTTCAATCGGTATCTATATTTAGAAGCAGATTATTCCTTTGAGTAAGGGAAAGGCACAAAAACGAAGAAGAAAAATAAAAAAACGTTAAGATTTGAGATAAAATCGTTTGCACTACAAATAACCAAATTTTAGTGTATTCGAAAGCTAAGTATGGCAAAATCTCCGAAATCGCGGCAAAACCAGAATGTCTTTCTTACAGACTCGTTTATTGATGTGTGAAGGGAATAACGAATCCGGTGATTAAAAACCTCCCGAAGTGGTGACGAAGCTTGAAAATCTGCTTCAGTGTAGACCTATTCGCTGAATAACAGATCATAATTGAGTATTCATTATTTAAGAACCAAATGGTTGATTGGAGAGATTGAAAGAAACAATTAAACAACAAAAAAAATTCACTAAACGAACAATCAAGCGAAGAATTAATTTTGATCGACTTAAAATCCTCCATAGCGCCCAAAAGAAATATAAAAAAAATTTACCCGTGAAAAGAAGATAAGAAAATTTGGTCCCTCTGTTTCACAAATACACTCTGCGAAAACACTCGTGACGCACTAAAAAGAGGATGTTAGCACTGCCAGATATTTGAGAGCTTTTGTCTCCGTTGCCACCTCATTTCCTGTGACCAACTATCCACAGTTAAATACCGACCAATATATTAATGACATCTTTCGATTCACAGACGATCACCGCGGCTATCAATATCACAAATATTATTCCTGTGGCATTTTAGAAACACGCCGCTTGAAAAACTATTGCAAAACAAATTTTCCAACATGTAGGAAAAACATGGTAAACTTGTTTTGACACAGTATTTGCAACTACGTATATTTGCTCCATCATAATATCATATCTCATATCATAGCTATCATAATCATAAACTCAGTCATCTTAAATTATTTAAAACTAGCTCGGGAAAGTCTTAATTAGGAAAGATCATTTTTACCTACCGAGCTCGAGGTCTGTACTCGCTCTTAATTACGGACCTATTTTTTTCCCGAAGATCCATAACCTAAAGACAGGTTAGGAGGAGGATTTCTAGTCACGCGCAACGCCAGGCCTGAAATCACTAACGCACGTGGAAACAGGAAAATAAATTCAAAATCGTCGTTCAGTCTTCCAAGATGTTTTCAAAGCCTAAGAAAACAAACGACTTGAACTTCGTGTGCCAAGTTGCGAAAATTGTACATAAATTAATGAGAGATTCGGCAAAGCTAGTGGGAAGCATGGCTGACTAAAGCAGTTAAATTGACAATGGAATCAAAGGGTGTGTGGTAACTGAGAGATTTAAGTCGATATATCGTTGGATAGAGTTGGTTGCTTAATTAAGAGGAGGTGGGGAATTCAAATAGACGGGGCATATCAGAGAGGTTCGAGTTAAATAATTGATCCTTTACTTTTTTTTTCTACTCCCGGAACAGGCTGAGATCTCAGTGTGACTCTTGAGTTCCTAGGATGTGAATCGTACTTTGCCCTTCAAGCTCCAGAACACTCATGCACCTCAATAGTCAAATAGTTAAGAGAATCAGCCGATATGCTTACTTATTTGTAAAACTCTTTGGTGCGTATTGTATTGATATTGTAAAGAGAAAATAGATATTAATCGCTCCAGAGAGAGAAGGATATCAAAAAGCATGAGCTATTATGCGTACAAGAAAGTCGATTTCCTCCCAACCCCACCCCTAAAGAGTGATCAAAGAAAGCGAGACTGTGAAGGGAGGGCGCAAGTGCAATCGTTTGACCCCTGCCCTTGTTCCTTAACCGTAACTACTTTTATCATATAAACTACGGTGTTATACAAGGATTTCCAGCCCTGAGAAAAGCCGTAACAACACGCGTGAAAAAATATCGTATTTTTTCACGTGTGTTTGTTATCTCCAATTAGCTGCTGACACGTCACTTACCTTTCGCGCCACTCGATCAGGTTGATGAATGAACGGCGAAGCCTTCACTATTCTCAATCCAAGGTTGTTTGTCGAAATATTTCGGATTACGACTACTAAAACACTTAAAAAATCCGTATCGCTTACAGACAGTGACGTTCAAACTTTCCTATAAGTTGAAGAAAACCAAAATACGGATAGAAAAACCGAAAGTTACGTTGTCAGTGGCTTTGGTAATACCATTTCTCGAGGCTGAGAGCGAAAATCGACAACTGGAAGATTTGCAACAGGCCGATTCTGGCCGTGTATCTGAAAGATTTCCTCTGTCGGTAAGGACCAAGTCAATAACTGAGAATTTTGTGTATGGAAAATTACGCCCATTGTTTGTTTTCATAGTGTTTCAACGCATTTTTTCATCTTGAGCCTTAGCGCCAACGCACTTTACGATTATTACTCGGGGATTGTCGATCCTTCTATTTTCATTCATTACTAAGTTGACTTTTCCTGTCAGTAAAGGGCTTTTGTGTTTATATGATAAAAAAGATATGGAATTTCTCTTCTCGTGTTCAACTCCACATCTCACTCGTTCGCTGCGCTCACTCGTGAGCTATCGAGTGAAACACTCGAAGAGAAATTCCATATCCACGCTCTCCCATCTATTATTCTCTATTTATCGTTTGAAGTGGGACATATTTGATCGGTTCGCACATATCATGTAATGAGTGAACTCGTCTTCATTTTTTTTTTTTTCACCCTCCAAAATGGCGACACTCATTCATATGGATAAAGGTTTTATCACCACACCATTGCCCTTTTTACGCTGCTGCGATACGCACTGAAGCTATACGTTCGAGCAGTCAGAGATAGAAATGATCTTTGTTCGCGGACTGATGACCAATTCGACACACATACCAAAACACGAGAATTTGTGTGTAATGGACACACAAAACGGAGACGAGTTCGGGATGAAAACTCGGGAAACTGGTATTGTACAATAGCAAAACTTAGAACTTGTTGCCGGGATACATAGCAAGGCATGTAGTGCTTGTGAACAAGTAAAAAACGGAAAATGTATTCGCATCTCGACAGATCTTTGACTCCTTTACATACAAAAAAGTTGTCGCAAAATGCAACTTAAAAAAAATTAATTTACAAAAGCGGACCGAGTGCGGGAGCAAATATGACGACATTTTGCACAGAATCAGACTGATGTTGGAATTTATCGATCGGATATGAGTTAAGGTGTGAAACGCTTAATTACAAGTACAAAACTGATATTGAATTCGCATTTTCCGAGTACTTTGACTCATTTGCATTCTTTGCTTTGGAAAGAACAGCGCCTGCGATCAAATTCGCGGTAAATAAAGGCTATCAATTAAACATGCGCGATACCTGACCAACCAGAACGTGCAGAACTTCACAACTGAATGACCTCACAATCGCTAATTGTAACTTAAAGAGCCAGTCTTAAACACAAAGTGGCTTCCGTGCCGAAAGATAATAGTCCTTTGCTTGGTAATGCCAACATGGCTGAGCAGTGCACTTCAGAGAATGTCTCCGATCCAAGAGCGGAAGGTAAAGTAGAAATCGAAAACGTTCATGTAAGCGAGAAACAAAAAATAAGGGAATCTACTGTTAATGAAAATATACCAGAAATCGATATAGATGACATTGAAGCTGATCAAGCACATTCAACTGACTGCGATGACTACGATGACTTTATTGGAGAAATTATTATTTCAGTAAGGAGTGAGCTCGCTGAGGCTGAGAAAGAGCCAGAGAGGTGTTGCAATGATAGAAAATTCTCCACACGTAGCCGAGACAGCTCGACCTGCAAAGAAGGACGGCGCAGCGAAATGAAAGATCAAAGCTCTCAGGCCAGTTCTTTGCCAGAAGAAGCTGTAAGTGACGAAGTCAAAATACTGAAGGATAAGCTAGCTATTAATAAGAAAGACACTGAAACTTTGCGGAAATTACTGGAAGACGTACGAACAGACTATGAAGAATTACAGAAAAGTTTCGATAAACGCACTAGTGAGACAAAAAGTGAGGAAGGCGAAGTGCCGATGAAAGAGAGCAATGAAATGAGAAAGTGGAAAGCTGAGAAAAAACGATCGAAAAAGGTTTATAAGGTTTCATCTTCAGATGAGATAACGGAGTGGAGATTTTCAGATAGTAAGACAACGGGTTTTACTAAAGAATCTTCAAGTGCTCTTCAAGTAATTGACAGTGGCGAAATAGCATGCCCCTGTCTTGAGAAAAGTATTCGTAAAATCGTAAAGGATATCAGAGAAGAATTCAAAGACACCATTCTGGACTTCAAACGATGCTTTGAGGAACAGTGCACAAGCATCGGTGAAGAATTAGCCACGTTAAAACATGAATACTTGAGCGCTGTGGAAAGAAGGGATTCTGAAATTATCGGCTTTGAAAAAATCATCAAAGGCTTGCAGTCACGATTCCTGGAAGAAGACAAAGAGTTGATAACGTTCAGATCAGTTACTGCATCTGTTTTGGAAGAGAAGCAGAAATTATACGACGATATTCGTTTGCTGAAAGATGAACTCTTGCGAAAAAAATTTGAAAAGGAAGCTAGCCAAGCAGAGTTAGGGAAAATGAAACAAGGTTTAAAGAAATATTGCACCGCTGAAGAATATGAAGATTTGCAGAAGTTAAATTTTCAATTTGATGGAGACTGTGGAAGTAGAGGAATCGATGGCTGCGGTCAATCTTCTGAGAATATGAAGGAGTATGATAATGTCGGTGAACTTCAAAACAAAATGGAACAGTTCCACCCAGTTTTGAAAAAAGCTAAGCAGGAAATTGCAAGGCTAAAAGAAGAAAGAACGGAGGCTCAGAATCGTTTGGAAGAAAAGATTTCCGAAACGGTAAAATTAGAGAGTTATTTTAACAAACAGTTGAGCGAATCTGTTATGGAACTGAAGCGAAAGGAAAGAACAATTACCGAACTGAAAGAACAGTTGTCCAGTGCAGAGCTGAAAAATTATCAACTAAACAGTAAAATAAATCAGCTGGAGAAAGAGAAGGAAGATTTGAATAAAAAGTATATGCAAGAGTTGGAAGAAGTTAAAGGTGAGTTGAGGCCATTCAGCAAGAACCGTCAACTAAACAAAAAGAGGGGCGAACAATTACAAAATGGGAATGACTTGCCTAACGATGATTACATTGGACCGAAAAATCAACTTGAAGACAAAGAAGCGAAAATGCTTGCAAGAACGACAGAGACTGAAGAATATTTATTTGACGAAGACTACCAGAAACGATTTCTTCAGGTAAGAAAAAACTGTAAATCTGAGTCCAGGGCTGTAGGACTGTTTGCTTTAAAAGCAATGCCCAAAGTTTGAAAATCACAGGAATGAAATGAAAGGGAGAAAATGGAGGGAAGGATAGGAACTAAAGAGGAATAGTATTTTAGACCCAACTGGCGGGCTACCTTACCAGGCTCAGGAAAAATAAGAAGGCGAAGCGTGCATTCCGCAGCGGTTTCCTTGGCAACTGCCTTCACTCGCTGTTCTACTCGATAGTTTTCATTGACTGAAGGCCTTAAAAAGGTTGGTTTAGGTAGCGTCAGAGATTTTTAATGATGCAAGCTGTTTGAACGCAAAAAATTCTTTGTTAGTACATCACAAACGAGCTAGCGAAATACAAACAAAAAACAAACGTACAATAATGTAGAAAATCTCTTTCGTTTTTAAATTTTAAGTTACGATTTTTCTCTTTCTCTCCCCCTTTGTATTCTTTTTGTATTCACGCGCGGCGTGCGTGATTTCCCAAATTAGCTGAGCACGTCCGATAACTTTAACCTTGACATTGGAAAACTGTCATGGACATTTTTCGCGTAGTTTTAGTTTGTTTTCACGGAGTTTTACTCAGTTGTTTTTTAGCTTTCGTTCGCGTAATTTGTTACGCCTTTGTTTGGAATTTTAAGAGGTTTCGGAGACTTTATTTCAGCCCGATGTTGTGGTTTATTTAAAAAGTTTAATACATATTTTCTACGGAGTTTGGACTCTAGCCTCTTTTTTCGTAAATGGAGTTTTTACAAATAACTACAACGACCAAAAACTTGGTTAAATCTCCCACGTGATACCGTTTGCTTCCGGACCTTTCTCTCGTCAGGAGAAGTCCTTGCTTAAGAAAGATCTTGAGGCTGAAAAGAGAAAAAATGAATTGTGCCTGTTGGAAATAGAAAAACTTCAGAGAGAACTCGATCAGTGGAAGGAAATCGTCCGAGATGATATGGATGCGGGCGTAGGATTCCTTCGGATCGAAAATGAAGATTTGAAAGATGAGTTACAAGAGAATCAGTAAGTTTGACAGAATTATTTCTGTATCATGTTTTTTTTTAAGATGTAGCTTAGAAAATGTTTTGGGATTTGCAAGATCCACATCGCCTTCGGCAAATAATGACGGAGCACGACGGGGAAAGAATGGTCGTATGATAATCAGTGGAAATTTGCCGCCGGCGTGGCTTAAAGTACTCCCGCTGGTTTAGACCAGAAACATACCCCTTTGATTAGACTTGATGGCATCACTTATTTGTTCGTCACTGTCGAGCCAAAGGGAACTTAAGCGATCAGGACGGCAACGCCGAGGAAGACGTCAATAAAAAAATGAGTTTACGTTTTTGGCTAGAATTTCGCGAATGTCCAAATATGTTTAGCGTCTTTTATGGCGCCACACCTCAACTTTAGCATAACATATGTGAGCAGCATTGAGTTCCAAATGGAATCTTCAATGATTTGTTGTCGGGGTTTTCCGTTCTCAAACCATGTAAATTTTGTATTGTTATGTAAAACACTCGTGCCGACCCACTTTTTTTCCCCATTAGAAAGCACTTCAAATTTCCTAGCGATAGAAGTAACTTCGCGAGCAAGACTGTCAAAAACGACTTCTGACATTTTTGTTTAAGCTTTACGTACATAATCCAGTCAACAGAAATATTGCAATATGTCTTGGTTTACGTTGGATTTTAACTCTGTAATTTCTCTTGCACATCCAGGATTTTCATTAAAGAGTTGATGTCAAAGAAAAAGCGACATACCCAAATAATTAAGAAGTTGCGGGCAGAAAATGCCATGTTGAAGGTTTGTTTTATCTATTCATAAAAAATATTACATCGTGTTCCTCGTTATGGGAATGTTCCATTCTACCCACCACCCCTCCCTAATTTCCTTTCGGGATAGCTTTTGGGTAAAAAGGCTCGGATTTTTCTCGTGAGAAACCGACAAAAATTGGACCAAGAAGAAGCAATTTTGAAAAGATGTTTAACGATAAAGAATGAAGATCAAGTATTTTTAAAAAGGTTATAATACATTTAAATTAAACCCCTTAGCTCAATTAAGATTACGGCCTTTCCCCCAACTCTCTCGATTTCATTTTCTGAAGAAGCCGACTGAACATTGAGGAACGTTTCCCTCTTTGTAGGATGGGGGAGGGGGGGGGAGGGGAGGGAGGGGCGACGGTGGGACTGGAAAGTGGAACGTTTCATGTTCGCTATACAGTTTAAAATACTATTATAGGTCAAAGAAAGAAAAAATATACCAAAGAACGTTTTCTAAATAATTCAGTTTCATCATTTTAACGTTTTAACCTTTTACTTTTGTCAGATAGAAAATTGCACATAACACATTTCTTTGTAGATGGGAATTCAAGATTAAAACCGAGAATTTGTTCTTTTTCACTCATTAGAATTCTAAGAACACAACAGAAGATGAATATGACGATTTAATTTCATTTGAATCTGACGACGGAACGTTTGATGAGGGGTTTGGTTTCGAACAAACTACAACTCAAGAACAGAGAGTAAGACTGGACAAGAATGGGAAAATTGAAATGGTATAACAATCTGATTGACATATTCATTTGTGTAGTACAAGAGCAGGCACCTGACAGTCTAAGATTTGGATTTTTCCAAAATGACACATCGTAGATGAGGAAAATTCTTATGGTTAACTTTTTTACGACTAACGGTTAAATTTTGGCAATTTTTACGCCTATAAGCTGATCTTTTGCTGTAAACCCAATTAAGACTCCTTTATGAAGACCAAGTTATGCTATACAAAATGTACCTCTAAGAATCAGGGAAAAAATATAAGCCAAGTGAATCTCAATTTTTAGGTTACTGACAATGAATCAATACATTTTCCTGTCATTTTAAAGTTAACTTTGCCTTCCAAGCAATAAATCTTTTAAAATTGGCAAACTTTCTGAGATTCCTGAATTCTCTAAGTTAAACTTCCGCAAGAATTCAATGTGTACTAATTTCATCATGCTCTTTACATTTACGATGTATTTATTTGTTGGGCGTCCTCTTAAACCTGGATGCTTAGAAGACAAAGAATTATTTGATTTGATCAAACAGGGAGCTCCACTTAAAAATGAGAGCAAAAATCTTTACACTGATTCCAGTTTTGACTTCTTGGAGTACGACACAAGCATTAGCGAAAAGGTAAGAGCAAGAGAGAGAAGTATTATAACCGGGAACGGAAGACCCTATGTTTTTGAAGTCAAAGCCTAAAAACTCTTAGATAAAAACTTCATTTATCTTCCATGCTGATTGCTCTAACGACTGATTTTGAAGGGCGCATGCTCAGATTCCTTTTTCCGTGTTATCATCCGCCATTTTGATTTGTTGTGCAGATTAACGCTGTACTTTCGGTCCCAGACTCCGGTTCGCCGTTTCTGGTTTTTAGTAACATCCCGTAGCAAAGTTGATAATTGATGATTGAACCTATTATCTGTTGTTTTTCAGGAATAGTCCAAGGAAAATAGTATGCTGTAAGCAAATGGACCGACCTATAAATTTATAACATTACTTATTGTAAACGAAATAAACTGTGAGAATCTTTGCGTATTTGTTAGATACCAGCTCTCTTTGTCATCTTAACTATAGCCTTATGATGTTATCGGTTGTATTATAATCATATAAGCTTTGTGGTTTGCTACATCATGTGCTTCTGTTTATAGGTACTAATAAAAGAAAAGCATCTTCTTTTACTCTGAATATCTGAAAAAATGGTTTTATTACCTCTGTTTCCTACTATTTCTTGAAACAGTTAAAAAACTATAATAGATACATGTTTACTAAATTCACTGATTCTGCTAATAGCTGGCTGCCAAATTTCGACTTCCAATTGTAGGGCTGACTCGTTTCCAGACTTGCCCTATGACATCGGAGACTGGGTGCAAGTCAGCTGCTGGGTGACAGTTAGTAAATATATAAGAATACTTAACACTAAATAACGTGGTTAATAAATACGTTTCTATTTACAGTTCGAGTTACTTAAAATATTTGGGTAAATATCCTTCAGTTATTGAGACCAAGAACTCCTTTTCCCCTCACTTAGGAGAGAGAATCGGACTCTTAAGTTCACAATTGCGATGATTCAGATAATTTTCAAGCCTTCTAGAATAATTCATGTTGTTCGCTTCAAAGTTTAAAGTATATCGCTAACGGTTTCTTATCCGAAATACTAATAGTGGGCACTTGCGATGATTTTCTACCAATTGCAGGACATGGTTTGGGCGACCAATCAGAAACGGAACCAGGGGGATCACTGCGATTGGCTGGTACGATCTTCTCGAGCTTTCTACCCTTTGCATAGTTCTGTGTACTAAAACAATTCCAAAATCCCTAACATTGCTCCAATCCAATTTTTTCCTCATAAAAATATGTTATCAGGCGTTACTTTTCAAAATGTTCATGTTCTATAAGATGTGTGCAAGTTTCCTTTCTTATTTCTCACATTGAAGCAATGTTACGTTGTAAATTGAAAACTCTTTGGCTTACTTAAAAACACTCCTGATCCATGAAAAAAAAAGAGGAAACCGACTGCTCACTTAAACTTTTTAAGCCTGTTTAGGTACTGGCTTATTAAAATTAGCATTCTCAGGAATGAAGCATAAAATCTCGTTACTATTTCATAATGGCAAGTTTAACTTTTAAGTGACCTACTAAACTAAGGGTTATCAGTGGACACGTTCAAGCATTTTTAAGTCCTGTACTACACTATCTACAATTATGTTTCAGTTAACAATATAGCGCAATGTCGATACCACGAAATTCCTAATTAATTTTGGCGATTTCCCTTTATTGTGTTTACATAGAATATGGGCGATAAAAAATTTATAGGATTTTTATGTCTCTCAGAGCAAAATTTCCAATTTACTTCAGCATAAAGACCCTGAGAAGTAGGCAGTATATACTTTCTTCATGGCGGACAAAAGTGTAAAAAAAAAAAAGAGATATTATTCTCGATTTTGTGGGCTGCATAAAACCAAAAATAAGAGTCAATCTTTAAAATTTTTTAAAATCATTAAAATGATTTTAAGTTGATTGTTTGGGAAGTAGTTTTCTGTCTTTAAAAAAAACATTTACCTTCGTTTTGGAGATATCAACGTCATTTCACCAGAATCAAATTAAACCGAGCTTAACTTACCATGAACAAAATTTTGTCTGGAGCAAGTGGGATCGTAATATCGATATTGCACTATGATTTCGTAATGTTCGTTCATAACATTAACGAGTGTCCAAAATTGTCTCAAATTCACGTATAAATGTTGTCTAAGTATCCAAACATGTGTTCACGTTACACATGACTGCCAAGTGCCTCACCTCAGTGATCATTATGGCAAATCTGTGCGTCGGCGCTCAGTCCGATTGACGTATGTCTCTCCCATCAGCAGAAATTGTGGTGGTTTCAACTGTTTTCTGTAAGATTACATGTCTTTGGCGATAAAGGGAGATTTCTTCCACTTGATGCCCGTGTTCCTGTACAAAACTTCCACCATGCTAGTTCCTTGGGTCGGTAAGGTGGTTCTGTCCTTGAGTTGATAGAGAGCTGTGTCCGTATTTTCGTACCAAAAGCGGTCTCCGTCACGTAATACTCGATACTGGAGAGCAATAATTCGAGCGAAAGTTTCCCCGACACATCCACCATCGACATGTGGCTCTGCTAATCCACCGATCCACAGGTCAACATCATCTATATCTGGGTAAACTTGTGAAAGTCTTTCTTGAAGATCCTTATCGGGCGTTATCTCAGCAAAGTTTTTACGTCTTGACAAACCAAGTCCTTCCCGCACTGTGTTGTAATCTGGAATACCGTGGTCCCTTCCTCTCTGTATGTTGATAGCCACGAGGTCGAGACCCATTGTGTTGGTTCCAAACAAGAAGTTTCGCACAGAGTCTGAAAACTTCAAGTCAACTTCCTGAGTCTTCTGTGTCAGCATGCCTCTTATCAGCGGTTCAATTCCACCTTCACGTAGCACGCGCCCTGGATTGAAGTACGCGTCACGTAGAGTTAGGTGACCATGTCCTAACATGGTCCAGTTTTCGTTCAGTCGCGGCATGATGTTTCCAACCTGACTGTGGCCAAATCTGAAGGCCGCCGTGGCGAACTCGTTGAAGATGCCAACCTTTATAGAGGCGTTGTATCCCTTGTAGGGGCCCAGTTTGTCATACTCCGCCAGGCCGATGACAGTTGGCAAAAACTCGCTCCAAACTATCTTCTGCCACTTGGCTCGAGCTAAGGCTCTTGCGTGCTGGAACAGAGTCTCGTCATCCATATTTTCGTTCCCTGGATGTTTCATCAGCTCATCGCAGATAAGATTGTGTTCGCGTGACCAAAGCGTGTGAAGGGCGATGAGGCCAGGCTGCACATTCACTCGGTTGTCCCCAGAGACGAGCATTTTGTCACGTGGTCCATTCAGAAGGTTCAAGTTAGTGACTTCTTTAGTGTTAAAGTCGAGGATATCACTGGATTGGTGCTTCAATTTACCGTTTTCCATTGTTCGTAAAACTTCTGCTCGCCCTTCATCGCATCCATAAACTAAAGACAGGTCAATGAATGCTGTAACCTTGTTGATCTGATGATAAAAATTACACTGATTAACATCTGATCATTAGAAAAAGAACATGTCTTAAACGCCTGGTTTCCTTATGGTCATCCGAATAGCCAAAATGTTCAACAAGATCGGAGAATGATCCTGTTTTGCGGAGATCAGGCCTAAACACAAACTAGATATTGCACGTTTTGTGTTCTCGGCGAAGTTTGCCGCAGAGTTTGAGATCCTTATCCTCCTTGAACAAAGCCAAATTTAGCCGTAAAATTTTCAGGCATAAAATCTTAACCAGATGGTTGGAGTAACAGAGTAGCCTTGATTTTGGAACAGTTCTGATGACGTAGTCCATCATATGGAAACCAAGCTCAAAAGAGGAACTACTAGTCAAATGTTGTGATTTCAAGAACGATTCTAGGCACGAACTGCGTATAATCAAACATAGCGGGGGAAAGGGGAAGAAGGGAGGATAAATCCCGAAATCAAACATTTACCTGTTCACGTGGTCTACCATGCATTTTCCCGCTGGTCTGAAGGATGCCAGATCTTCTAAATCGCATTATTTCTTTGCCTGTGCCATGCGGGTCGAACCAAGGGTCACCCTCTGGGATTTGAATGCCGAGGTTATCAGTGGTCAGGAAATTGGCGTACGGTGTTGCAAAATCAGTGTCATGAGCTAACATCTGACCAAAGTGCATATGGAAGTCATTCAGACCGGTTTTGCTGAATATGTCAATGCGCTGATCACAAACAACATTGGATATAAGTCGTGGGCTTGATCTGTTGGAGCCCGCGGGTGCATCGAAGCTGTCAGCGTATGCTGGGGGAAACAGGCGCTGTAGCGGCATGAGTGGCTTTCCGCAGTCAGGGTCGATCGGGTTGTTGTTGACTGCGTCCAAGCGGGCAAACTTTTCTGACAATTGCTCTGGAGAAGGAGCGGGGGTCTCCACTTTAGTGACCTGAGAAAACATACAACATCATGTCGTCTTTGAATTTATACAACATCGTTGTGGCTCATTATGCAGCACAAAAATACGAGACCAGCCTAAAACTACTTTGCAAAAGATTTTTAGCTATTTTCCATTCCTTTTAAACCCTCCTTATAAGGTATCTTCGGAGAAGAGGTTTCTCTGATTATTGTCTTTCCTCCTCCCGGCTAAAATTTATTAATCATAATTTAGAGATCGATTCGGAGCCAGCTCAGGTATGTACAAGATATGACAATATTTTCGATTTTTTTTACTCGTTCATGTTTTTCCTCCTATCTCTTCTGTTTGAAAGAGTGACATCAAGGTTTTTGGGTCTAATTTTTCTAAGTTCTTTATAAGTGAGCCATTTTAATCGTTGCAATCTTAAGGTATATTTCCGCAAAGTATCTGATGAGTCTCTTTGCCAAGACGAAAGACTGCGTCATACCAGCCACGAGGTATTTTTTCACAAGTATTTGAAAATTCTTCGTGGCATATATTTTTTTCATCCTGTTTTATCATTGTCCTGTTTTTCTAACCGAACTTTAAACCAATTTTGTCAGTCTTTTAGTATTATTTATGTAAAAAATAGTATTACTTGGCCGGAAAATACCGAGAAAATAGCTCCTCAAAGCACAATTTAGCCATCTCTCTACCTTGACTTTCACTGTAGCAATAGCTGTGCCAACTCCGTCACTAACAGCATAGTTAAAGTTATCTTCGCCAAAGAATTCTGCGTCTGGATAGTATGTCACGTGCTTGGGTCCTACCATCACCTGACCATGCTCTGGTTTCCGGGTCACTTCCTTCACTAATAACTTGGTGCAGCCTGGAACCGACTCACTGGGGGATGTTGTCTCCTCAACTGCATTGCGATGACCCCAGATATCTCGCACAACAAGGGAAGATCTCCTGGGCACGTCGTGAATAATCCGTGTATTGTTAGTGGCTGGCCAATAAACGCGGATTCGAAAAGTGTCGGCGGTTTCCGCACCCAGCCCATAGTGGACAACGTACTCTCCTTGGGCTGAAAACCCGGATGAGCTTCGCACTTCACGGAAAACTTCTTTCTCTAGCCGAGGCGAGTACAAGTAGACGCATGCGCCATGACTTTCCCTCTCGACGCTGGCCTCCATAACTTTGACGCGGATGAAATCAACTTTGTTGCCGCCAATGTTTCGATAAAGGACAGGACGGTTTGCGCTGTTGGCGATGAAAACGTCTAAGTCCCCATCTTCTTCGTAGTCGAAGATGAAAACGCCTCTCCCGTCGAAAACATCAGTGATGCCCAGTTTTTGGCCAACTTCCTCAAATCTAATTTGGCCGTTATTGTCCTCAAAATACATATTTTGATACAGTCGGGTTCGGGTGTGATGAAGAAAATCTGTGTCCGTCACCTCTGGATCATCGAAGCCATTCGTGTGGATGAGATCCAGGTCGCCATCGTTGTCGAAGTCAAAGAAGGATGCGCCCCATCCCCAGTTCCCATAGCGAACTCCGACCGAGTCAGTCTGGTCCGAGAATTTACGACCTCCTTCGTTCCTATGAACAGAAAGTACCGAATCAATATAAAAGGTAGGAAAGAGAGAATGTTATCATTTCTGACGTAGCGTGAGCAACTTATTACCATTTGTACGAAGTTAAGCAAAATAGTAGTTTTATCACAACTTTCGTACGAGACTCTAAACCAATCAGGGCTTTCATTGGATTTGCTTCAGTACACCATGTGATCAGTCGAGAACACCGGTGCCACTTTCTCAGAGGTAATACTGACGCTAATCGCAATTCGTACATTTTTTTTCGCATTTACTTGTGAACAATCAATTAAGTCTCTTAGAGAGCAAAAGGAAACTCTTGGCATCCATCAAGAGCTAGTTAAAAGAGACATGAATAGCACACTGAATTCGTTTCAAATAATGTAAATTAGAGACGTGCTCACTGACTGGTAACTCAATTAAGTGGAATAGAGTGTTAGTTTGAGTGACTCCTCTCAGAGGTGTCAGACATTTTTCGCATACATCACGGGTTACAAACCTGTAAAGCCTGTTTCCAGTATGCCCAAAGATGATTCCTCCACCGAGATAGACTTCTCTAAATGGCTCCATTTGTTCCGCAGACATGTGAATACTGCTTAAAAACCAATCCTGCCGGCCATCAAGATCATAGTCGGCTACTGTGGAACCCATTCCATTCTCGTCCGTTCCAACGCCACTCGACTCGGTCGCGTCCGTGAAAGTTCCGTCCCCATTATTCCAATATAAAACGCTTGTTTTGAAATCCCCGTTTATTATCAGGTCTTGATAACCTACGAAATATTTAAACATTGCGATCACTCACAAAATTATTTGATGTATTTCCGCGGTTTTGTGTGAGTGTATATAAAGCCTAAAGTCGTTTTCATACACCTTTTTTTCATTCTACGACCAATAATTTTCAGAAGGCGCTCGATATATAACCTCAGGTTGCATTGGAGGAAAATTGCTTAACTGAAAATGGTGATGTGTAATTTGCAGTTGGGTAAGTTCTGTATCGCACTTTGACTATGGACTAGGTCAACTTTGAAGATGGAGCAATTGCAATTTTGTATCAAGTATAATCCAGCGTTGAGTTTCAGTTTCTTACGCGCTTTGATTCATCTGAGTAAAACCTTGCGCTACCTCTCGACCAGTAAGATACAAAGTTGCTTGACATGTGAGTCATTCCTTTATATCCCTCATGGTTGAGGCTACTGATATCTATCCATCTGTTAATTTAAGTTATCTTGGGCTCCTTTACGATTGGGTGCTGTGATTACTTTGGAACGATTTTATGACACTCATACGAAAAGCGTTTAAAGACTTGTTTGCTTATCGTAGTCCATACAAGCTCTTTAAAGCAGTCGGAAATCCGCATCGAAAAAAAAAATAGGCCATCTAAAAGACCCCCTATATAGTATAAATGTTTAAGCCACATCTAAGCTATTGTTGTGTTATAATAATTAGAGACTCGTTGGTAACCTAAAATGAAAGATTTTTGTTTGACCCTGCGAATCGTTACTTGTCAAAACCACAATATATTTGATGTTCTCAGTTTTTCCTTACCGTCACCGTCCAAATCAGTGAACATGGCTGCCAGCTGGAATGGTCCTGGGATGATGTCTCTGAGAAGCCCTGTGTTCATTACTCCATAATATCTCACATCCACTCCACCAAATCTGTCTGCAGCTACGGATGGTTCCTTGGTGATACCCAGTCCCGCACCTTCGGTTACATCTTCAAAATATCCCGGTTTGCCTTGCGCGCCAAGGTTTCTAAGCAAGCGACAGTTGGAATGAGTGTAGTTTTTGTAGTCGAAACCAAGATCAAGATGAGGAAGCCACTCTGTTGTGTAAACATCCAGCCAACCATCTCTGTCGTAGTCTCCAACTGCAATTGTCATGGTACTTGTTTTGTAGGGTGATATTGCAGGCCTTAAATCAACGCCCCTCTCCTCTGCCTCATCTTTAAAATGGCCCATGCCATCATTTATGTACAAAAAAAATTTGCTTTCTGCCATGGTGCCTACATAGAGATCCATATCACCGTCGTTGTCAACATCCAGCCAAGCAACTGCCGACGAACGATGGAAAGCCGTGGAGCTCAGGTTGGCAGCGGCGGTGAAGTCTTTGAAAGTTCCGTTGCCAAGGTTACGCCACAATTGATCTGGACCATCCATACGAGCATAGTAAATATCCATGAGCCCATCACCATCGTAGTCAGCGGTTGCTGCCGCTCCGGAACTGATTTCCACGATGCAAAAGGAGCCCGGTATCCAAATTTTCATGTTTGGATCGTACTGGTCAAACAGACAGTCTGGAGCCTTGGGCGGCTGTTGTTGTATTGCTGTCATACCTAGACTGACTGCTATGTCTTCAAACTTTATCTGCTGGATAAACAACAATTTAAATTTTATTTGAAAATACAACTTCTGGATGGCAATTCTGGCCATGAAACAATAATGTAACAAATCGTTCCCATGGATAGCCGTAAGTGGTTTTCCTGACTGTATACTTTAGTTTGAATTTAATTTATGTGAAGGAGAGACTTGAAACTCTTTCAGTTGTCAGCCTGCACATCACAGTGTTTTTTTCCTATCCAGTTGAGAAACGGTTGTTACATTTAATGAAAAGTCTAATTTTGTATGTCGAAGTTAATCTATAGCATATACTGTCAGATTTTTTGAGGTTTACAGTTTAAAAATAAGCTATTCAATAAAGACAATATCAGGGAACGAACCAATTCTAAAGATCTCAATTAAAGACACGAAATATGCGAATGTGATGTCACCGTTAACCTACATACTTACTTATTAGAGCATGTATGCCAAGAAAGATCACTTACTTAACAGAGCTCTTATTTTTTATGTAATAAGAACAGTTCAGTTGCAATTGGTGTTCATTTAAGACAGATTTTGACGTTGAGCTCGGCATTATGCGGAGTAAGAACATTATAAGAATGCACAAACGCAAAAAGGCGTTAAATGCGCACCAATTACGATCACACCACATAACCTGAGCTCAGGATTGCCGGAATGAATTGAAGTAATTAGATAATTCAACTTTTTATAATCGTTTATACGCTAGTTGTGCGCGAGAGGAATCGTCTAAGAAAAAGGTTATTTAGAAATACTACTGTAAATGGTTACGTTTGGATAAATACCTGTTTGTTGTCCGAGAAATGGTTCTCTTCCTCTGTTGTTATACACACACCGGAGCCATCCTTGCTGTAATCGTTCTTTAAAACTGGGATGTGCACGTGACCTTCATCGGAAGTCATAGTTACTTCATCAGACCGAGCCACAATTGCATCCGGCTTTGGTCGGACAATGATTCGAGCCTGAAGACTCCCGTCAGTAGTCGTCGTAAGGTTTTCGTAAAGATACGAATAAACGAAGACATCTTCGCCTGAAAAGTCTTCATACGGTATGTATGTTGCTTGAGCGTCACAAAGTTCATTTTGTACGTTGAGATTGCCGTCTGGTGAGCTGGCAAACGCTCCGTACTTTGGCTGCTGGATGACGACAACCTTCGGAGCAAGTTTCTCAGATGCTTTAATGTATTTTAAAAAGTCGAATGTCACTGGTTCATCCTCGTCTGTGATGATTTTGAAGGAGTCTTGTAAACCTTAAGAAAAAAATTGTCATCGATAAGTCTTTGCAGAATATGTTCTGATAAATATTCGGAGTTCATAGAATGGCTGAACTCTAAAACTTCCACGAAATACAAGTGTATGAATCGGTTCTTGTTATAATGGACTGTTAAGCATGCAGGTGCAGAGGATTCGAAAATTTCTCAATTAAGGTATTACGTTGGGATAAAAATCCAAATACTTAGAACTAGCAATAAAAGAAACGTATAGTTATGTGTATGTAGAATTTCTTCGTTGATCTTTGGAGTTTAAAAGAGTTAAATGACATTAAAAATACATGTAACATCATAACAGATAACAGCATACCAAAAAACATTACAAATAACAACATTCCAAATAACGTTACAAATATCATTGGATTTGAAGGGGTATTTTGTAAGCTACAACTGCAGACAGGACTGAGGTGTTCAAAATTGGTAATACAGTTATTATCCTTTCCCAACCTACTGAACAAATGTCGACGAGCTCATGTCTATGTCAATCATGGGAAATGTTTTGTGAGAATGAAAACTTCTGTCCGATCAAATGTGGGTAGTAGTAGAAGTCTTCTTAGTTTGTATTCCGGCAGTGGCTTTATTTACTGAAAAATATTCCATTCCATTTTCCTTTTTGTGCTGAATACTATAACGATACAACTTTAATGTTCAGAAACCTTTGCAAACAATGAGATGAAAATGGAGCGGACATGGATAGAGAGGGACGCAAAAAAGTGGGAAGACACAGTATACTATCATCTGGTGTCGTGGCTGTATGTCTAACTATAACGTCAGTTGAGTTTTGGTCCGCCTTTCATGCGTTGACTCTGAGCTTTAAGCCAAGCACGTTAAACTTTTCCATGTGAATATGATAAACATGCTGCGTGGCTTATCAACAGTACTCGCTCGAAAAGAAATTCTTAGTATTTGCGTTTATTTCCGGAAACTAAATGAAAACGGAATAAAGTGAAACAAAAGACAAATAACGTAAATCAATCAAGAAAGGGATGTCTTTGAAGTTGGGACTTATTTCTGACTTTTAAGTAATTCGAAATTTCCCAAGGAAAGTGCATCGTGTTAAAAGGTTCGATCAAAAAAAAAAAAAAATAAAAACTACTCCTACATAAGAACTATATAGGGGAAAATAAATGGTGAATTACTCAAAATAGTCAAAATAGAATCCTCCCTATAGTCTGCAGTGTTTACAAAGTTGCAAGTTCAGATGCTGTAAGGTAAAATGTGAAAAGTTTTTGGCTGAACAAACTAATCTTATCTCTGCATTTTCATCTCTGGACTTGTCTATACTTTCACTTTTTATTTTACTTGGCGATATCGTAATGTCATTGAGAAATATGTGGAAGACTTGAAAATATGATAACCCTTTAGCCAATGCAAACAAGCTAAAACTGCAAATAACGCGAACTACTTTTTTAAAGTAAAAGCTTGGCCCTTGAAAATCATGGCGTGCCGCTAAGATTGTTTTACAGTTAACAATGTTTGTTAGTAAATGGCGCAGTGTCATACTAGATTGATGACCCAGTTTTCGACCTGGTAATATGGTATTATCAACTGAGTTGATAACGAAAATTGGCCACCGTTAAGAATTTGAAAGCTGACGCTTCGAGCGTCAGCCCTTCGTTAGAGCGGATGCAAAGCAATTTTCGACCTGAGTTAGCAAAGAAGAACTAGGTAGATAACTAAACCTTACTCAAAACCCTAACCACACAATTAGTTTATGATTAGTGGGGGGCCAATTACTGAACTTTTTCAACTCAGCGACTCCTCTTTCATTAGCAAGAGAGGTTTAACCTCAAGGTAAAATTAAAAAGGTACAGGTTTTCAAATTGTTGACATGTGTTTCCTTCCATGTAACGAAGAGTGTTGTTTCTAGTTGAGCTCAATTGTATTTCACCGCTTTAATTCTCAGTAGGACAGCAATTACACTTTAAAGACGGAAATTAGAAGTTGAAGGGATTATGGCGGACAGTGGTAACAGTCGATGAAGGCGGAAATTTGTTCAATAATTTTCCTGTTTATTTCAAAGAGCTCAGCGTGAAGATTTTAAACTAGTGATTTTACCTGGAGTTAAGGAAATGATTCTCAGTGCTTTTGAAAAACAACGCCTCTAAATAGATTATTGTGGCGGTAATAAACACCTTTGTGGAATGCAGCAGATTTCCGCACCATTTTTGTCTCACTGTTTGCTCAGGTTCCTCAGGCGCTGAGCATTTAAGTAATATTGTCATAGTATTCAGCAAAACAAGAAAAATTGAATGGAACATTTTTCTGTGAGCGTCTTATGAAAAAAAAGCCGCTGCTGGAATACTACTTCGTCACCGCGGGAGGCACTGCGTAGATAGTACTAGATAGTTTATCTAAATCGAGGAGACTGCGAAAACCGCTCTGTGGAAAGGAGAATAATATATGTCCTTGCTCTAAACCATATTGAAGTTAGAGATGTAAAACGTAAACAAAATGGACCAATAAAGGATTCATTTTGGTACAATAGTGCTAATTTACTAAATACTTTACTACGTTCACTGCTTCTTTCAGTTATCTCTCCCTCTCTCTCTCTGCAAATGTTGACACACTGGAATTAGTAGAACTGGAGAAATGATGACACTATTAGAGACGTAAGGGGTGGTATTGGCCTTCAGTAAGGAGTCTTGTTCTGTCAGGGATATGATGTGATAACGTTTGTACATCCCGCTAGAGAATATAAACGCGAAGAGAGAGCTAATTTTCCTGAGTTTGTTCACAAAAAACTTCAGCACCTCAAACGTCTGATTGAGAGATGCATTCTGTTTTTTAGTTTGCTTCATTGATAAAGCTAACGGCTTTCTCATTTGCATTTACATGTACCATGTAAACAGCATGATAATCCAGAGGACCTAGAGATCAGCGACATTTTCTCGTTCTGGGCTATCAGTTTAGCAGTTGACTTTGCTTATGGTTACAGTTCTTCATTTAAGGAGTTCGAGAAACTTATCCCAGTTAAGGTATGCAATGAAGAGACTTCCTTTAAGGTGTGCACATTGTTGAAAAACTAATTGAGAACCCTTCCTCTGTTTTAAATCTTGATACTGAATTCAAAATGCATATTACTCAGCACAGTGATGTTGAATACATCCTTTGAAAAGCCACTATTGACATGATATTACCATACTTCAAAGCTATATATACACACACATATATATATATATTTATATATCCCACCGTTTCAGAAATAGGATAACTTTAGCTGCTTTGGGCGTGACAAGCAGCATGAAACGTAACATATACTGAAGACTACTTAATCAAGTGTTTCATTCATAGTCTCGATGTACTCATCGCTTAAAGTTGAAGCTAAAAACTTAAAGCGAACGAACTGAGAGCAGAGTTGCTTAAGGAGCAAATCTCGTTCGGTGATTGAAGGCCGGGCTTTAATTACGGCAGACATCAAGTCTCTTCGTCCACTTGGCAAACCCTTACGCGAAGAGCAGATATTTTGAAAACTGGAAGACGTACATTTTTCCTGTTTAGCTAGTAACCTTTCCTGGTTACTATATGATACTAGAAGTATTCAAAAGTTACTGAGCAATTATAAAAGCTGCGTTTGTGAAGGGCTTACTTGTAAACAACTAATTCCATATATGAAAGCGAACATGACAAATGACATAATTCGAACTCTTCTACTCGTATCGCTTGACGCTGTGAGATTGTTTTGAGCAAATATTTTGTTAAAAAGAGGCGATGAAAAGGCGGCTGTAGGATCCTGTTTCGAGAATACAAATGAAACTTTCTTTAAGTCTTAAGACGCATTTCCACAAATAGCAGCGACCGTAAAAGCGGGAACTCTTTTTCTTACAAGTGCCTCTACCAGCTAAGCTTATCTGATCCTGACGAAATTTAGTTTACTTAAACGAAATCGTTTCGACAAACAAAGTTTTGCATGACGAAAATCATTTCAAAAAAACCATGGATACCAACAGGCAAGTCACTCAAAATATCGTAAGTGCACTTTAAAAATGAAATGCGAAATTTACACATATAGTTTAATTTTCTGCCAGTTTCCTTCAATTCTCTAACTTTTCAATACAATATTTTTTCTTTCAGGTCTATTCACACATGTCAAAGTAATGACTCGGTTATTTTCAGAGCGAAGAAAACAAATTAACGAATATTAAACATCCTTGACAGACTGCCACACCACTGAGCTAAATACAAGCTCGTCTTGGACTTAAACAAATAATTTGAAACAAGTTTGAAAAGTATTTGAGAGCACCCCTTGAAAAGCTAAAATGTCGGCCTAATTAGTTTGGAAACAAAGAAAACAAATTAAGTTAAAGCGCAAAAGGATCCGGCTGCGGTTTTTGTCTTTAAGAAATCACCGCGATGCGCTCTATATAAATTGAACGCCCACTTAACTAGCTCTCGTATTATCATCTGCCCTTGAAATAATTTTACAAATTGGTAACAATTGTTCTCTAAGCAAACATTCCAGCTTCTCTGAGCTTCAGTTTGTTACTGTTGTGCAATAGAAATAGTTACAAAAGTTTTGCACTATAATCTTATCAATTAACGAAATTTCAGTCCAGTTAAGATCGTGGTTAATATCAAGTTAAGAACCATATATCGCTTAAAGAACGTAAAATACCAATACTACTTGGAATTTTCAGGCTCCATCTCGTTGCTTTTGTCAAATTGAGCGTCAAATATCGCAAAAAAATTCGAATTCCTTTGATGGCAAAAGATAAAATTTAGTTCATATTCTAAGTCATCGAACAATATCGTATTTTTCTTGAAAGCGATTTCCTAACGTTTGTGGTGAACCGACTAACCACATGAGCTTTAAGTATCTTTTTCATACACCAAGATAGATTTTTTGCATAGCTTTCTCGTTACCGGCTCTTTCAGGAAAGCCGTAAGCGGATGTACGAAATGTTGGTTTGACTAAGAGAAAATACGCTTCACTTTCGATTCAAACAAAACCTTTCTTTTTTTATTCATAATGCACAACTGTGATAGAAAACAAGCTACCATTGTTTTGGGTCCAAAATACCACTTTTCATCAGCTTAATATTTTAAGTAATGCTTCCCAACTAAATCTTCGTGGTGTAGGGCCGCATTATCAACCTAATTTCCAAATTAGCGCATCGGTAAACTGTTTTAAAATTTCTGTGGTTTTACAGCAATCATCGATCACTGCCCCTAACCGACTGCTCAATTCAAGAACCATCCACCGAAACCTCGACCCCTCAAGATTCACCAAACGCAAGAAACATGTCCATCTCAAATTGTAGTTGAAAATCAATTAAGGACAAGTTTTTGTTTTAAAAGTGCTCCTTCTCGGAGGGTTTTTGAGTGATCCTTTCTCCTTCTTTATACAGGTTTCCAAAGGTTTCCTTGACGGAAAGCGGTTTTAATGATCTGACTGAGATTACGGAGGAAGAATTAAAACGATAAATTACTAATAGCATCCCACGAAGCTGACAAATGATGCGTGCCGTCGAAGAATAATCCTTGAGCCTTATCTCAGATTTGTACTCTCTGTGAAAGGTTAGGAGAAAAATTTTTGAAGCCCATTTCCCAGGAAATCAAGGAAAAATTCACTCACCATTAGTCACTGCTCCTGTTAGGAGGGCACAGAAGAAAAAAAGTCTCATCTTCCAGCAGTGAACCATCGAACTCTTATGAGGCGCGTGATGTTTTCTCGAGACTGGACTACTTGTCATCTGCATATGACTGTCCTACTGCCAGCCGTAATCAGCTTATCTCTATAAGTCCGCTCTCCCGTTTATATCCGCTGCTTCAATGTGGATCATGCAGCTCCGCCCCGTTTTCCAGCTCAGTTCACACAGCCTCTCTAACAGAGTGTGAATTACCGAAGAACAGAAATCAAAGCCAATTCTTTTGTGCTTTTGTTTGCGCGACTTTGGCACGTCATCTATAAACACAATTTATTTTTTAATTTGACTGTCTTTTTGAACCTGTCACGCAGTTTCCGAAACTGTCTTGTTCACTCACTTTGGAGTTACCCCCTCCACCTACGATAAACAGCAAGGTTCTATGCGTAATTATAAACCACTTCGACCTCCCTTGGCGATGAATCCGTTTTGTTATCGCCTAGTACTGTGTAGCTCAACGCGCTTTCCTCTCTTTTGTGTTTTTACTCATTGCTCAAAATACGTCATCACGGTGCAAATCCAGAGCCATTTAGCCCGCCAATCTCGCTTGGCACCTTTTCGTCTAAAACAAGTACAACCAACACCATGTTGCCATTTCCGATTCCTCTTATTACCGTGCGGCATAACTCAGCTCATAAATCAGCCCTGTGTCAAAATGCTTCTAAGAGCTACAAACCCCAATTCCCAGTATGACGTTCGAAGGTGAATTCATTCGAACGCAGTTAGCGGCCATTTCGTTTTAATAGCTTAAATTTCTTAACTTAGTCGCGGCTGTATTAACATAACTATCTACGGTAACTCGCATCGATTGTCCGTACATATCAATGCTTTGAATGGGAAGTATTGGATTGTCTACTCGCAGATCGATAAATTTAAAATTTCGACAATTAAAATTAGCAGCATAGACCTTCATTTTCATGTTTAGCTGGCGTATCGTTTAAATTCGTACAGCGATAAAAGAGAGATTAGGAAAGGAGCTTTTGCCCCCCAGAAAGGTTTTACTTATTTCTCTGTAAGCTACCGAGAAGCTGCTAAATTCCGGATATTGTTCAACGTATTAAAAGCCCTCTCCAACGATGAATTATCCAAATAGACAACATTTTTAGTACGAAGGTATTGTGAATGCCTCTATAAATTTTAAAACAACTCAGTGCGAACTTTGTTAGCTATACTCACAATAAACAAATTGTTAATGGACCGTTTTGAACTTGAACCTCTCTCAAGAGGTTCACTTTTACTTCCACCCTCCGTTCTCGCTCGATCCAGCACATTAAATTTATTTACAGACCTTTGACGCCTAGGATTTTGTTTTTCGAGTGCTTTAAGACAATTTTCAAGTCATTCATCGACCTAATATCTTTATGGATGTGCATGTTATTTAGCTATCTTGAAAGCCTATGACATACTTTTGACACCTAACTCACTTTACTACACGTGGAGATAATGCTCAAATATTGCTCAGGAAAACTTCTTGAAGAACTTTCCCATAACAAATTCAGTGTCTTAACCTATTTTTAACCGATGTGCGTAAACATTTCTTTGTTCTTTAATTTCGAAATCGATGCTTTGTTTTATTGCTCTTTTTTCTTTTTAACGGTTCAGATGAGTAATTTAAAAGTTCAGCGAAAACAATGCGGGAACATTTCCGGAATTCGGGCGAACTTAGCCTAAATAATAATAACACTTGATTTTTGTATCATTCCTGTTATTCAAGCTGCCCCCAACGTCCTAATTCTTTCCGTATGTTCACCAACCACGAAACTTACACCGGAAAAAGCGACTCCGAGGATGAACAGTGAAAGCTAATTTGATCAAAGTTGTCCTCTGCACGTTGGAAGATGAAGGACACTTGGCTTATTGCACTCACTCCTTGCACCTTCAATATGCTAAGTATTTTTAATGGGGTCTTCAAATCAAATCGATATTTTTTCCAATGTTTTTTGGCAACTTAAAAAAATCATGCTGGTTTTTTTCATCCAGACGAGTAAACTATTTAAAATGCATGTTTTTAGCATGTAAGGTGTTATCTCTACTTTTGTTTTGTTTTGACTGATTTGGTCCTTGCATAAATTTGGAAAAATAGCCGGCGTCTCGAATTAACGGGAAAACTTGCTCCTTTTCTTAGATATACTGATTATTCTGCTCAGGAAAAAAAACACTACAAAAACATTCCATTTTTGGTTTGTCTAACGCGAAAAATTAAAATAGCTTGATAATTGAGGAAGAAAAATTCTCACAGAGTCATTCTGACAACAAAGAAATAGTAAAAAAAAGGTTTTCTTTACAGTTAACTTAGCTTGTAAACCGACTTAGAAATAGAAACTTTCGTTCCCTTAGTGAGAGTAAAATGTATGTTTTGTTATCAGTTATGATGCAAAATCTCGCTTTCAGAGAAAACAATTCACAAATAAGGGCAAAATAACTTAAATTTAGAATCTGTCGGCCGACTGTGCGCGGAAGGGCGACACGACATGAGAAGACGGCCGCCTCGCGCCTTACTGCGTCGTGCCGTCAAACCACCTGCGCTTCCTTTAAGTAGGCGGTCTAACGGACATGCAGCCAAGTTCATTGTTTAAACTCATTTAGCACTCAAGTATAATTTCGTAAATGAAGTAAAAGTAGATGAAATATTTAGAACGAAAATTTTTCGCTCATAAACCTGGCGATTTGGGAAATTGTCAAGGAAATTTTGAGTCCTTTCGATCTAAGAGTCGAAACTTTGATCTTCAGATTTTGAGTTCTTCAATTATTACCAGAATACTGTGGAATGTTTTATTTGCGGTGGAACTTTTGTTCAATGGCCCTTCTCTTGCGACTCACCTACAGGACCCTAAGGCTCATGAAATGAGCAAAACGAAGGGTAATTGATTCGATTTCCACATGTCGTTGTTTTTATTTCGGATTTTCTCAATTGATAGCAGCATTATTCATCTCATTATTCATTAGCGACCGCAAGGTAAGATCATTTTAAAAAACATCTTTTCTGAACAGGTAATTGATGGCGCATATAGTTACGTAACGAAAGTTAGAAATGTTTTCCAGCCTTTGCGGTTTACCACGAATTCGAAATCATTGATTTATCTAATTGTCTTCAATCAATCTTCGTTGATTTACAGGCCTTTTTTCAAATTTTATTACGTCAATTCTGTCCTAGAGTAATCAGTATATCAACTGAAATGAAATTATTACTTGAATTTGCTGGGAGCGCTAAGTATCTCGATTCGAGAGCGACACACTTAGAATAAGAGAACAAAACACATTTGGGATCGACTTACAAGCAAAGAAGGAAACACTCAAAATTAAAAATAGAATCCATCTTTCCTTCCGGTATAAGGGCAAGATCTTGAGAACAATTTTGCTTTACCTTGGATGTCGCCAGCCACTACATCTCTGTCTGGAAGCAACAACACTAGCAAATCGCTTTAGGGGTATCATAACTAAGAAACGTATTGAATTTGCAAGATTTTGCCCCTGAAAACGTTTGCTCCTGAAAACTTTTCCTTCAAACAGAACTTAAGCCTGAACAGAAAATTTTTGTCACCCACAACTGAAAAATACAGCTCAATCTCGGTTGTACTGAAGAATTCCACAATCTTTTCTATATCGAACAGCTTTTAAAATATCAATTTCTCACTTTGAAAAACACGCTAAAGCAAATAACAACTATTTCCTTTCTGCGCAAGCCGAAGAAACCACAAGAGCTTAAAACATTCAGCGAGACTTAGGCTAGTCTAAAAACTTGAGTATTGATCTTACGGCAAGCTAACATGGTAATAAAGGTGAAGTATGAATATTAAAAACGTTTCTATTTCTCTGTATTGTTCCCTGTATTTTTCTACAAATTAGTTTTCGGGCGTGTCCAAAGAAAGTATGGCTGCAACCACTTCCGGTGCTGTTAATAGGTCAACAAGGTTTTCCCAATGTAAGGTATATTTATCCCTAACAATTCCTAGGTATTACGCATGATTCATGATCAAAAATTTCAGTTTGTTACTGAAATGGTTATCAAATGAAAATTAAAGTGCCTTTGTTTTTCATTTTCCAGAACATAAGTACATAAACTTTTCAATTAGTACAAGTATACACAAAGATAAGAACAATTTTTTTCAACCTCTCAATTTAGCATTTTCGCTCTAGTGCTTTGCAAATTGTTTATATTTTAAATTCATATTAAACGACAATTAAGAAATAGATTACGTTTCTTGACATCGACCTTGTTAATGATATCGGAATGACGTTAACTCTTAAGAGGCTTGTCTTTAATATTGCTTTGATCAGAAATTAGTTACAAAAAAGATACCTAAAATGAAAAACACCTGTTTACCGCCGCGTTGGCGCCTACAATTGAGGCGGGAGATTGAGAACTAATGTGACTTGCTCAGAGAAGATATGAGGCTGAAGTCGTGTAAGTTGGAAAACACTTCCGGTAGACAAAGAGAAACAGCGTCCGAAATCAGCATTTGCAGGAAAGCCAGAAATAAATCATTGTTAGTTGGATATGATATTAACGGTGACTTGCATGTATGAGGATTACCTGTTATGCTCATTTCTTCTTTGTTTCGTGACCTAGAAATATTAACTCGCTGCCTGGAAATAAATTTTCAATGAACACTGAATTCCTTGTATGATCATTAGCGAAAGTTGAGCGTTATCAATAAAACTTCCGTTAAGATATCCCTTTTAAGGTAGAAGTGGTTAAATTGTTGAAATGATAATAAAAAAAATAGAACAAATTTTATAACTTTACAATGATCCGTGCACCTTGCTATATTTTGAAAAGCTTCAGTTTAAGACGGTTTGTTAAATTTGCATAGATAATAAAATAAATAAACAAATAGTTTTCAATGGGGGTCGACCGAAAATAAAATCTAACAAATAATTCAAGCAGAATGCTATAAAAAAATACTTTAAAGACAAATCACAATAAAACTTTATAAAAACTTTTGCCTTTTTCTTTTTGCAGATCTGAACTGCCAAGACTACCTCTTAAACAGAGCAATTTTCGAGTTTCTATCAATCAGATGTAAAACTAAAACCTACGAGGGAGTGTTGTA